GACCGCAGAAACTATCCGAAAAAGATAATCGTTTTTGTATTCGAGACATGGAATAATCGTCACGCTTTCGTGAAGTAGTGCAATTTACTAAATTTATGAAAGTGTTATTGAGTTTCATTGTATCAGTCTTTGGACTATCACGCGTTTCGCCAGATCACTGGCGTGATTACAGATCGCAAAGGAGGTCAAAATAGTATAGTTTCATCAAATCGAATAATTTTAACGAATTGTCGAATATCGGATTGAATTCGGAATTTTATTCCGATTTTTCACTTTTGGTTCGGCTTTGATCTTTCTTGTCACCGTTTGTAAATTAACTGTCATAATTTTAAGCTAAAAATATTATCATTTCTGACGTCGGAATGCGGATATTGATGAAGACGATAGTTGACCTTCTTGATTTTATTTTTTAAAAGTATGGCTGTTTTATTTTCGTATTAATTAGTGAATAAAAACCCCAAGTCATTGTGTGAATCCTGAATGCTATTTTGGGTTCAAATTATGATTAAATAAGTCGGCAATAATGGCAATTCTACTGGTACAATTTGAGAAATTTTCTTACAATACTTCAACTTTCACTCAAACTGTAAGCGTTGATGGATTTTTTTTAAATAAGTATTAAATAAAATGGTATAACCTGCCATTTGTGAGAATATCAATATGTGGATAACAAAGCCTCAAAATCCCCGGGATTTTGGGAAATAATTGCGGGACCGGGATTAAAAAGTCCTACATAAATACTATATACTAAACATTCCCTAAAACAAGTACGCTCGCTCAGAAATGAAGAAGACTCACTTCTGAGTGAAGTTACAGGTACTGACTCAATCGTAAAAGAAACTCATTTCTGAACAAACTTAGAGGCATTCACTCAGAAATGAAGAAAAAGAAACTCATCTCTGAACAAAGTTACGGGCAGTCACTCAGAAATGGAGAAGACTCTCTGAACAAAGTTACAGACACTCACTCAGAAATGAAAGAGACTCACTTCTGAGTAAAGTTACGGGCAATCACTAATAAGCAAAAGAAACTCATCTCTGAGCAAAATTACGGGCAGTCACTCAGAAATTAGGGTGACTCACTTCTTTGATATCATCGTGATGGCTGGGTTCCACCTTTTTCATGACATGGTGACGGCTGGTACAGGTCGTCTACTCACTCTACTGTGACAGATTGCATACCTATACTACGGCGTTTTGAATTTCGTGTCCATATATTTGAGCATCGCTCTCTTGTTTTATGAAATTGATCTTTATTATTTAAAGGAGATATCCATTATTTTTTTATTAATTAAGTTTGTCTGAAAAGGCGATATTTAGAATTTCAATCAGGCATTTTATTTCAGTCATCTGACATAATAGAAAGCATGGCGCTGTAATGAATAGTATGTTGGGCCTAATTATGTTGTAGGCCAGGGTGGTCAAAGGTTATCTGGATTTACGACATTATTACTTATCGATCTTTAGATCGGTAAGTAAGTTGATAGGTATTTGTCTGTCTGTCAGTTAGATGCACGCGATATCTCACGAAGGCGTGGTTGAATCTGCTCCAAATTTTGCATGTGCATTCATCATATCTTGGACCAGAAGCCTATTGATTTTGGGTGATTTATGTCGTATAATTAACTAATTAGTGATGGGACACGCGGTGTCACTATAGCGTCATGAATCGAAACCGCAGTTTCGATCGATGAGTCTTCGGTCTCCGACCGATATTCTCGTTGTTGTATTATTAGCGTGCCACGTTAGTATTTTAGAATGAGTAAACAGCACAATATGAAAGGAAAACTTTATTTCACAAACACATCTGATCCTTATTGGACACGGAATGGACTTATCGAACGTTTTGTTATTGTGTTTTTGTTCTTGTTGGTATTTTTCTTCTTATCGTTATGGAAAAATCGCTTTTCTCTACAAGTACTGGACCAATTTTCAGTGATTACAGTTTTTGAATTTTTTGCTAGAAGGCTGTCACCTTTATTTGTTCCTAATTTTTTTTGTGGGATCTGATATTTTATCTGGAATGTTCTGTATGATTTTTAATTATGGGAACATGGTATTATGACATCGTGATGGCCATCTTCTTGTTTTTATGACATCGTGGCGGCTGATACGGGCAGTCTTCTGTGACATTTGGATTTCGTGTCCATATATTCGAGGAACGCTCTTTTGTTTGTCATCGATCGATCTTTTTACATCAGCACTTAAGTCTCCCAACTTGTTCTTTGAATTTAATAAGTATCTTCATTACGAAGAAAGTGCTTTCTTAAATTATGCACTCCCAGACATCGATAACATTCTCCAATCAAAATCCCTTAACTTTGTTAACTTATTGATCACAATCTATGCCGTGCCGTTCTATATTATATTCTTTCAGCACCGACACAACTTTGATTCCGGTTCTTCCCTTTCAGTAGTTTCTTATCTATCAATGGCTGCTTGTACATTGAGTCGTTTGAATATGCCACATGCCAGGGCTGGTTTGAAATCATAGTGGTCAAACAGTAGCTTCAGTTCCGGAGATGGGCCACAGGCTAATGCTAATCTGTTAAAACTAGCTGCAAAGGCATTCTGATTTACTTATTTTATCGTTGAATAATGCTCAACGAGTTGACTGATAAAAACTCTAGCACAGTAATCCCAACCTCTTTCGGAAAAAAGGGTTTAACAGTTTGATAGTTTATAAAAAATTCACACGTATTACAATAATATACTGAATAACCAAATAAGCTTATGAAACTACACGCTAAATACGAATTGATATTTATCCCCAAAATTTTTCCCAGGTCGAAAAACGTTGCCGTATCGGTACTCCCGAAGCATGTGAACCGATATGGCGGACACCGGAACGTGGTATGTGTATCAGGTAGAGTTAGGCCATAATTTCAGATACAAATAATACGGGAGTCACCATCTAGTCCCCAAACCCCTAATAGAACGAATACAAGAATAATTGGAATGATAGCCTTAACCTACCTGGCACAAACACCACGTTCGGTGTCCGCCATCTTGGTTTACACATTCCGGGAGTACCGCAGTATCATATCAAATTTAACCTACGCCCCAGAGTTTACAAACGCACAACGAGAAGTAAAATGACTTAAAAATCCCCATTCCTGGGGTGCAAAATTTTCGTTTTGTTAAAATGTTGTTGTTAACCTGATGATCAAAGAAAATTGCCGAATAGTATTCAACTAATCTACCATTTATGGTAAAAATATAAATGCACTCTTGCATAGCAACAAATTGGAAGCGCGTCGCACATTAAACCGGGTCCTAAAATAAGTAAAAAAAATCATCAAATTATACAAACTGCTAAAATAATTACAAAAATGCGTAAACAGACAACGCATTTTTTTCTGCTGACCGATTCTGATTTGCTACATAAAGATGAGAAAATTAGTTTGTGAGCCATCCTATGGTTTAGAGATTCAGTTTTGAGTATGATTCACTTATACTCGAGAATATTTGACCACCGCTCAAATTAGCTGCAATTCAACAAGCAGCCACCGCCTGCGAAACAGTTGTTATTAAGCATTCCGATAGCACTTTGGTCGATTTTAACTCAACAATACATTGGAAAATCCTCTGCACATTGGCAGAGCACAAAAAGATCACTCTAAACAAGGCTCTGTACAAATAAGTAGGTATAAGGTTATATATCGACTCTTCAAGTAAGCTACCATTTGTGGTGAAATTAAATATGGATTTGTCCATATACGAAAATATCTTTTTGGTTAATGAAAAATAAATTATAAAACAACAATTTCAAAAACGTAACCCATATAAAATATATGATTAGCGACCGATTATCGCGATTCCTATCTTGATTAATTTTTGCCTAGGAAGAAAATAGCAAAATCTTTTCCCGTCAGTCAAAGTCGTGAAGACAATGTACCGAAATTATAAAAAAAAATTGGCACTTCTTTGTTTCGGCCTTTGTGTCCATATATTTGAGCATTGCTCTGTCGTTTTCTGAGATGAAATATAAATGATATTATGACGCCACAATGAATCTTATGAAAGCCTATGTGACGACACTGTAGGACGAGTCTCATAAAAGGAGTGGCATGTCGTTTCTGCATGCTTGCTTGTTTATAGACTTGCCCGGGGTAACAATGTACGCGACATTTACTCCATAATAAACTTTTCGCAGTTAATATAGTGAGCGAATGCCCTTAAATAAGTGCCCACATATGTAGGCTTACCATATATCAGAAGCAAAAAACATGAACAATGCAGATTTGGCAAGTTCAACCCTGGTTCGATTTCGAGTCTTAGTAATAGTTTAGCATTTTTCATACCATTGTGATTGGATACGGGCAACAAAATTAACTGCGGATCTTATCAAAAAAATCCTTTATTGGTCTTTACTTCAAGTAATGTAAATCTGACTTCAACTCATTACAGAACTTACACTTTGTTTTTGGCATTTTCACGATTCAACAACAGTATATGTGTGTGTTAAATTAACGTATGGGTCATCCTGTTTATCATAATATGACATAACAATTTCTCTCCGTCTACCTGAACTAGTGAAGTGAGTAAAAAAAATTTGTATCACTATCAAATAAAAAAATAATATCATGCTGCAATAACGGGACATTTACATCTACTGGCCGGTAGGACGGAACAAATTTTCAAAAATATATATGTATTCCCCCATGTTTAGTATATGGTCTGAATTTTCTAACTGACCTACCGTCAGTACGCAACGAAACGCCCCCTATATTTTGCTTGATAAAAGTGCTCGGTCCCATCTATGCATACCTGCGATGTTGGGAAGCAATAAATTTAGATATTTTATTAAACGGTTAGTAGTGACTAGGGCGGAATATATCGAATCGAATACTAAATTATCGGTTCAGACCGCCGCCACCTTGTTTTTTTTTTTGTCCGCGCAAAGGTCGAGGTGAAACCCTCATTGTTTTATTTAAGTCATATTTTTACAACGCAATTATGACATAGGAATCCTTTCTTCCGAGTGCGAACCGTTTGGGTAATAAATTACGTGTTTTCAGTATAATTTATGTGTATGGGGAACACATTACAGTAAAAAATCACATACAATTACATACTTTCCAAGTATTCGAAATTCGATTTGATTCTGAAATTATCAGAATATTCGAAAACGCTCAATATTAGTCGTGACACACCACTTATGCACTGGAATCATAAATACAGAACAGGCACCGTTCACGTTTAAGTAATTTATTGATATTCATTATAGGTAGGTCAATAATAAATAGAAAATTCATTATAACGTGAAAATGAGTTCACAATGATCACACGCACAGTAATAATTAGTAGATTTGCCTTCATAGCATTTAATCAGCCAGTAAAAGATTATTATCAAGAAAAACGGAATAACGTGCACAACAGTGGTTTCTAACCATGAAATCCGTGTCACCCTTCAGGCCCAGGGTTTCGCCAGTACGGTCCGGGCCAAGGTGTTCCGCACGTTCCAATCATGGTGCGGACCAGGGGTCGGCAAACTGCCGCGGGCCAGATGCGGCTCGCATACAAAATTTTGTGGACCTCGAGCGACTTATCTTTTGATGCATATTATTATTATCTACGCACGGATATATGTCGTAACAATGGCTGTTGTTCGGCTTTGTTTTGTAGTAATTAGCCAAAGGTATCTTCCGTTAGTTGTAATTAACACAGAAAAAGAAGTCGCAGGTGCGTCATAATCTGGAGCTTAATGTAGCGATTGCTTATAGGCAGCAGTTATCGTGGCTCGTACGCTACTGGAAATGTGATAATTCGGCCCAGTAGTACATAAGGTTTGCCGACCACTTGTGTTGAGAAGAGGATGGATACATAGTTTCCCCCAAATACATAGGTATATAAGTTAACGATCATCTTTAAAGCTACATTCATGCAAGTGTATTATCATCGTTCGCCTCTTCAAACTCCAACGATTCTTTTTCTGGAATAAAAGATATTTTGATGGTTAAGTTTAAAACTATATCCTTTATTTTATGAAATATTCTTGATGTTTAAGTGAAAAAGAGATGAAAGGGGGAGATTCCGCTATTTTGAATTCGCTGGGTAGCTGATACTAGCCATCATCACGTCAGCGATCGTCTACAATACTTTTTTTTACACAACGCTTTTTGCTACGAACAAGGCTCTCTACAAGCGGCCAATGATACTTAATGATATGTAAGGACCTACTATTATTTGGGAGGACCAGCTCGCTACATTCTGGATGATGAGGGGGTATGGGATTCATTCTCCAACGCAACCAGAATTAGAACTAACCGCTAGGTTGATTGTAGTAGCAATGAATGATGATGTCGTTTTTGGAAACGTATTTTTCATTTTGATTAAAGACAGTGGAAGTGTCTTTTTGCGAAAGGATTTTATTGTTTTTCCCTTGCTTGAGAAAGTTATTGGGCCATAGAATTTTTGTGCAACAAAAGTGAGCCGGAAAGAAAAAAGGTTGGAAGCCAAAGCACTAGTCCATTGCGAGCCACAACGCCCACTCTGTGTATTATTAATTGGGTCGGATTCCTTTTTTAAAAAATTGGCAAAAAATTCACAACACATACCTTCGTTCAAACTTTTATCTTCTATATCTGTGACATCACTATTTCCTTTGTTACGTGTGAAGAATGAGAAAATTCCAAACAATACAGAAGCACACATGCTCATTGTGCCAAATAATATAAACAATTTATCTCCTCCAATGACTTGAAATAAAACTCCGCCTAGTAGAGCACCAGCACTATAACCTGTGATAAAAGATGGCAGTTTCCTATTTGATCACACAAGGCATAGGGCAATGTCTCCCTCTCCCGGGTGGAATTTTATTTTTTATTCGTTGTAGCAATACTCATATTTTTTAATTATTTATCATAGTAACTACAATAGATAGCATTGAAGATTGAACAAGGAAAGTAGTATTATGAGTATTGAAAATGGGGGATGGGGGGGAATAAATATTTCTAAAATAGGCAAAGGGAGGAATTCAGGAAAAAATGGTGACTAACCCTTGGACCAGGGGGGTTGCCAGAAGAGTAGGGGCCAGGGGCGGACACCCAGGGGGGGGGGGGCGGATTTAAAAATACTCGGAGTGACAACATTGCGATTGAGCGGAGCCAGTGTGACAAGTACATCTCAAATTTATCGAATGCGCAAAATAGCAAAAATACGGATCAAAACATTATATAAACGGGCAGTTTACCACACTTTTTTATGTCCGCGGATTGCCGTCGTGTTTTAGAGTGGCTCTTGTTTTGTCGACTCAACCGCAGTTTAAATTGAAGACAATTAAATTAATAAATCAAGACATTTTGAATATGCCCGTAACGGTCTTTGATTGATTACTTTGCACAAGTGAAAAATCATTTTTCGTTGATGAAGTCGGCTCTTTTAACAAGTGGCGTAATCGCGGCGACTGTTCCGCGTGGATTTCGAGGCGGTGAATTTGTATTTCTGATTTACTAGTATACTTTATAATTATTTTCATTGTATGAATTAAAATTGTACTATATGGGATTTCATATCAGATATTGAGATTTTTGTAACGGCGATAACGAGTTCGGTAGATTGCAAAAATACGTATCAAAATTAAATACATCAGGCAGCTTATCTCATATTTTTATGTCCACATATCGCCTTGGTACTTTAGTTTAGTAATATTTTTTTTGAGACGTAAGAAGTCGCAACCGCGAGATATGTTGCACACAATTAAATTAATATATAAGGACATTTTAGAATCTCGTGGCTGTCATGGATCGACAGAAAAATCATTATACGCTTAAATAGGCGGCTCTTTTATCGAGCGCGTAATCGCGGTGTTGCAGACGGCAATGGTAAGTTCCGACTTTGACCCCGCCTTTTTTTTTAAATCCTGGCTGCGCGCCTGAACTTGTGCCTGTTTATTTTCGTATTAAATTATAAATAAAAACCTGCACAAGTCATTGCGTGAATCCTGAATGTTATTTCGAGTTCAAATGATGATTTAATAAATCGGCAATAATGGCAATTCTACTAGTCAAATGATAATTCCTTGGTAAAATTTAGGAAAAAAATTCGCACAATAGCTTGTTACTTTGTTTTGCATTTCTAATTTTTACGAAACGGCGTTAGTGCGCTTTATGCAGAACTAGGAATTGGGACAATAACCTAATACGACTCCTCAAATTTGTTATTTTCTGTATGTTAGCAAGAGCCGTGGGCTAATTCTCGCGGAATTCAAGAAATTGGTTCAGTGACGCGCAAGTTCCGTGTCCGAGCAAAGCTGCCTAGGTAATCGATATTTGAGTAGCAAAATGACATGCTAATACTTAGAGAATGACATCGACAGGTTATTGTTACGTGACAATACATGGCACGGTGTTTTTCGGAAGGCGATCCAAGTTCGCCCCCCCCCCCCCCCCCCCAAAAAAAATTATGGAAAGTGTCCGCCCCTGAGTAGGGAGTAGAAAAGCCCTATTTGAAATGTGAAAGTAAAGCATTTTTATTGTATCATACATTGCATCGCCCAATTTTCGGTGCTCCAGAAGTATGCGCACCAAGATGTCGCACAACCTGAATCCTAACCGGTACACACATACTATTTTCAGGCTGTGCGCCATCTTGGTGCGCATACTTCTGGAGGTTCCAATTTTCAATAAGGGGAAGAACAAAAATGTTTACCAGCAAATGTAAGAAAAAGGCGGGAGTTACTCACCAACTCCCCATAGCATAGCCTGGGTGATGCCCATCGTTGAAACTTCTAGTCCACGCGGAGATATTTTAGCCGTGTAGGAACAGATTACAACCCACGTCAGTCCCCAGGTAATACAACGAGACGATTCTACCAAAATCAGCTGCCATGGCTCGGTTACTATACCGCAGAAGATCATCCGGAGCTGAAAGAACCATTGGTATATGTATATAATTTTTAAAACAGTGAGAGAAATTTACATGACCTCGAAGTCGAAGAAAATCTATGATAAATTCGGTATGCGATGATTCAGGTTCCGGTCGTTCAAATAAAAATTAACTCCTTACACAGAGAGGTGGTCCGGAATATCAAAGCTAGGAGGGGTTGACTGAAATTCCTGATTTCCAAGTTATAACGTAACAGTTAGCTGGTCCGGAAATTTTCTATGTATAATACAAAGAAATGCGGTATATTTTCCATCATATAGTTATTCCCCACGAGATTCGAACCTGCGAAACCACGCAGGGTGACAGGCGTAATCCTAACTCGTAGCACGATGTGCCGGACGTACTTAGATACTATTTTTCCGAGGAATTGGAATCTCCATATTAATTTCTTTATCTGATATAAAGTCGGTTTTATGATCATCCGATTGACCATCTTTACAAGGAATTAAAATAACTATCGGAAGACTTACTGACAGGACTATATTTCCAAAGCATATCAACGGAGCATGACCAAACCTCTTGATTAGAGAACCAGCCGCCAAGCAGAATGGAATATCAAGCAGCGCACCGATAAATGTTGAAGCACCTGAATTAGAAATGTGTGTTAATAAAAGCGAGCAATGCTCAAATATATGGACACGAAAGCCAAAGGAAAGCAGTGGTTTATCTTAGTTTTTCGTAATTTCACATTTTGAATGTTGATAACCGGCGTTTAAAGTTTCAAATTCCAGAAAAAATTATTCATAATTCTGGGCTGATAAGTTAGGTTTGCCTTGGCTAAATCAGGGATGTGCAACAGGCGGCCCGCCTAGTATGGCCCTTGTCAACACTCAGAATTTCCCTCATCAAGCATAAAATCCTAATCCGATAGTTTAAAAAGGCGCGCATATGGGTGAAAATACGATGCAAAAACTCAAAATGTCAAGAACTGTTGAAAAAATAAAATTTCGAATTCGTTGTGTGCATGGGAAACTAGTTATTTTGTGTGGCCCAGCTAGATGTCTGAGATTGGTTATATAGCCCTAGGCTACTCAACTATTTTTACCGAAGATCCGAATACAAAACCGCAAAGTTATTTGGGTCAGGTCTTTTCAGAAATTATATTTCGGCATCCTTAAACACGCAATTCCTCGGCCGACTAATGATTATTAGATAATCAAGATTGTTTGTTATGGCGATATAGTTCTTTTCATATATACTTTTAAATCTATAAAAGTGATTTTATAAAAGGAAACTTCAAAAGTGGGGCTAATGATCTAAAATAAAGAATTATGCGCGGTCCGAATCGAATGTCCGGATTCGGACCGCCAGTTGAGTAGCCCTGATATAGCCCACCGACCAAAATGTTAGACAACCCTGGGCTAAAGCTTTTACGATAACACTTGTAGTTTAATCTGAGCTGGAGCGGGAGTCGGAAATTTCTATCAATCGGATGCCGGAGTCATTTTTAAATATCTCCGAGTTTGGATTCGGATGTACAATTTCGTCGACTCCTGATAACGAAATTACTTACCTAATATAGAACTCGGGGCGTTGAGTTTAACTTCAGCTAGCCAAAATAAATACACTTCTTGCGCCGCCATGTTGGCACCATAGAACAAAATTAAGCTGAAAAAGGCGATTGCTTTTCCTCGTTTGATGACCTCCTGCAAAACAGTAACAGATTAACTTATGCTCTCAGTAAAATCTATTGAATTTTAAAAAAGAAATACTTTTATGCCTTAAATTCTTTAACAGAAGTTTGGACAGGCCTCTCGCCAAATTCATAAGTCTGGTAACATCGGGTGAATATTACTTCTATACCGTATGCAAGAATGTGTAATTTTATGTATAATGCAATTTCTGTTTTATTTCCCGCGTTTAGTCTCACCAGCGTTTATTAAGATTGAATCAAATTCCTAGTGGATATTTAAATTCTTTTTCTGCTTATTTGGCTTTAAGCTGAGAATAAAAATAGATACCAAATTTGTATTACCCATAGACGTAAATGACTTAACTAATTTCAATACTCAAATAAGTCATAATTTTGCATGAGGTCTTACATAAACTCACCCAGAACAAGGCTCTGAACATATAACCCGATTTTTTCTTCTACTTGCTATACAATCAGAACAATTAATCATCCCACTAACCCAGAGTTTCCGAACAGAGGAAAAATTCTTTTCAAGAGAGGAATTTTTTAATGTTTCACCGGTTGGGAACCACTGTACTATGCGATTGCACCCATTAAAAGGGAACTCGCTTTTACTACGAAACATAATAGGTACTCATGAAGTATGCGCACCAAGATGGCGGACATCGGAACGTAGTATGTGTACCAGGTTGTGGTTAGGCCATAAATTGATTTCAATGTTCCTTATTTTAGTCATATTACGAGTTCGGGGACTAGCCAAGTGACTCCCGTAATATTTGTACCTAAAATTATGGCCTAACCCTAACCTGGTACACGTACTACGTTCCGGGGTCCACGATCTTGGTACGCATACTTCGGGATTACCATATAATATGCACCTTGATATCTTTCAATCGAACTTTGGATTTTTTCTTTGCCATCTTAATTGGCAGTTTTGCTGCAACGATGGCAGCACATCCCCAACAAATTAAAACACCAGCAAACATTGACAAAAACGGTCGGTTCGAGCTTCCAGCAATTCCAATTTCATCTTGAGATCTGTCTAGAAAAGAGAGTGATGATTAGTATATTGCCAAACTTTGTGTTCAATGGCGTAATCTCTCAAATTTATATTCGATTGGCCGAGTTTAAACTAATAATGAAATGGGGGGGAAATACCATTTTTAGTTGTGTAATGTTTTATCGGTTGAGTAGCCAAAGTTCCCATGTCTCGAACAAGCTAAAAATACATTAATATACAAGATACCCATTCATTGGTTTATCCCAACTAAACATGAATACATAAAGTATCGTGCAAATGTACAAGGTAAATAAAAAAAACTTGGCATTAATCTTTTTAAGCAGTGACCTGCAGAAATTTTTGGGACAATTTTAATGAATCCCAGGCGAAGACTGACAATGCTACCAGACTTGCGTTATTAACTTTTAGGTTCAAATGTGGGTAAATTGTAGAAATACAGAATACAATATTGAAAAATTCAAATTCAGCCATACCTTTGAGGTAACCAACGATTAGAGCCGCTGAGCCGAACCCAATTGAAGCCATAAGCGTTGTTGGCCAAATCGATGTCGTTGTCCAGGCCCCAGAGCTCCTAGTACACTGGATTCATAACTGGATAACTTCCAATACTTGCGAAAGAAGATACAAAAACGAGTGTAATGAGAAGCCAAAAGGTGACACCATATTCATCGACATCGCTGAGAACAATTTCGTTACATGTCGTCTGCTGTTTGAAGTTGGCTGATTGTGACGTCATAGTCCACGCACAACAGTCTCGGCTCGACAGTGCCGTAAACAACAGCCGGACTGAGTAAGTCAGTGTACAGTTTATCAGTTTGTTGAGAAGTCAGAAGTAATGTAAGGAGACGTGAAATTTGTTATCGGGGTTTCTAGTTTAACAATTGGAAAACGATTCTGTAACGTCAACTTCGGGAAAATTAATGTTTACATATTGTCCGAGGAATTGAGAACGACAGCACCAACTTTGCTAACGGGAATTGTATAAATAGTATGGGATCTGCAGTTTGTTAGAGAGAGGGAGAATAAAACATGGATGTATTTGATGGAGTTATGGCTGTGCATGATAAGGATCCGATATCAACTGGGTCGGTTTGACAGTGGAATTCATTAGTTCTGGGATCCTTTAAAATGCAGACGTCTTCCTCGTCTGACGATCTACATGATATTTTCCAGCAGAAAGATTCATTTCCACCGTAGATTTCTGTAATAAGGTAAGTAGGCTGTTGAGATTTTCATAACTGGAATGTTAGTTTGGACGATTGCTGTTGATTAAGAGAATACTAGTAATAAATAATCAAAGCCTAAAACCGCAGTGTAAGTGTGGTTAAGATATTCTTAACAGCCTAAGCTATTGTATGTCAACTCTTTTTAACCGCCAAGCTAGGCATACTATACGTCCCGGTTAGCCGGGACAGTCTCAATTTTGATAAGCTGTCCCGGAGCCCCGCCCGGTAGACTTAACCGATCCCAGGCAGTTATTGCACATCTAAAATGGTATCGTCGAATTGAAATGCGATTGCTTCACGTTGTACTAGGCTAATTATTATTATTCCGATTAGGGCTACTGGTTTGTTGCCTATGTCTGCTGACTCATCAGAGCACTTTGCGGACTCATTTAAGTTCTCGGCCTCGAGGTTGGCAGACACCGGGTAGGCAAATGACTAGAAACAGACTACAAATGCCCCAAAATGGTAAAATTGATAAACTTTAATTCGCATATACAGTAGATAATGTGACGGTGTATATAGATGTTTACCCGACTAAAGACGCAAAATAATTTTTCCCATACGGATGCCATTGTAAACTTTACGTTGCTTTATAAATAACAACTTTCTACGTGCTTCAAAACAATGTTGTCGCAAAATAATGAAATGCATGTAAAAACCAGCGACAAATCATTTTAACCTAGTCTATTTTGGCTTTTGTTGGGTGTGTTTGAGTGCTTTCACAAAAATTTAGCTCTCGCGAAGAGAAAAGCTAAGCTTGAAGTTAAGGAAATCAATGCTCGGTGACACATCTAATGGATCATCAATTTTTGTGATTGATTTGTTAGAATTTCACTAACTATGTAAACTATAAAAAGTTTATCATAAATGCAGCTATTGACAAAGTGTTTTTTATGCGACGCAATTCGCACCTTCACCTCGAAAAAGCTTGAACAAGCGAGAGGAACAAATGTAATTGGGGGTCCAGAATGTCTCTGGTTAGGCATTGTGTACTCATTTATTTCGCCCGATGCATCGCGATTAAACTCGCGAAAATTTACTTTTTGACTAAAAACTAGATATTGCATTTGCGTTTTAGAATGAAAGTATCACAGAGAAATAAGGGACTCGGAAAGATATCAACCTACTTAATTTTGCGGGCATAAAGCTTCCTTTAAATCCTATTTTTTTTTTTCAAAAAAATCGCTCGTGCGCCTTATAAACCGGTGCACCTAATGTGTGGATCACGCAGTGCTTTATTGCCTATGCTTCAAATCCAGAACCCGTACTATTGTTTCATAAACAAATCGCCGCCTTCCTCTTAAAACCATTGCGTTCAATAACCCAATACGTAAGCATACGTATGCATAAAACTCAATCTAACCAATTTATGAGCAGTGTCGCTTATAATCCGATGCGCCTCGTGGTAAAATACAGTAATATTCATACCTTGTTTGCTTGTTTCGTGAATAGAACTTTCAAAATATGATAGACATGAGGAAGCACTCATTTTTGGTAAGTGTTGAAATGTCGCCGTCCGATTTGATTGCGCAATTTTTTTGATAAAGTTGATGAGTTTTTTTGGTTTTTATTTACTGCTTTGTTTTACATATCTAGTACGGTGATCTAGATTCTAGATACATTCGAATTCCCTCTAGATTTGGATTGTTCAAAACAAGCATTACAGTTATCATCATTTGATTTCATTAAGCGTAGTAAGTCGATAAATATGTGTTTTGCAATATGTCAGAGATTTCTTTAATTTGCTGAACGGTAGGTCGTTGTTTATTGGTTACGTACTGAGGTGTGCTTGTTTGCTTTAGAGTGACGCATAGCAATGCAAGCATTTAGATGCTGTAGTGACAGGTTGCTTCAAAGTTTTAATGTTTATCGACAAACACACAGGTTAACAGGTTGATTCCATGTGTAACAAAAAGCCGCAAAAAACAAACATGCTTTGTTCAGAAATCACACACTTCCCCGATTTCGAAATTCACTAGCAATCAAACGAAATTTGGTTTTTATTTGATTTTCCCAACCGTTTAACTGCTCATAAGAAGAGCCGCAAGCCGAAAGAGTTGATATCATAATTATTCTCTACGAATCATTTGATTAAGAATTCTTACATCCATTCAAATCGTTATATATCCTACTGTACTCGATGAACTTTCGGTATAAAATTCTGAAAAAGTGTGCCTTGGTGTAATTGTCAAAAATATGAGAATGTAAACGTAACCGATGTCAACCTTTGTACTTTTCACCTCCTTAAACGAAAACATATGTTTTACGTGTCCTTATCATTTATGCTACGTTGTTGTGGTTTGTTACATGTATGCTCGTCCATAACTCCCGACATGAAAGAGAAATTAGACAAAAAGTAGTTACTAATAAACTTTCATAGCTCTTGCTCTTCAGGGGCATGCCTTTCGTGCGTTGCACCCACAGCACCTCATATCAAGTGAAATGAAATGTACTCCTTACATATATGCGTTGCGTTTCACAAAAATCAAGAATGATAAAACATAAGAGGCTAGGCCGGCCTGAGCCATCGCATCTTGTGCGGCCGCAGTGCGCCCGCAATAATTTTATGTGTTAATATTAAATTTAATATTATAAATATAGGCCAGCGAGTTTATTCTATATAGGCAAGACTTGTGAAGCAAAGTCACTTCAATCGTGATTCTGCACTGTGGTAAAAGGTAATAAAATACGAAGACGAATAATTGCTTATTACAAAATTAAATTAAATGTACTCCTCACATATATATATGCATTTCACAAAAATTAAGAATGATAAGAGGCAAGGCGGCCTTGAGCCATCGCATCATGTGCGGCTGCAGTGCGTCCCGCGTTAATTTGTGTCAAATTATCAAATTTAATATTATAAATATGAGCCTGCGTGTTTATTATATATTACTCAAAACTTGTAAAGCATAGTTACCGGTACTTCAATCGTGATTTTTCTACTTTGATAAAAGATAATAAACGCGAAGACGAATAATTGGCCATTATAAAATCTTAATATTCAGCTATTATTCACATTTTTACGGAGACTGAGCCATGCAGAATCCGTTTAGCATAGGGTCCTACATTAGTTAAGACCGACCATGATACGAGTTGGAAAAACCGTCGACAATTTAAAGCATGACTGCTCTGTGAAAGGTAGCAAGATTTTTTGTAAGTTCCCAAATGAACCATGTTGCCCACGGTAGTAATTCTGGATCGGCGGTTGTTGCATAGGGATAAGCGGTAGAAACGCGCTTGCCCTCGCAGGTTTGAATACCGTAGTGGGCAAAAGCATTACTGAAGTTCTCACCACCGCTAATTATTAACGGCTTTCATTCGCCATTCAAGTTTGTGCATCTTCACCCGGAGGAACCGCGCAGTTCGCAATATCTTTGAGCCGTCTTATGGGCTTTCCACCACCATGATAAATATAAAAATCCTATATCTTTTAAATTCAACTTACCTTCTTGAGATAATGACACGTTCCATCCACTAACAATTAAATCCTCTTGTGGAACGAAGTACATCGAGAACAACGTTCCGCCTCCACCCAGTAGTAGTACAATAAGAACAAGCTTTGGGCGTCTGGTTTTGTCTGTTAAGGCCCCGAGCAAAGGTGGTAAAAGGATCGAAACAATGCGTTCCAGTGTCCATATTATTCCTGTCTGTTTCGTCGACATTCCTAAGTGCTTCATATATACTGATCGGTAGAGCAATGCGCAAGATTCACCTGAAAATGAAAAGGTATAAACTAGTTATTAGAGATCCCTAATTTTCGAACTCAATTACATTTCCTGATTTTGTGTTTTCGGTTGCTCGGAATAATCGAAAATTGCGGTTAGCGTCGCGTGCTGTTGTGACGGCTGAAAACGATGGTTGCGAGTTCGAGCCTCGCTCGGGACAGTTTATTCAAAGCAGAAAGCATTCCGGTATCCGCCATCTTGGTGCACATACTTCCGGAGCGCCCAATTACGCAGTGATACGGAATGCTCGAGTCCAACATCTTATTAGTATTCTACGAAACTTAATATTTGTTTTGTAGATTTGAGTGCTTCCATTCACAAAATCGATAATATTTACATTCAAAGAAAAGATGTGATAAGTGCAGCGTCGTCGGCTCCAGTGGCGCAATCGGTTAGCGCGCCGTACTTATATGACAGATACGGAGTGATGCGGAGGTTGTGAGTTCGAGCCTCACCTGGAGCAATTTTCTTACCCTGAACACGATTATGCCGCCAAATTTAGAGATTTCGTGTTTGAATCCCAGTTAATTCTATAATCTAATTAAGTTCATATATTTATTACATCATCGGCTACCCAGCGCATTAACCGGGACCCAAATTCCAATGTCTACTATACTACTTTGAAAAATAAATATTTGTTTTGGAGATTTGAGTACTCCACTTTAAAATGAATCGATGTTATTCAGATTAAAAATAAGACATGACAAGTGCAGCGACGGCGGCTCCAGTGGCGCAATCGGTTAGCGCGCCGTACTTATACGACAGATACGGAGTGATGCGGAGGTTGTGAGTTCGAGCCTCACCTGGAGCAATTTTTGCATAACACATATTAACCTGGGTTGCTCAATTTTAGATTGGGATTTCATGTTTGAATCCCCGTTTATTTGATCAATCAATTGGTCACCTGGCGTCTACCAGTACGCTCAAGTACTTCTTAAACTTGCCCATTTTCAGAGAGATAGAGAACACATTATCAAAATATTTGTTTTCAATCCGATCAGCCAGTATTTCTCAACAACTTGGAACTTGTCGATTTCTGTTTTATATGTTTTGGAGATTTGAGCGCTTCCGCTGGGGAAAATAAGTGTCAGCCATGCAGGCAAGCTCCAGTGGCGCAATCGGTTAGCGCGCAGTATTTATATGACAGCTACGGAGTGATGCGGAGGTTGTGAGTTCGAGCCTCACCTGGAGCAATTTTCTTACCCTGAACACGATTATGCCGCCAAATTTAGAGATTTCGTGTTTGAGTCCCAGTTGATTCGATAATCTAATGAAGTTGTATGATGTATAATGCGCTCTTTCATTATCATCTTTCTTTGAATAGGATACATTAGTATTATTTTCCATTTTTAATATGATCGGGCAAATTTTCTCCGACATTCGGGCTTCTTCGTTTATTCACATACTTTTGAAATTCTAAGTTATAGGCTTTGTAACAAGCTTATGGAGTTCATTACATCATCGGCTACCCAGCGCATTACCCGGGACCCAAATTCCAGTGTCTGCTATACTACTTTGAAAAATAAATATTTGTTTTGGAGATTTGAGTACTCCCACTTTAAAATGAATCGATGTTATTCGGATTCAAAGTAAAGATGTGACAAGTGTAGTGTCGTCGGCTCCAGTGGCGCAATCGGTTAGCGCGCCGTACTTATATGACAGATACGGAGTGATGCGGAGGTTGTGAGTTCGAGCCTCACCTGGAGCAATTTTTCGAAATAAACTGGTAGTTGAACTATATGTATGTCTGAAGAAGTATGACCTTGGTCAGACGAAACGTTACGTTACAGAAATATATTTGTGTTAGTGTGCAGCAAGACTCTTAAATCACTTAGGATTGTTATCTCTACTCTTGACTCTTGCTTTAATAAATGTTACTGCGATAATTACATTCATGCTGTTACATACCTGCCATAAAGAAAAGATAAATAAGCTTCAACGGTATATGACTCCGATTTATGTGAACTTTGCATCTTCTTCTGTTCGTTTCGTCTTTCTTTATAGAAATGGAGTCTTCCATTTTGTCAACTTTCTTTAACAATTTATACTAAAGGTTATGTAATGTAAACATATTTTTTTATAATACGTCTGCCAGAGGAGCAAAATCCTGGTGTAAGTGAATATAAGGTGAAAAATATAAGAAAAAGAGGAAGCAGTGCAATGCGCATACTTCCGCCGAGGGTCACGAGCTGTCACGTACGCATTATGCTGTATGCAACGGCGTCTTCTGTCAAATTCATGCCAGATCCACTCATTTTAAGAATAAAACGAGAATATCGGTTGGAAACCGAAGACTTATCGATCGATAGTTAGGGGATCCCCCAAAACAGAAACTGCAGTTTCGATTCATCCGCTCTTGTAACTTGCGCACTGCGCATCGCACACACACACTCGGCGGGTTTCAAAATTCTCTCGCTTTACAAAAATCTAGATCACTATATCAATAATTGATTGATAACTCGCTAATTATACGACATAATTCGCCCAAAATCAATAGGCTTCTGGTCCGAGATAAGATGAATGCACATGCAAAATCTGGAGCAGATTCAATCTCGCCTTCGTGAGATATCGCGTGCATCTAACAGACACACACACAGACAGACAGACATACATACAGACAAATACCTATCAATATACTTACCGATCTTAAGATCGATAAGTAATAAAAACCTATAATATTACAACACATGTTCGTTTGAAATGCTATTTACTTTAAAAACCCCAATAAGAAATCGAGAAAAATTTGAATCACTACCTATGCTTCGACAACATATGTGGATTTACTTTTGGTAAAATGGACAGGTCGCGTCATGATTTATGCCGCTACAGATGTTGCAACCCTATACGCGAGAAGATACATTGGTAAACGTTTTTTGCCTCTTCTAAAAACCCTATACCAGTGTTTTCAATCTTTTTGTCGACCGGAACAACCAATATTCAGAGGCTCGAGGTATCCCTGTGCAATTGATTACATATATATATCATGAAATATATATTATTAAAAGATGTGAAAATACCACGTGACACAGAACATCTGGAGGTCTTTCGCAGAACACTGATGAAGCACACCGACTATATAATTGTATTTGTGTACTTAAACAACGTACATATACATATTCATACAGGGTGTCCATAAAGTCTTAAATTTTTTTTTAATTGCAAAAGGAATTTAGCGACACCATATATATATTGTTTGGGCCCTCACAGATGTATTAAATGAAATAAAAATACTTAAACATTTACTGAATAAAAAACAATCCTTTATGGACGTCCTGTATATATATAAAATAATTTACATTCTCAGATTTGCATGTAAACTTGCGGACTCGCTGAATAGTACCGACGTGAACTTACCGTTCCGAGGAATCCTGGTTGAAGACAACTGCTCTATACTATTGAGATCAGACAGAATTAGGTTAAGTCTCGCAGAACATTTCTTATCCTATATATTCAACATACGAATCAACATCGCATCTCTTGGTGCAAAGCTATTGATCGACCTTCGCGGTAAACAATACTACACGACGACTGAGCTATACTATAAAAAGAACTCGTAACATTCAATGCAATTTTACTCCAAATCAAACAACTTTCTCGCTTGCATAATCAGCATTATAGTCGGAAGAAAGATGGGAATATGGTCCCATTGTGCTTAAAATATCCATATAGTATGCCGTTTTGTCATACAGGGCAAAAGATGACTTTTACATATGTATAACAGTTAACATTCTGCTCATGCCTACATATACGTTCAGTGTGCTTGCGTAAGGTTGGCAAATATTTTTCACGACGCGTCAGCGGCATTTTGTGCTTACTCAAATAGGATCGATTTTGGAAGCAATGAATCAGAATGTGCAATGTAATATTACAAAGCAAAAGATGACTTTTACATATGTATAACAGTTAACATTCTGCTCATGCTTACATATACGTTCAGTGTGCTTGCGTAAGGTTGGCAAATATTTTTCACGACTCGTCAGCGGCATTTTGTGCTTACTCAAATAGGATCGATTTTGGAAGCAATGAATCAGAATGTGCAGGGTAATATTTATTGTTATTATAACTCTTTCGGATACAGCACAAAACTGCTTTTCTCATTTGAGAGTGAGGGAATGGTGTAGTTGACCACGTTGGAAATGATAGGATTGCAGCAGAAAAGAGACAGTTTTTTACCGTTGAGTAGGGCTAGGAATTTCAGGGAAAACACTTCAACCGTTAACCGGGTAAAATTAACCGCAGCTTGGCGTTTGACGTAATAATTTTAGCTTATACGTCACAATGGCTATAAAGCAATTTCGCGTGATCTCATTCCGGTGTCTCTCAAAGTTATTCACGAATCGAGATAGTTTCGTGATCGCTCTGCTGCAAGAGATATGAAAGTATTTTAGTAAAACCCGATTCCGTTATTAAATGTCATTTACGTGACAAATTTTTAGTACTCGATGTGCTAATTCTTCTAAAGATATCACGAAGAAAACAAGAGAGCTGTGCTCAAATATATGGACACGTCACAAGGTGTCGCTATTTTTTTTATTTTGACACATAAAAAACGAATCTCTTGAAGTCTACACAAACTTTTGAAATAAGTAAAAGTAATAGCCTTCTGACAAAAAAATCAATCTTCAACCACTGAATATTTCAAAGCAATTGGTCCAGTATTCGAAGATAAAAGCGATTTCATCATGACGAAAGAGAAGAATAATACTAACAAGAACAACAACATAATATTAAAACGATCGTTATGTACACTGACGTGTCCAACTAGCATCAAATACGAAAAGAAACGTGCTGCTCAAATATTCACTGGTAAATGATATCTATTGAAAATCGCTGACATGATAGCCAAAATGATTACTCAAACAAAGTAAATCTTTAACAATACTTACGATTGAATTACGCGAGATTGTGAGAACCATAATTGGCCGACTTTTCTCCCTATTCAACTCGAAGCGACGAAGTGATCGCCTACTTAACCTACTTGCGAACTTTGGTCTGGTGTTTATTCAGTGAAACCTTTAACTGAAGTACTGTTGGAGCAGACGTTAGACGGGTTTGCTCACGTTTATTTTAAATATAAATAGTATGTATGTTCGTCAAAGTAACAAACCGCAGAAATTGAGGTTAGGTTGTGAGACAGACTTACCTTTGACGCTACCGGTACCCTCAAAATATTTCCGAGTTTCGTGCAGCAAGAATTTACTAATAACACCGGACAGCCGGTGTTCCCATGGATAAAATATTAAAGCGAAATTTTGGATGAAATATCAGATTTCATACGAAATTTGGAAATTAATAAAAGTAATAGTCTTCCAGCGAAAAATATATTTTTTACTCACTGAAAATTTCAAAGCAAATGCTCCAGTAATCAATGAGTAAAGCGATTTTCTTCATTACGATACCAAGAAAAATACAAACAAGAAGAAGAAGAGTGCCAGCATAAAATGCAAAACGATCGTTATGTCCCCCAACATGTCAAAAAATGCATAATTATAAACCGATGAAGTCTTGTACGAAATATTCCGAACTAATTTTATATTAGTTTTCTCCAAGGGGGTTCGGACGTTTCCCAACCGGGGCGGATTTTAATTTTCTTGGGGAGGGAATATGACTTTGCATTGGGTGTAGTTTCGCAAATATTGTAAAGTTATTCAGTATTATTGTGATACATATTATGGATATTTCATAAACTATTCAAACTGTGCAGAAGGTAGTGTGCGGGGTCAGCATAGCACTAGAAAAATGATCTATCAAAGATTAAACAAATAGAGGAAACAGTTTATTATGCATAGTGATGGACGAATATAGGAATCCAAAATAGGCAATTTGATGATTTGATCGAAAAGGTTGGGAACCACTGCTCCAAGGGGTGGTGGTGTAAAATCGCTTCGTAATAATATCCTTGCAGAATGGATGACACCAATCCCGAAATAATTAAACTCAACTTCGTACGATAAACAGCTAAGTGAAATTTTACTAAGAGATTTTTCGTTTCTTGGTACGTTTCTGCGGACATTTGTGCTTGTTAAAAGTTTACGATCATATCGGATGCTTAGTAGAATGGTTTCTAAAGTATAACGCTTAAATGAAAGATAGGTAAGGGGCTACTACTCGCCCCGGATGCTCTTTTTTATGGCGTCCTTCGAATTCTACGAACAATACTCATTATTACAATATTTACTCAGCGCTAATTGATTGTATCGAGTATCACGCAATGAGCCCACGCCGTTATATGGTGTTGTTTTTCTAAGACGATTAACGCGTACTATGTAGGCCAATCGATATCGTCAGATGTGAAAATTCAAAGGTAACTATGAGATACATGACATAAAATGAGACGAATTTGAAAAAAGCAAATTGCATATGAAATTAGTTGGGACTACGCCAGTTACCTACCTGTCCTAGTTGAAATAGTCCGACCTCGCTCAAACATTATATTACGGGAATACCCTAGTGTAAGTGTGTAGCAAGACTCCTAAATCAAATGTACTACTGTGTTGAGATATTAGTTTCACAGATAGAGTGAATGTAACGCTTAGCCTATAAAACGTTTTCACAGATTATCCGATACAAATACTGTGTAACTACTATAAGGAACACAAAATTTATTTCAGAGAGTATTTTACCTGAATTCTAACAAGGTACTGTACACTAATCTACCCATATGTATAGGTAGTTGATATTTATTGAAAGAATTCAGAATCTTTTGAATCCGCTGATAGCATACTCAATTCGATGCCATGAAATAACAGTAAATTTCTCCTGATTTATTTACAGTGTGTTTATACAGTTTTCGTGAGAAAGAATCGTGAAAACAGAATCTGTTTGTTTATACAAGGTTGAATATGCGCCATTGATGAACCCCAACATTGAAGGAGGTAATGTTAGGACCATGCTTGGCTACATATCGTACTTTCTCAATACACCTTAAATGCCTTTTTAGTTTCCTCCCAATCAGACAAACCTACCTTTGCATTGCGGGTGTTATCCTTGATATGCGGGGATATTGAATTTGAATCTTTTACTCGAGACTCAAATACAGTTAGGTGCAACGCGACGATACAGTTGGATTCTAATATCACGATGTTTTTTTTACTTCGTACCAGTATTCAAGTCATCCTTAATTTTAGCGATGCCATAGATTGGATATTTAGACAAAGAAGCCTAAAATCTTTCGTGTTCAAATATATATTTATCGTATATTCGAGAAATATTTTGATATAAAAACTAATTAGTTAAACTTAAACGAGGGGCCTGCTTGATAGTCAGAATGGAAGACTCTGGTAATGGAAATGAGAAGAAAAATCATCATAAAAGATGCGATTTTCATGTGAATCGAAGTCACATACCTTTGAAGCTCATTTATTTATTTTTTATGGCTGGTAAGTGGTGGGTGTAAATTTTATTATTAAATAATTCCATTCTTCTGAAATTTCTAATTGCCAAGCTAGACCGAAACAACTAGCTAGTCCGGAAAACGTGGGTTTGAAGGTCAAAAAAGCGGTTCAAGCTACAAAAATTGCTAGTATGACACAGAAAAAATGGGCCTGGGTTTGGACCACCCTGGCCTAAACAGTTCTATTTTTAGGTTTCCCTGGAAATTTTTGCCTCCTAATATTACTATGAGATTCCCGGGAATAGTAAATTTCAAATCCGAAACTATCGAGAGTTTGAAAATACGAGTCTTTTGTACAAAGCCTCGTGTGAGCTTTGAGAAAAATACCCCCGCAACGTCACAAAATAACAAATTAGGGATTATCTAGTAGGAGTTAGGGATAATTTAAAAATCTGGATTACCAGCGCAATCTGCATTCCTAACCCGAAAACCTAACTGGATAATGACTAATTTTCTTATTTTGAGCGATGGCGGGTTATTATTTTTTTGGCGAGGGCTTTGTACAAAAAATCCGAAAATACTACTCCGCTCCAATAAAAATGCCTAACTTCGCGTCGATGTTTCGTCTTAATACCAACTTAATAATGATGAATTCTATTTTGCAGGGGAATCATGTGTGCTACTTTATCGATCGATATACATGAAGCACTTGGGAATGTCGACTAAACAAACTGGAATCATATGGACACTAGAAAGAATATTTTCTATTCTTTTACCCCCGTTAATCGGTGCTATTACTGACATAACAAGACGGCCAAAATTAATCCTTATTATTCTTCTACTTGGTGGTGGTGGGACTCTGTGTTCGATGTACTTTGTTCCGCAAGAAGATATGGTGTCTAGCGGCTGGAACGTATCACTATCACATGGAGGTTAGTAAATAGAAACTGTGACCGTACATTTGAACCCATGCGTATATCCACGGGTTCAATCTATATGCGGGTGCTAAAACCCATGGGTTAGGGTTAGTATGGGTTTAACTATCCGTGAAACAAAAAAAATCCATAGGTGCAATAGCATACAGGTGCAATTGTCATGGATTCAAATGTACGTGGGTTCAAAAGTAATGGAACCAATAGAAACATATCTTTGGGAACCGCTGCTAACACAATGAAACGTCATAGGCATCAGGTATAAGCTTTGCAACGCTACACGTACCAGTTTAAATTAAAAACTCGTTTCGCGGGCTGCACACTATTCAAAATTGGCACCTCTCCGCGGCTGCACAATATTTCCTTGTGGGCCGCAAGTTGCACATCCCTGCTGTAGTTCGTTAAAATAGTAATAATATGAAAAGCATATCCCATTGTAGACGCAGGTAAAAAAAAACTTTGCATATTTTGCAGAAGTATACACTGGAAATATATCGTTCTGTTGGACAATACACTGCGAGCAAAAATACTCACCAAATCAAGATTTCTGCGTTTTGGGAAATCCAAAGGCTAACTGGATACACTGTCAAGAGGATCCGATAGCTATTGGATCGCTGTCATGCACTTCAAAAATGTCTCCTGAACTTATCCTCATGTATCGAAGTCCCGGAAAAACAAAAACCGTAATTGATATTACTCCTTACGTGATAAATGATACAATTACTTCAACTAAATCCAATGTGGTCGACAATATAACTCTTATTGAGGACTACTTCTCAGTGAGTTCAACTATGTTAAAAGCAAACTCTAGCATAAAGTCTATATGCAAGATTCATTCAAATAATCACAATTTTACTACGCTAACTTTACTCTTAACCTCTCAACAAGTCGACAAGCTGTACGACGGCCTGTTAGGCCAAGCTATTGTTTACTCGATTGTCAATCCTCGGTTGTTATGCATTGACTATGACGTCACATATAATGATAACGGCCAGCAACAGTCCTGCGACGAATTCGTCCACAATGAAATTGACACATATGGTGTAACATTTTGGGTATTTATTACCCTTATTTTTATATCTTCCTTTGCGAGCATTGGCAGTTATCCCGTCATTGAAGCAAGTGTTTTGGGGGTATTGGGGCCAGAGAAACGTCATAGATTTGGTCACCAACGTCTGTGGGCTTCGGTAGGATGGGGATCGGCAGCTCTCCTTATTGGATATTTGAAGGGTATGAAATGTTTTTTTATATTTATTATTTAGTTTTATGCTCATTTGAGCCACGCTTCAAAAATCTAATAGGCCTCCGACTGTATTAATACGGATATGTCAGAAATGCTTACCGGTGCTTATCATTTTATGATTATTCTGACCTCATGAAGGTGACTTTTGTTGAAAGATATGTGAAATGCAAATGTATAAATACTTGATTCAATAGCTTGTTGGTGTTAGTTTGTGGACTGAGTTTTGTAATAGTATTTTCAACAAATGTTTCACCTTAAGATTTGTTTCAGACAGGGATCTAGATTTATATGGAGGCAAAGGAAATCCAAATCGGCCATTTTTGTCAATGTTTGTGGGTATCCTGATCTGTTGGATCTGTGCAGCAATGGTTGCGGCAAAGTTGCCGATAAAAGCAGCTTCAAATACGTCCAAAGTCCGTTTTAAAGATATAAAGGTGACTGTAACAATTTCTCTTATCAATACCACTTCCATTTTTATTATCACTGAACACATGGGAACGTGATAACTCGGTTCGAAATCGAATATTTAGATATTGAATCGAATTGGAATATGAAACCGTAGTAAAATTCAAATTATCATTTAATCCTTATTTTATGTATTGTTTTACCAGGAAGTGCTGAAACGAGGTAAAGCTATCGCATTCCTTGTGTTAGTCCTATTCTATGGAGCGAATATCGCGGTGAAAGAAATTTATTTGTTTTGGCTTGCAGAAGTTAAGCTTAACGCACCAAGCTCGATGCTAGGTAAGTTGGTATGTCGTTTTAAAGTAGTGAAGGTAATGGCCAACTGGTTTGGGCAGCGTTTTTCGAACATTTTATTTGTCCCGGAACACCTACGCTTTTTATCTCGCCTCGCGGAACACTAAGATACTGGAAGGTAAAATTTGTGGGTAGTTTAAAAAAATGTAGTCTATGCCATAGACTCTATTGTAAAATTATAATGTTTGCTGCAGAGTAGAGTTTAAAATTAAAAAATTAGACCAACGGTTAACTGTTTTTATCGCAAATACTTGTTTTACAGCAAAATGCTCTTGCCGCGATTTTTCTTTTGCGGCGAGTTATTGCGTTGCCTATATATATATAGACCCTTCTTACAAATTACACGCATAATCTCTTAATAACATAAAATTATTCAGGGGTTAGAGTCTAACCGTAACCGTTAGATTATTATCGTATTTTGGGTATCAGTTTATCTGACCCCATAAAAGGATCTCATCTACAGTTGTATTATAACCTCTTACCTCACATTTCGTTTTTTTGTCGTTTAGGTATTTCAACATTCATCAGCACTCTTCTAGACATACCGTTTTGTTTGGCTGCCGGTTCCCTGATCAAAAGATTTGGACACACGCCAATAATATGTTTTGGAATGCTCATTTATTCAGTAAGTCATCAAAACTTATTTTCTATGTATACTTGTACAAAGAGTTTTCATATTTACTTTGCGGAAAATAAGGATCATAATATGGATAAATCATATGGCGCACGTGGATTCGCCAGGTAAGCAGTGCAAGCCATGTGTGGAAACGTCGGTACTCCCGAAGTATGTGTTCCAGGTTAGGGTTATGCCATAATTTTATTCCGTATTATTTTTTAGTTCTATTACGAGTTCGGAGACTGCCTGTGTTAGCCAAGTGGATGTACCATTTCATCAAATCGAATATTTTAACGAATTGTCGAATATCGGGTATTTTTAGTATATATACGACATGCAACAAAACGCTAGACATTCTAATGTTGCTGAGTTATTTCCGCCCTTCCTCCTTTTTTTTCACAAGGACCAATTATTACACAACGGCGAACGCTGAAGTTTTATATTGCTGGGAGAACTATTCGTTAATATCGGCGACATATGTTAAAGACAGCTCATGAGGAGTGAATTCGGGATTTTATTCCGATATTTATCTTTTGCGCTGGCTTTGATCTTTCTCCCCACCGTTTGTAAATTGCATGTCCAATTTTAAGCTAACAATATTACCCTTTCTGACGCCTGAATGCGGATATTTATTAAGAAGATAGTTGACCTTCGCATAATTTGACTTGTACTGTTTTATTTTCGTATTGAATAGTGAATAAAAACCCGACAAAGTCATTGCGTGAATTTTGAATGTTATTTTCAGTTCAAATAATGAATCAATAAATCGGCAATAATAGCAATTCTAGTAGTCAAATAATAATTCCATAGTGAAATTTGGGAAAAATTTCGCACAATAATTTGGTATTTTGTTTGGCATTTTCAATTTTACGAAACGGTGTGGGCGCGCTTTATGCAAAACTTAGAATTGAAACAATATCCAAATACGACTCGTCAAATATGTCGTTTCTGTTTGTTAACATAAGTCGTGGCGTAAATTCGAAGGATTTGAAATTGGAATTTCTTGAAATAAATCAGAAATAAAATCTCTGCGCGGCACACCAAAATCATTTCGCGGCACACTAATGTGCCGCGGCACGGTGGTTGGAAACCACTGATCTATACAGTGCCTGATTCCACAACCATTCTAATAAGTCTCTATATTACGTATTTCAGTTGCAGGTGATATTATGTGGAGTAATAACAGAACCTTGGCATTTGATCCTCGAGGAAGCACCGAGGGGTATAAGTTGGGGGCTGACCTGGGTTGTGATGTGCTCGTACACTGCTAAAATTTCTCCGCTCGGATTAGAGGCTTCAACAATGGGGATCACACAAGCTACGTTGTGGGGAATAGGTGAGGATGATATTATTTTGTTTTGGTGTTTATTAAGTCACAGTTAAATTTAGTTTAATTATGTCATGAAGTCAGTTCTCAATACTTCCTAAATCAGGTTTGTTTTATTTTAAACAGTGATTATTTAGGTTTTTACTTCATTTACTACACCTGTACGGGCCATCAAAGTATATATGGTATCGATATATTCACTTTGCTGCAATAATAAGTGAATTTAGCGTTGGTTTGAATTGAAAGTGTCAAGTCCGACAATCCCAACTACATATTTCTGGGGTACTCCCGTAGTATGTGTACCAGGTTAGGGTTAGGCCATAATTTTATTTCGATTTTCCTTATTTTAGTTCTATTACGAGTTCGGGGACTGTCTGTGTTAGCCAAGTAAATAGGCTTTTGTCCCATCACACAACTTGATGTAAAGTAGGCGAACAAAGTTAGTTACCTCCACATTGGTACATACACTTCTGGAGCGCCTTCCTGGGTAATCGATGTGGCTAATTGGAGCATTTCTTTCTCAAAAAAAGGCGCATATGTTATTTGTTATCAATCAATCGATGCAGCATGCCTTGAAATGATTTATATTCAAGTTATGTGCGATAACTAATTGTTCCAATTACACCTAAGATGTATCAATATTCTGATTCATCGAAAAACCATTTTCAGCTTGTTTTATCTTCACGAGTTCAACGCTTTATTGCTAATCTATTGTTGCAGGTTACGGCGTGGGTGCTTTACTCGGAGGAATTTTCTTTCAAACGTTCGGGGGAGATAAAATGTTCTTGTTATTTGGTGCCATGAGTTTGTGTGTTTCAGTATTATTCGGAATATTTTCTTTTTGTACACGTAACAAAGACGATTCTGATGTCACAGACAAAGAAGATGGCAGTTTAGATGAAGGTATGACCTGTTTGTCTTCGGGGATTACAGTGTGACAAAATGTAATTTTTTTATGCCATTTCGAGTCCTAATTAGGGTATATAGCTTGTATCTCCTAGTAGGGGCATAGTCGAGGGGTTCCTCCTTTTGAAATGTAAGCATATTTCTGTAACTTACATTGCAATTTTTCGTAGCGTAAAACGCTTTTAGACCCTCAAGACTCTTGAAAAACACTCGGACCCGTTAGCTGTTATGGTCTGACTTGGCAATTACAAATTTCAGAACCCACCCCCTCTTTGGAAATTCCTGGCTACCCCGCTGTCTCCTAGTTTCTGAAATTCATATTGAAATGTATGATATGTGTCGTCAAATCAGTAGCTTATGACATTTCATGCCTTGTTCGGAGTTACGGGCGTATGGAATTGAGTCACTATTACTCATAACAATATCACTTTTACAATTTTTCATATCGAAGAAAAAGAAACTCTGAAAAATAATGAAGAAGATGTTGAAGAGAAGACGCACGTTTAATTATACTCAGGGGATGAAAGTTGAAACACAAATTTTAACGAAGACTAAATATAAAAGAATTGATCAGAAACTAGCCCAGTTGTCAAAAATCAAAAATGACCTTGAATGACCCTTTGTTCTGTATCACGGTCGTACCCAAGTGGACAAGTACTTTTGGACACTCAAGACCCGGATCCGCTAGATGTTACGGTCTGACCTGGCATTTAGAATTTTCAGACCCCCCTCCCCCTTCTTTTGTAAATTCCTCGCTACGCCCCTATTCTGTTTATGTATTACTTACAGACTTGTGAGTGGCTTATACATTGCAACCAGTGGTGGGATTCAGCCGGTTCGAACCGGTTCTACAGAACCGTCTCACGAAGTTTTATGAGATCAGCGAACAGGTTAGCATTACTGGTTACTGTCAATGACTTTTTGTAACAGAACCGGGTGAAAAATATGACTTCTGTTATGGAACCGGCTGACAAAAAAATTGAATCTCACCACTGATTGCAACATGTACTAATACATGCAGATCTTCGATCAACCGATTCTCACTTCAAATTGTTTACATGTAAACGGTCTTGAATAACTTTGTTGTTCACTGCTGATATGCAAATGTGTTCAAGTGTTCGTTTTGCTTGTACAGTTCTTAGTGGCATTTATTATGTTTTATTTTTTTCTGGAGTTTTGTGATCATGAACTGTGAATAGAAAAATTCATGTCTATATTCGTTGGTTTCTGATTAACGTAATATTTGTAACGACCACATCGTTTTTGATTTATATAACCTTGTGAGATCTTTTCTATCACTGTTTTAGTTTTTTTTTGGCAAAACTGCTGTGAAGTATCTTAATGCAAATATATATTGCACTGTGATACATTTTGGGGGTTGTAGTGACTTATTGGCCAGGAAGACTCTCTTGGAAATGTAGTTAGGAAGGCGCTCCAGAAGTATGTGTACCAATATGGTGGTAACTAATTTTGTTCGCCTACTTTACATCAAGTTGTGTAAACTGTAAAAGGAATGAAACCTATGGGCTAAAATAGACAGTCCCCGAAATCGCAATAAAACTAAAACAAGAGAGCTATGCTCAAATATATGGACACGTAGCGCCACCCGATGGCAATAATTTTGATGACGTCATAGCGAAAAAAAAGTAATAGCCTTCTGGAGAAAATTTTTATCTTTAACTGAAAATTCCAAAGCAATTGGTCCAGTATTCGAAGAGAAAAGCGATTTTTTCAAAATGATGGAGACAAATAACAATTACAACATAATATTGAAACGATCGTTATGTCCACTAAACGTGTCCTATAAGGAAAATCAGAATGAAATTATGGCCTAACTTGGTACACACACTGTGGGAGTACCGTTTAGAAACCTTGAAACAACTTTCATTGTGAGAAAAATCTTCGTCACGAGTATTGCTGGTTTGCGCTTTAGTGAGGGGGTCGTTTGGGTGGGTGTTGTTTGGCTCCAAAACAACAGAAAAGCGGCGGCAAGTTTGGCAACAAAATATTTAGCGTATATTCATAGCTTTCCAATTGTAACAGCATTAGGCAATATGTACAAACCTTTTAAAATTCGTGTCTGCTCTCGGATCAGTAAATTAGGCGATTCAGCAAGTGCCACAAAAGTCGCAGGTGAGCTGATGATGAATTCATTTCTGAACCGCTGTTTTTATTATTCTCTCAAATAACATGCCGCATCTGACGTAATACTACTTTTCTAATTCTCTCGTTTTCTCGGCATCGAAATCAAGTCTTCTAATTTTCGCTCGTTACATGAGTAACGCTGTTTTCTTTATTTAAAATGTCTGTTTATCGTAAATTTGGCAACGACGGAACGAGGAAAGTGATCTCATCTTGAACTTGAGTGGGCAGACTTTATTGTGATTCATATATTTTTACAGCGAGTTTAGCTTTTTGCCCGCTCACTGTAGTAAACTGGTTAGCATGTAAAGTGTGAAGGTAGAATTCCAGAAGACAGGAAGATGGGATTGTCTGGCTGTTGGATAGGATATGATAAGATTTTCATATTTATCCCGAGTAGAGGAAAGTCGATAAGACAGCCTATTAATGTGGTGAACTACAACCTCTCGTCCGGTTACCAGTCCATGCCGTGTACCGTATCGTATGACCTGGTATGATATTAGTTAGCCAGTTATTTGTTTCAGATGCGTGGACTTTATACCGGTAATGGAGTAACCCATACGGGCCATACCTGCATACGGTACCTTACAGACATAAGCAGGTTCTGAGTTCAGCAGTTTAAAACAGTTCAACCAATACAGTACCGTATGTGTCTTTCTCTCACTTTTTTATAATTACTGAATTGTTTGGATCATTGAATTTTTAAGATTCATTTCAAAAGGCAAACTGGCTGATTCTTAAGGATTGTCTTTTGTCTAGTTATGAGGTCCAGTGTAGTTTCAGACCTCAAGTACTTCTAGTGGGCGTAACTTTGGTAACAATTTTTGCATATGTCAAACCTAGCCCGCCCCACCCGACTGCGTCATCCGAAAATTATGTCACTACGACGTTTCAGTGATGTAATAAGGCCCTTCAAGCTATACAAACGGCTGAACTGTCATCCAAGGTGTGCAGACGATCACCCCAAACTGAGCATGCTATTCATCTCGTTACCTCAGTGTAATGATCTTGATGTGAGTGAGATTGCTGCTGTTAATGAGTCCTTTATCGTCAGCACAGTGCCATTTTGGGTGATTGTTGGTATACTAATTGTCTCTGAGGCGAGAGTGTCTGGCGCTGAACTGTCATCCAAGGTGTGAAGACGATCACCCCAAACTGAGCATGCTATTCATCTCGTTTCCTCAGTGTAATGATCTTAATATGAGAGAGATCGCTGCTGTTAATGAGTCCTTTATCGTCAGCGCAGTGCCATTTTGGGCGATACTTGGTATACTAATTGTCTCTGAGGCGAGAGTGTCTGACGCGTTGGCAGATGCAACAGGATGTGCTCTGCTTGTCTTGATAATATCTCGATTTAAATGTGTTAGTTTTCAGCTTTTATAATTACCGTACTAAGACTGTCTGATCCATTCTCTATTTTGTGCTCGTCTTTAGGACATATTAGGTATTATTGCTTTTGTAATGTCACTAAGGCTGCTTTGATTTTCAAATCTTTGATTATTTGCTTTAGTGTAATTATAAAAACGAACCTATTTTTCAGAAATTATTTTAAACTCAATAATTTGACTCCAATCACCACAGCAAAATGCCACAGAACGAACATATTGAGCTTCATCGGAAGCGACATGGTTATCGTCTCGACTATCATGAAAGAAAACGAAAGAAGGAAGGGAGGGAAGCTCACACACGAGCGATTAAAGCAAAGAAACTGATTGGACTGAAAGCGAAGATGTACAACAAACAGAGACGCAATGAAAAAATAATGATGAAAAAGACGATCAAAATGCATGAAAAACGGGACACTAAGCAGAAAGATGATGAGAAGACACCAGAGGGAGCTATTCCTGCTTATCTGCTCGACAGAGAGAGCCAAAGTCGTGGAAAAGTTTTATCTAACATGATTAAGCAAAAACGTAAAGAAAAAGCGGGAAAATGGTCTGTTCCGCTTCCAAAAGTACGAGCCCAGAGCGAAGCTGAAGTTTTCAGAACAATTACAACAGGGAAAAGAAAAAAAAAAGCATGGAAGCGGATGTGCACGAAAGTTTGCTACGTTCCTGATAACTTTACGAGAAAACCACCGAAATATGAGAGATTCATCAGACCAATGGCGCTTAGGTTCAAAAAAGCACATGTCACTCATCCTGAGCTGAAGGCTACATTTTGTTTACCAGTCATCGGAGTAAAAAAGAATCCGTCATCTGCTATGTACACATCTCTTGGAGTAATCACAAAAGGAACAGTCATAGAAGTTAATGTGAGCGAACTGGGATTGGTAACACAAGGGGGGAAAGTAATCTGGGGAAAATACGCCCAGGTGACAAATAATCCCGAAAACGATGGCTGCATAAACGCAGTATTACTGGTCTAGATATTGTCGTAAAGAAAAAAAAATTATCCTTGGTGTGGTATGTGGGATAATCATCGAATAAAATCATACTCCAATACGACAGTCAAATCCAGAAGCCTTTTTTCAGGAAAGGTCATTTAAGTAGCAGTTGGGACCAATTATCCAGCCTTTTTACTGACTCTTCAATTTTGCTGGCAGATTTTTTGTTTTTTGATCAAAACCTCTAGCCAGCAAAAAGTGTAGAGACATACTTTGGGTGATTACTGCTAATCCTCATTCTGTTGCTGGGATTTTTTCGAATTCTTCTATCTCAGCTAAATTTTGATCTGTTTTGTTGTTTCATTTACATGTTCCTTGTTCTACAATCAGTGGAATATTATTTTTGAATGTGTATATATATTGTATGTGATCGTACATAAAAATCGACCCCCTTAAAAGGTGAATTTATAAAAATTCACATATAAGTTGACCCTACATATCATAACACGCTGTACCTCCTGCGACAGCAAATTCGAGTTGTAGCTGTTGGAATTAAGTTAGCATAATGTGAATTCGTTTGAGTGCACATATAGGAGTGCGCAGAGTTATGTGCATATAAGCCCACCTTTTTAGTTTGGCAAATATTTTGTTTTGAGTTTTGAACTCAGCTTATATCAAGGGTATTCGCCAAGTTTATTCACAGTTTTTTTGAAGTCAAATTGAATTATTTTCTGTTACCATTCTGCCAAATTTTTGTGAGATATTTCAAAACTCAATACTTTTTTTGACTGACTTTTCAGTAATGTTGCCTTAACATTATCAATTGCAATCTGCTTTCCTTTAAATTAGATTATAGGTACTTGATATAGCTATAAATAACCATGGCTCACATTGACGATATGCGGACTAGAGTCACTATGGGGGAGCATGGAGTATTAAACGTTCATACAACTGACTTTCCTGGGAGTTATGTCGGCTACGATGACGCATGGAACCGCGAAAAGTTTATGAAAAACTTTCGGATTAATATTTTGAAATGTAATGAAGATGAAATGACTTTTGATATGATTGGGATTGACGCTGCCATAGCGAATGCATTTCGAAGGATTCTCCTGGCTGAAGTCCCAACGATGGCGTTCGAGAAAGCGTTTATTTACAACAACACCAGTATAATACAGGATGAAGTGCTTGCTCATAGGTAATTCATGAATTTTTAATGACTTTGAATTAAAAAGGGATCTTTCACATTTATCAATGAGGAGAGGAAAGTTGATAAAATTATTTTAACCACTACCTTGAGTTCAGAAGTACAATTTATGTTTAATTTTTCTAGCCATTTAAACTCGATTGCACACAAATTACAAGAAAAAGGTGTAAAGTACACCTACCTAGGTACTTGTCATAACCATGATTGTCTAGATTTGAATCTACGAACTCCTATCATGATAAATATCAAGTGTGTTACTATCGTTATCACAGCGTTTCAATCTTGCATTTACTTTATTAAGTAGAGAGGAAAGCTGAATAATTATTTTTGCAACTAGTGAATATCAATTGCACACAAATTAAGAGAAAAAGTAATATCACACAGTTAATGTAGTACTCCCATTTACTGGGACATAACCATTACCATCTGGATTTGAATCTGTTAACTCTTATAGGGGGAAACAGCAAATGTGTTCATATCATTATCACACCGCTTCAATCTTCCAGTTGCTTTATAATTTTTCCAATTCGAAACGAGTCGATTTCTTCGTAACATGTTTTGCCTATTTATTTCAGACAGTGATGCCAGAATAATACTCGAAAAATGTGGAATGTTTAAAATCTCGCTCATAAAATATACATATCACAATTAGTATTGAATAGAAATCCCTAAACTCAGAGTTACAAGTCAAGTTGAGTCATTGGTTATTTTATACGATTCTCCAGTATAATCAATTTTTGAATTAAGTCGTCATCACATTTAGATAGCTCGACATACTTTGAGTTTTGAAAAATGGTGATCTGAGTCCAACTCGGGTTGGGCCAAGTAATCTATCTTTCTCAACACTGATTTCTTATTTCCTAGACTCGGCCTTATTCCTCTGAAGGTCGATCCAAGGTTATTTGAATACAGAGCGGAAGGAGATGATTGTGAAACACCAGAAACGACCTTGGAATTCGAATTGAAGGTGAAATGTACTCGCAATACGAAAGCACCTAAAGATGTTAGTGATCCAGATCATATGTACCTGAACCATAAAGTATATTCACGAGATTTAAAATGGATACCATTCGGAAATCAAAAGGATTTATTTGAAGTAAAACCAGTACATGACGATATCCTCATTGCTAAAATGCGACCGGGGCAGGAAATTGACGTAAAATTACACGCTGTGAAAGGTATCGGGAAAGATCATGCCAAATTCTCACCCGTCGCTACCGCAAGTTACAGACTGATGCCAGAAATTACAATACTTAAACCAATAACAGGACATTTAGCATGGAAATTGAAAGATTGTTTTTCACCGGGGGTTATAGAAATTGTTGAGAATAACCAGGGAGTCGAGAAGGCTCGTGTAAAAAACTCTCGACTTGATACGGGGAGCAGAGAAGTATTACGTTACCAGGAATTGAAAGATAAAGTAAAGTTATCAAAAATCCGAGATCATTTTATTTTTTCCGTTGAATCCACTGGAATTTTACATCCAAAAATTTTGGTTTCTGAAGCAATTAAAGTTTTAAAAACCAAATGTAGAAATGTATTGAATGAAATGGATAAAACGGATAAAATGGAAACTGAGTAGATAAAACTTGAGCTTCACCAAACTAGGCTCAATTAACCTCCTTTTTCAATTTGGTGTAATTTGAGTTGGTGTCTATCCTGTGTTTGTCTTGAAGGTATGAGGTTTAAATATTGGCAACACAGATTTTTGTAGCGCTGAATAAATAAGGGGCAAAGTTACGGACATACTGCTTTAACCTTGAATTGTTTTACAAAAACATCCATACTTCTCAATCATACTTTTGTTCTCTATTCTTTACTTGAGTATATTTGCATTTGATATTTGACTGCATTGTGCCGTCATAATTGTATTGAAATTGGACATTCAGTGGTGATTTTGTATCAAATCCATATTTGCCGTTGAATCTTTTGTCTCTTCATCAATTAAATGTATTTCTTTTGTGAATTTAAATATCTACTATTAGGAATGAGTCTTGGAGGCTAAGTGAGCAATAGGAGATTTTTATGTATAGTGGAATTTACATCTCATTACTTAAAATTCTATTTAAGGATGTGCATATCGTGTATACGCTTGGGACATGTTAAATAAGGAACACAAAGCCAATGTACGTTCAATTAGTTTGAATTTGGAAATACAGGATAGACAAAATATTATTTAATTGGTTTTTAAGAAATAATTGAAGTTATTTTTGGTCATATTGTGAGGCTCAAGGGATAATTTTTTAAATGAAACTAACTATTGTAAATTATTTCTTGAATCAAAATTTGCAATATCAAATGTAAATCATTTTGAATTGACATTCCTGGACTAAAATAGACAATATCGTTTTATCTGTGATGTCGTGTTTTTGTTCCAATCTTACCACTGAATCAATTTTTTAATTCAAAATTCAATTTGAAATATGGGAAATAGAAAATTTTATATAGATTCGAGTATTTTGTTTGTTTTGATATTCCGATATCCAATATTCATCGATCTATATTAATAATGTCATTCCAGTTCCATTTTCACCTCTGAATCAATTTTTTAAATTTCCTTTCCAGCTTAGCTTATTGTAAATAAGAATAATCGTGCTTTTTATGTTTTTATCGTCAATCGTTGTCTGCTCTTGAGAAAGAGAAAATGCTTCTCTGACTCTCATAATTGTCATCAATTCCTCACCTGACAGTGACGGTGAGGACAGTGAGAGAATTTCAAACTCATTTTGGAAATAAAAAATTGAAATGACGTCTGTCGAACTTTATACTCAGGTATGTTTTGTTAAATAACAGTGCCATTTTTGATTAATATTTGTTATTCTGTTTATAATATAAAAATTCTAGTGTTGCATGATATTATATTTTTATTATACTTCGAAATTGTTGGAAAGTTTTTCGATATATTTCTATTTTTATGTAGTTATATGATTAGTACCAAACCAATTATTAGTACCATTAGTACTTACGTGAAAAATATTGCTGCTTTTAAATAAAACTCAGTTTTATGATCGTTAATGTGTACTTTATGCCTTTTAAAGTTTGTGAACATGTAGGCCTAACGAATGAAGGCAAAAGGTCAACTCTTTTTCCCCATCTCTGCCTGGTTTTTCTATGAAATACTTGCACTCAGCGGGCGCGCACCCCTTTGGAAAACGGTGGGTTAAGTGAAGTCTATTGTTGTATTGGCAAGCATCGTGTATAAATTGCTCAAAATGACAAATTTTGACAGATTGATAAATTTTCAAATGAAACTTTTCTAATATTTTTTAAAATTCTTAAATTATTATATGACTATAATGTTTTTTTTATTCATTTGGAACATCTCTGATCACATATTCGATAAATATTTTTCATTTTTGATTTTTTTTTTCGCGAGTTCTTTATATTCTAAATCATTCTTAAAACCCAAAATTTATTGAATGAAATCTGGCCTCTTTCTAATGTTTTAAATAATCTTGGACGCCCCTTTCACATATCGCAGCTTTTTCACAAAATTATGAAACTTTTAATTTTTTCTTCTTTCCTAGACTGAAAAGACCCAGATACCCCATTCTGAAAAAATTGTGAAGAACCGGCCACAATTTCCTCCGACTATTCCAAACTAGGGATGCCACTTTTGGATTTACGAATCGGATCGATTCGAATCGCATCTTTTCCGGATCGATTCGAATCAGATTTACGCGATTCGGAAAAAGAGAGCGATTTAGCGGAAAAAAAAACATTGAACGTTTGTTAAATCGTCGTTTTCGGCCGCTTTAAATCTGCCAGAGTGTGTTTATGCGGCACTCCAAATAACGCCAAATTACGGGACCGAAAAAAAAAACATTGAACGTGTGTTAATCGTTGTTTTCGGCGGTGTTAAAACTACCGAATGCGTTTATGCAGCACTCCAAATAACACCAAATTACGGGACCGAAAGAAAAACATTGAACATTTGTTAATCGTTGTTTTCGGTGGCGTTAAAACTGCCGAATGCGTTTATGCGGCACTCCAAATAGCAACAAATTACGGGACGTAAATAAATGAAAATGAATTTTTCGTGATTGACTTTTTTACTTGTCTGCCCTCATTTGTTTCAAGTTCGACACAACACACTCTTTTACGCATCACTCGAGATGATGTGTGGCGTAATTACCAGCAAACTGCGAGTTCAGTTTTCCACTAAATAGCCGAAGTTTCCATTACGCGCGAATTTAAATGGATCGTATACCTGAAAATTCGTGACAATTTTGATGAAAATTTTCAACAGCACACCTGCGCTGCGACTAAGTTATTGTACGCCCTGGCATGATTGGATAAAGAATCGGCCACCGACGTCTAGATAATGTTTAATTTTGATTGAAATTTAATTTAAACTTTGTTCTGAGAGCAATATTTTGCGTACATTTGAAGAGAACTATTACTGAATGAGTTCATCGGCCGGCAATGTTAATTGACAATCATGTTTCTCATCCTAAAATATATATTTATTTTGTTTGCGTTTGTCAGGCTTCCACTCGAGTGGCGGTAAACGAAATCAGGGGACATAATGTAATAGTACATACACGTCTTTTTTCAGCTGTTACAAAAAAAAGTAGTATTTACTTTTAATTTTGTTAGCGCGATACAAGCGAATAAAACATTTCGGATTATTTCGAGCAAATGTCATAACGGACAGGTGGGAGTAAATAATACTTGAGGAATGGCAACTTGTGCACTGTTTTACATCAACACGTGGCAGATTTCATACCAGACCGAGCATACTGTGCGAATGTCGTCTTACTTTAGCCCCAGCGACCATGTCCGATCGAGATAAAGCGACAACCAATTATCGCTCGTCAGCGCGGCGTCCATTATGCACATTTGGACTTTCTGAACTACGACATTAAACGTAGTCCACATTAATAATGAAGCCCGAGTTAGCCAATAACGCTGTTAGCCACAAATAATACTTTCTCTAATATTTATGGAAATTTTTGTTCGCAATCGTAGTCGGATGAACGATTGTTTTTATCGAATTTAATTTAATCGTGGTTAATTTTATCGTCTTCAATCATATTCTTGTAAGCATTTCCCATTTATAGTAATTCAGATGCAATTAGAATGTTTTTGTCGTATTACTCTATGCTGCTAGCATAAATATAAAATATTGTACTAAGATTTTGAAGATAAAGAATCGGTAATAAGGCCGGCCTCAATTCAATATAACAAGAAGGGAAATACCACGGTCACATATACTGGTGTGGGACAAGGAAAAGCAGTGCTGTTACTGTGTTTACGACATAACAGTACAACTGTTCCCTGCTTATTTTCTCATATGAATTCCATCAAATTGCCTCAGCCCTGATACAAGTATAACACAATAACTCAGTATTGTAAGACTCACAGATAAGTTGCAACAGCAAGTTTTTCATCAATGCATTTATTAGTGATATCTATGACCTACATCTTTTTTATCATGATGAAAATAAGTGTGGCTTATTCACTGAAAAACCCTTATCATCCTTGCTATATAGCGTATTCCATTTTCGAATTTTTTTCTTCTAGATTTGAGTTTTTTTGTGACTTTGGGCAAACATACGCATGTAATAAAAAAAAAGCTTAATGGAATCAGATTCGGAAAGATTCGATTCGAAAAGTTTTGATTCGAGATTCGATTCGAAAAAAAATGTATCCAGAAGTGGCAACCCTATTCCAAACTATTCTTAAAATCAAAAATTTATTACATGGAATACAGCCTATTTCTCATGTTTATAAATAAATTTGGACGCCCCTTTCACATATACATGTTTTTCACAAGGTTATGAAATTCTTAAAAAAAAATTCCCTCTGAGACAAAAGCCAATGTAATTCATTATGAAAAATTGTGAAGACCCTTCACAATTTTCTTTAACTATTCCTAAAACTACTATATTACAGCATATAAAGCCAATGGATAATTGTCTGACTTTCATTTTTTTTTTCTTTCCCAGAGAGCAAGGGTATGGATACCCCACCCGGAGACAGTGTGGAGATCGGCCACAGTTTTGTCGGATTATAAAGAAGGCGACAAAGTATTGAAGATAAGAACCGATGACGTTGAGGAGAATCTAGACTCTGATGGCGAATTGGTATGAAATGGTTTCCATTTTTTTGTTATAAAGCGGTTTTACAACTTCACACTGGTTTTTTACAAGCGGCTCTTATATGTAAATTTCGGCACCTGGAAATGGAAGAAGTCGCTGATGCAAATATGTTTTTATTTCCAATGAATCTTCTTGGACACAATATTTCGCCCAATTTTTTTTTATTTCAAATAAAGTAGAACACTTTTTTTCCATTGCGCTTTTCGGCTTATGTCCTGACTCCCTGAGTGTCAGACATTAATTGGCGTGAATTTGAATCCCACTTCTGACACCGTGTTATAGTTCTTTATATATATATATGGGCAAAAAATTTGACTTTTTTTATTTATATTACCAGGGTGATGAACAAGATTACATTCTCAAGGAGGGGAAACTCCCCCCGTTATGCAATCCTGACGTTCTGATTGGCGAAAACGATCTGACGTCTCTTAGCTATCTCCATGAACCTGCGGTTTTGCACAACCTACAGATCAGATTCGTTGAGAGAAACCAGATTTATACTTACTGTGGTGGGTTACTTTTACCGTTCTTTCATTACTTATCGATTTTAATCGGTAAGTATGTTTTAATCGGTAAGATATTTGTCTGTCTGTTTGTCTGTTAGATGCACGCGATATCTCATGAAAGCGAGATTGAATCTGCTCCAGATATTGCATGTGCATTAATCTTATCTCGGACCAAAAGCCTATTGATTTTGGGCGAATTATGTCGTATAATTAGCGAGTTATTAATTAATTAGTGATGGGACACAAAGTGTCACTATGGAGTAAGAGCGCTGTTTTGGGGGATCCCCTAACTTTCGATTGATAAGTCTTCGGTCTTTGACCGATATTCTCGTTTCCATTTCGTTATAAGAGATTTTACACTTTCACTCTAAACGAGGCTCAATACAAGCATCCACTAATGCCTATGAGGCTGTTCCCGGTTCTTTTGCCGATGCCTACTCGATTTATTACACTCTTGAGTTAGGTTTAGGGTGTTGGTATCTTTGTCTCGCTCAACATGAAAGTAATTTTAATTATTATTTCACACAACTACATTTGTGTGTGATCATCCAATTTTCACATAGATCTCTCTTGTAAATTTTTTTTTTTATTGAGGAAAATTATTTCTGTTTTTATTAATTACCTACATACTTAATCGGATGTGATTGTATATTGTTTATAGTAGATGTAATATTATAGAATCTTGGATTTTAATAAGACTTTGCGAAACGTCTGGATTGTACTGGCAGAACCCTGGAGTGCTGCTATACACAATACCATTTTTGCTATTTCAATTGTCAGTGGTAATTGTGTCCTCTGATTTCTTAGTGACCTTGGTTGGGGAAGTTTCATCACGAAGTTTTTTGAGCGAATTCGTTTTTTGCTTGCAACTACTTATATTGCATTATATTTTCAGGAATTGTTCTTGTTGCAATCAATCCATATGAAGAACTCTCAATTTATTCCAACGATTTCATCCATCTTTACTCTGGACATAACATGGGTGAAATGGATCCTCATATATTTGCTATCGCTGAAGAGGCTTTCAAACAAATGACTAGGTAAAGTATGATTTTTATTTGAAGGAGAGGAAATATAATAGCAAAGCTTAATCATATGGTAAAACTCAGGGATGTCCAAGACTATTCGAATATTTGAATACATTTAAAAGTGCTTTTTAGTAAAGTCTAAAAATTTTAGTGGTAATTTAGAATATTTTCATTTGCAAATGGCTTTTTAATCATTCATTATGTTATGAGAATTTGGATATTGTGTATTGAACTGCAGGTCCTTTCTCCTTGTTTACTTTCTACTTTGGATCCGTATTAATTAGTTACCGTAACTTCTAACAGAATAGAAGTTTAGGTGCTCCCGAAGTATGCGAACCAAGATGGCGGACATCGGAACGTAACATGGGTAACAGGTTAGGGTTAGGCGATAATTTTTTTCCAATTTTCCTTATTTTAGTCCTATTATCAGTTCGAAGACTAGCCAAGAGCCTCCCGTAGTATTTATACCTAAAATTATGGCCTAACCCTAACCTAGTACACATATTACATTCCGATGTCCGCCATCTTGGTTCGCATACTTCGGGAGCCCCGAAGTTCATTTGTTTGTTTATTCACATAAAAAATTGATTTTAGAATTTCATTTCTCATCAGAATAGTAAATTATTCTGCATTCTACACATGAACTTCATTCATTCTAGAATGAATAAGAACCAGTCAATCATTGTTACTGGAGAATCAGGAGCAGGAAAAACAGTTTCCGCGAAATATACGATGAGATATTTTGCGACTGTCGGTGGATCGAGCCTCGAATCTCAAGTGGAAAAAAAAGTGCTTGCTTCGAATCCTATCATGGAGGTAAAATTTGAGTTATTTTTTTCAAGTTGGCTTTTTTATACTAGTCTACTCAACGCAAGGTCTTGAACGGTAGTTCCCATTCTTTAAGGGCTTTTTGCCCTCTTCTGGGTGATTTTAGTGCTCATGGCCACCGTTTATCATTTCAGTGGTATTCATAGCGTTATTTTGAATGGTAAATTCAAAATCCCATGATGTTCAAACAATTCATGCTCAACAAAGTGAAAACACCCTGTGAAATAACCTTATCATGCAATGAAACTAAGAAGAAGGGGGAGTTTTTTTTTAAAGGGAAAAATAAAATCAGTTTCATGCTCAGCATAGTGAAAACAATCTTGAGAAATGATCTGGAAAAGGAATGAAACTAGAGAAGTTTTTTTGTAATGTAAAAAAATTGATTTTTGCATCTACCATTGTGGGCCCTCTTCAACTGGCCCCTGGTTGGGAGCCACTGGTCTTGAGGGTGTAATGAATTAAGTAGGCTATTCTTTCCAAAAAAGTACCGTATATGCTCGTTTTACCGCCCGATCTTGATTAAGGGCCCGTTTGAATAGCCGCCCCGCCCGCCCGTGTGAACAGAACAGAAGCGCTTTTGTCGCAACGCTGTTGAATTTTAAGTGAGTTTAGTGAGTTTGGTTAAAAAAATATGGGCCCGGGCTACAAAACGAGCAAATACGGTAACCTCCTAATTGTAGTGACTTGTTTATTGCCTTGTTCAGTTCAGAGAATCAGTTCTATAAATTATCACACTTATCGGTCAATCTGGATTCTTCTCTCATGAGGGATATTTGATTATCTGAATCAGGTCGTGGACTTTGTATATCTCCCTGTGGAATAATAAAGATATCTTATTCTGTGGAATATTGATTATATTATGGGCTGATTGATTATTTATTGGGAGGTTTTTGAGTTCAATGCAAATCTACACTTTTGCTGAACTAAAATCAGTAAGAAGAAAATAATATAAGCCTTTTTTCATTGGTATATACCAGACATGGCCGAAGTACGGCCCGCGGGCCAGATCCGGCTCGTTTGGTAATCCAATGTGGCCCGCCTGATGCTGCCACAACCAAACTTGAGCCAAATTTTGATGTTTTAGTTCAAGTTCATGGAATTTGTTGAGATTTCGATTAAATTTAGTTTTGGCACGAGGCTTATTATTTTCCACTTTTGCTTTTGTAACACTGTAAATATTGTTCATAAAATGTAACTTTTACCGGTTCACGTCACACTTACATGGCCCACCAGACTATGTTGGCAAAATCTTTGGCCCCTGATTTAAAAACCTTGCCCACGTATGGTATATACATAGACGATTATCATATTTTTGTGGTGAAGCAAACTAACTGTCTAATTAGCAGTCGAATTGCCCATACAAAGAACATTCATATGGAAGCTTAACATGTCCACTCCTATTCCTAGCCTGTTGTCTATATGGCGCAATAGTAGCCAATATTTATATAAAAAAAATGGTTGAATATGAAATTTTAAATACATTAATTCATGCATGTCCTTTCTTGGACATGACCCAATTTAAAATGTATCGAATATTCTGTATTCAAAAGTATTTTATAATAGCAAATTATCTGGCTATGGTCATTACAATCATACATGAATGTTGAATATAACTAACAGTTGGGGTTACATGAAACTATCTACCTTTCCTTACCTCGGTCAGACGAACGTTACCGAAATACATTTGTGTTACTATGCTGCAAGACTCTTGAATTGGATAGAATGTTGAATATGCGTTTAATTATAATCAGATGTTTCTCTCATTACAGCATATGGTTGTGTAATTTAGTCAATATTTAAACTATCTGACATCTATTTGAGAACTTACTCCATCTGTAAGGCTCGCATTGTGGAATGTATTGATTTTTAGTGATTTGTTCTCACATTTAGTGCTGCCTTCTGCCCTAATTACAAGTCGCAATGGAAAGTTTGAATTTTCCACTTCACAAACTTGTTAGAGTGAAGCCATAATTTTGTTCATATTTCCGTATTTAAGTTCTATTAAGAGTTCGGGGACTGTCTGAGTTAGTCAAGTGAATACCCCCTGCCCATGGGTTTCAGTCCCGTTTCACAACTTGATGTAAAATATGCGAAAAAAATTAGTTATCTCCATATTGGTACACATACTTTAGAGCGGCGGTAATTATTGCTATTAATCTTCATTTGATATCTGAAATTTATACCCTGTTAAATATATTGTTTCATTTATTATCTTTGTATCGGTATTTTATTTATTTTGTGCCGGTATGCTAAAGAATTACGTAATTCCTCATAAAACTTTAGATCCGCCCGAATAGTAAATAAAAGGTAATATCACCACGTTATGGTGTATGGATGTTGTATAAATATTGTTTTACAACTGTCTATCGAATATGCCCTAAATCAGGGGTCTCAAACTCAATTTACTTGGGGGCCGCTGGGGCAGAGTCTGGATGAGTCCGGGCTGCATCAGGTTTTCCACAATAAAAGCTTAGCAACTCGTTTAAATTGTATTCCTTGTGCACTACAACTTTAACTGTGCAGATAAAACATGTCGGGATGCTCCTATGCTCAACAAAGAAGTATTTCATTTCCCAGTTTTTTGAAATTGTCTGTGCTCATCACCAACCTTTCTGTTTACTGAAACTTCACTTCCAACGACACGTTTATAGATGAGCGAAATTATAAAATTCCATCTTGTAATATCTGTTGCGCTGTTGTTTCAATCAAGCATTTAGCCGATGGACAGTGATGTTTCGCCACATGGGAAACATGGTTACAATGTATCAAGATAAAACTAAGCGTCAGTGATTGTGACATTAAAAATCATGGAATACTGTTTTAAAATTATTTCAGGCAGTCCCGCAGTCGAATATCAGGCCTACAGGTATGGTACTGGTAGGTTACCGCACCGCATATTCCTTTCAGGGGATATATAATAAAATAATTTGTTTTAAATTGATAAAGAAAAACTTTCAGCATTTCGAAGTAAAACCAGGTAGAGATAGAGGAAGAACGGTTGACCTTTTGCCTTTATTCTTTAAACTTGCTTGTTTGTATTTAACAAAACCACTTTGAGCCGACGGTGACGATTGGGCAACAACTTCATGATTCTCAGATCGCCATGGTGACCAATTTAGATGTATTTTTGATTCCTTTTCCACGCAACACTCGGAAGATACTTGCGGAACATTAGTGTTCAGCGGAACACAGTTTGGGAAGCGCTGTTATATTGAAAGCCTTAATCATGCTAACTGAGCTAAGTGACTTGTGGGCCGCACTAACATCAAACTCAATACCAAGGCGGGGGCCACAAACTATCATCCTGCGGGCCGCGAGTTTGAGACCCCTGCCCTAAATGGTCATGTTCAACAAATACCATAACGCTTATGATTGCGTATCATTCAACATACTGTAATTAATTTCTAATCAATTCAAATATTCGTTTATTTTTTTTAATTCTTCGGGAACAGTTAATAATGAACAGACTGTGTGAAAATTAACTATTTTTCAATAAATTGTATTTCTTTGTTACAATAAACTAAAGAATTCAAAACATTTTTATATTATTATTTTCACAATTCAAGCGCTTAGTGCCCATAGGAAATGCTGTAATATCATACATCAAAAAGATGTACAATTCAAATTTGTTATATTTTAAAGTGAAATAAAAAAATGAATCATTTTACAGCGCAATATTTTTTGTTTAGAATTGCACAAAGATTTGTCATTTCCTTCCAGCTTATGACATCATGAATAATTTACCATATAGTTGTCATAGCGACTGATTCTTACATCACAAGAGATTTTATTGAGCCTTCTGTTTTTACTTATGAATATTTATTAATATGGTGCTGTATGTAGTCTAAATTGTACTCTGTATGTGGTATAGATTTTTTAAATATTTTATATGGTCTCCACATACATGGATTAAGTGGAAATTGAAAGAAAATAATTGAATATTTGAATCAATTTAAAAAAATTTATATTCAATATTTCAAATTTTAGATTTCATGAAATAATTTTGATTAGTTTTATTTAAAACTTTTATATTGAAGCCTCGCAGTATGGTGAGAAAAAATCTAAATCAGTGGTTTCCAAACCGCGAACCACGGCCCAAATACGGCCAATGTGGCGATTTAATATGGCCCGCTGAACTCAATTGAAATAGTTTAACACTATAGGTTTTAACTTTTTTGTATTCTAGATACCGCCAATTATTATGTCATTATCACAGTTTAAGCATGTATAAGTTATTTATTTATACCTGTATCTAAATTATTATGTCATTATCACAGTTTAAGCATGTATAAGTTATTTATTTATACCTGTATCTTAATTATTTGTCCAGTATCGGCCTTTTACGGGCGCTCTCCTGGCCCCCGAATATCCTTTCGCCTCATATATAAGAGAACAAATCAAATCCCTGTTTATCTCGATCTTTTGCATTTCCCAATTCATCGAATATACAAGGTGTCAATAAAGTCCCTTTACAATTTCAATTTTGATATAAAGTCAGATCTTGATATATCCTAACCAGGTTTGTTGTTTTTTAATCAGTAATTATTTGAGTATTTTTACCTCATTAAATACATCTGTGAGGGCCAAAACAATAAGTATCGATAAGTATTTTGAAAATTCCAAGACTTTATGGACACACACACTCTTCATTGACTCTTATATCTTCTTCGTTGAACATCACTCAATTCAGAATAAATTGGATTACTGAGGTATATCCCTAAAACATTATTTTAAACACATTCATAATATTAGATTATCTGGAAGCCCAAATGTCAATCATAAGCTATTCTCAAATGTCGGCCTCAACACCAGTTATTTCTATATGCTGTTCCGTTTTGTTTTGCAAATATTTTTGATTCAAGATATTTAGAAATCACCAAAATCGAAGCATAATCCAAACATGCTGTATCTATAATGTATAAGCTCAATTTTGTTTTTGTAATTCAAGTAACCGATAATGATTATATGTGAATCATAAGCTATACTTAAATTTCGTTCTGAGTTTTAGTCATATTTATATGCAAATTCTGTTTCATGAACAATTTCTATTTCCAATATTTAGAATTTGAATATTTTTAAAAGAAAGATAAATAAGCCATAAATATAAATCTATAATCTATGAGCCTAACTACATTATATAAAATTCAATGCAACCATTAATGAACTGATAATAATCTGATATTGAAAAAATATTAAGAATGCACTAATACCTAAGTAAATCTGAAAAGGCTATAAAAGCTGAATTTAATTTTTTTTAAATCCGAATGAAACCAATATTGAACGAATAATAATCATAACAATCAAAACCTAAATTTTTGGAAAATATCAGACTTAATCCTAAAATGGCGAATTTTGTGGAAGAAATGTGAATTGGGAATATCTGGTTTTTGAAATAGATTTTTCCCTGAATGATCATTGATTGCAGAGTTCATCATAATTTTTTCCAAGTTACAAATTTGTTCATATGTGGAATCTGTAATGTATTTTAAAGCAGAGACATCAGCCTTGATTAAAAGTTTAATTACGGTTGTTTGCTGTTCTTTGTACTCATAAATACATGTGCAAACAACAAATGTTTGTTATTGAGAAATAGCTAATTATCTATATGGGGACTCTGTTTCTAATTAGGCTAAGGCTAATAAAGTACCGAATTTTACAGACCATAATGCACACATCGAATCCCTTTTTCCTCAAAAATTGATTTTGTGCCTAATAAGCCTGGTCAGGTATTGCTTTATAGGCTACTTTATTGCCTACACCGGTACCACTATTGCTTTAAATACCGTTATATCTTATGCATAAATGAGCAATCTAAGCAATTTAGTGACAGAATGATATTATGATTCGTGAAAGTCTTGTGATCGAAAAAATATGGTAATTTTTTTGCAATAAATATCATAAAAACACATGAGACTGTGAGGAACGATTGATAGTATTATTTTCCTTATATCTGTATCAAAACCCTTTTTTGTCAAATTCTTAACAAGTCTTATTTATGTTTTGCAAGCCTCCCAGTGTATACTCTCCATGTATACATTGTTTTTTATCTGCCTATGTATCAGCTAAAATAAACTGTTTTTTGTTTCATTGATTTTTAGACTCTCTCTGCTATATTCCACTTTTGTGGCCATATTGAACCATATTCACCATTCAATTTTGAATAATCCATGATAGTTAACCCTTTCCATGCGATTTTTATTTTTTATTAAATGATCGTATTTGCTATGCTGATTTTATGCATTTGTACCCCCACAACTAATCGATCGACTTACGAAAAACTAATGATCCTCTGCTGCCCACTGATGGCTCGTTGGAAAGCCTATTTAAAGAGCTTGCAATTGGCGATTAAAAAAAAAAGTTTTTTTCAAAAGTGGTGGTCTGAGTCACAAACTGGATAGAAAAAAGGCATTTTTTTCCTTGGGAGTTGAAACCGCGATAAAAAATAGAAATATTTGCTAAATCCTTTACTGTTACCGCTTCGTGGTTGGCAAACAATAGCATAGTATTGCTGTAGCAATTTCGTGATCTAACTCAAAATACTTTGGTAGATGGAAGGGATAATATGTCTTCTATTACCACCCAAAAAACACCGAAATTTGCATAAATTTCAAAAACACTCCTTGTTCCGCCGGAAATAAAATTCCCGTCGTAAACGAAAGCAAGATTTACCGTCGCTTATGTTAATCCCGAAGAAGACTTCTTATCAATAAACTAAAACCTGGAAAAACTAGACCAACAGTTTGCGACCGATTGCTAAATAATACAGTGGAGTACATCAACGTACCTGCCGCAATCTAGCGACTTTTGTCGTTGGTGCGTATACATGCCCACCTCACGGAAAGGGTTAAGGTCTTGCTTTATGCCAGTTTCGGTTGGGTAGGTCCATAACCGCCTGTCCTATATGCAATTAATTTTGCAGTTTCTATAAATAGACCATTCATCAGCTGTTAAATCACCAGGTTAGAAAAATTTTAGAAGTTTTAAAATCTCTCTTTTCAGGCAATTGGAAATGCAAAGACAACTCGTAACGATAACAGCAGTAGATTCGGGAAATACATTCAAATCAGCTTCAACAAGAACTTTCATATTATTGGAGCTCACATGAGAACTTATTTGCTGGAGAAATCAAGGGTTGTCTCACAGGTATCTATGCTGTTTGTTATTGTTAGGATTGGTATATGACTCTCATTCGCGTCTTGCTTTGAATAAGTTCTGAATAACGAATGTGATTGATATGTAATGATTTCTCCTGCAGTGTGTGTACCAGGTTAGGGTTAGGCCATAATTTATTACAATTTTCCTTATTTTATTTCTATTACGATATCGGGGGCTGTCTGTTACCCCCATAGGTTTCAGTCCTTTTACACAACTTGATCCATATGGGTACACACACTTCTGTAATGGTCTAAGGAGGAACTGGAGGGATCTTCCAAGTTTGGAATTTCCTACTCAATGTATTGCGCTCTGAGTGAATTTGTAGGCATCGAATTTGAAACAAATATGTGTGATCTGCGATGCAAACACAATTAAGTCTGTAACCGCTTCAAAAGGAGTGTGCAACTTGCGGCCCGCAGGGAAAAATTGTGAGGCACACAGAGAAGTGCAAATTCTGAAATTGGTGCGGCTCACGAAACGAGTTTTTAATTTAGTTTAATCTGGTACGTGCGAGTGATTCCAATTCTTTAGATATAGTATATTGTATACCAGTTGTTAGGTACCAATGCAAAATTTGGTTATTTCGGTATTTGATCAGCTTGACGATTGTTACAAAATTGCGAATCGTCCTTGATAAAACACGTCTGTGCACAAACAGCCACTGAGATATGTAAGAAGTTACTATATTCTGGAAGTAAAGGAATCTTTGCAATTCCCAAAATCAAAAAAATTAAAATTTTCCCTAATCTTTCCAAATTCGCCAAAATTCTCAAAATTAAAAAAAATCAAAAATTTTCTTTTATCTTACCAATTCGTTAAAATTCAAAAAATCAGAAATTTCTCAATTTTTCACAAGTTTTGCCATTTTGGGTTAGAAGGCCATCCAATTTATTCATTCTTGTCTAAATTTGTTTTTAAAATCAAAAAATTACAATCAAGAAATATTTTCTTTATCCAGCATAATGTAAGTAATGTTTCATATAGATGTGTTCCTTAACATATGGCCATCTTTTCATTAATTTCAGAGTCTGTGATGTTCTTTTCATTATTGCTGTTATTAATGACTATCTATCGTAATAACGCTTCGTCCAGTTTTTATTTAAATTTGGCTTAAACTAATGTTTTTATTTTTATGCTAACATTTACAGTTACCATCATAATTTCTTTTTTCTATGATATTCCAAACATAAGCAAGGTTCATTATCAGAACAGAGAAATGTGTGCTCTTAATGCTATTTGTAAATTTTTAAAGGCATAGGATTACCACTTATACTGATAGAGAATCAAGCATAAGTACTTCATTAACTAACGCACAAGACATAGAAAACTTCAATTAAATAATGATTTGACCATAGGCAGTCCATGTATTTAAATGCTAAATAAGCTTATTTGCTGGATAGGTATATACAGAAAAGTTTAGCATACATTTTTCTATTTGGCTTACAATAATCATACTTTTTATTTCATTTCATGCATCTTATTTGGAGCTCTCGTAGTATGTGAACCAAGATGGCAGACACGTAGTATGTGTACCAGGTTAGGGTTAGGCCATAATTTTATTCCAGTTTTTATCATTTTAGTTCTATTACGATTTCGGGGACTAGCCAAGTGTCTCCTATAGTATTTGTACCTGAAATTATGGCCTTACCTTAACCTGGTGCACATACTACGTCCCGGTGTCCGCCATCTTGGTTTACATACTACGGTAGTATCTTTTATTTATCATGGCAAATAATACATTGTTCAAATGCTAACAGAATAACTTGAAAATATACAAGCTTGAATACTATTATTAACATTACAGGGTCTAAGGTCAAATTTTGTATAGTTTCCTATATTATCATCTGTTGAATTCCATACGAATTATTTTCCTGTTGTAAGGTTTGATCGTTTTTAAAAAAAGTTAGTATTTGCGTCATATCCTATCTAGAACGAGGCATTGTGTTAGCATTTAGCTATAATCTTCGGTTGATTGATACACAGAACATCAACTTGAACTCTAGATATTTTTCCCCAATCCATTGCAGGACAAATTTTTGCATCCTTGAAATAAAGTATCGCTGCTCAGCACGAAACGAAGGTTTTATGCCATGGTAGTTAACCGCTATCTGCAATTTTTTTCGCCAACTTCTCGTGACAGAACAAGCTTCAATATGTGACTTCAATAACTTTTTGGTCTCTAATTAATCTATCTCGAGGAACTAAATTGCAAGAGAATATCTGTTATAATTTAATTATTTTTTTTTATTAATCAGATTGTATTTACAATTCTTATTGAGAAACGCCCAAACAGGGGCTTCCCAAACTTTTCAAATAATCCTTTTGCAATCGTAATGACCAAAGCCAGATACCTTTTCTGTTCTATTTCAGGCTCCTGATGAAAGGAATTACCATATTTTCTATCAACTTTGTGCTTGTGCTGATCTTCCACAATTCAAACCACTGAAATTGAGTAAGTGAAGTATTATTATCTTGATTGAACTAATCAAGCCCGGTTGTCATAGTTAATAACACCCTTTACTTGTAGTTTTTGTCAGATTCATAGTTCTAATCTTGTAAAAGCTTCTTATGTGAGGAATAATAAGAAACCATATGAAATAATGATAATTGATCGTCTAATTCTTCATTAGATAGCAGAACCTTGATGGTCACTGCTTGATAACCAGCTTCCCTGTGGCTTCCCTTCTCCAGCAAAATTATGTTCTTGACATTTGTGCATATTTTTTGCATTGTATCTGTTTATTATTTTACTGGTTTGGTAAAGAAACTTAACTATAAAAAATTGCTGGACTGCTCTTAATGCATGGTGCTATATGTAACTGCTGGTCAGCTACAGTCCCATGCATTCTTACCGTCCATGCATCTGGAATAATCTAACTGGTTTGCTATTTCAATATCTGGCATTATCTGGATAAGGAACCCATCTCAACAGCTTTCCTTTCTTGAATAATTATCAAAAATTACTAACTCTCACTGGTAGAAAAGCTGCGAGTGACCCTTGACGCTTCAACTTAGCCCTATCAGGGAACAATGGTGATTAATTTGGGGCAAGGGCAACTATGGATGGCGATGAAAAAAATTGAATTCTTTATCATTCGATAATATTTTCTTGTAATTAAACAATCATTTTGTTTGAAATTTCCATTTTAACTCTTTCCTCTATTTTTCAGTGTCTGCCGAACATTTTGAATATACCAGAGTGGGAAACTGTACGACCATAGACAATGTTGATGATCAGAAAGAATTTCAAGAAACTGTGCATGCTCTTACGTTACTTGGTAAGATATTAAGTTTTTGTAAAGATAATTTCAGGTCAGATAAAACATTAAATAAAAATGCGCTTCAAAAGTCGAATTCAAAGAAAAATTGCTAACTAGCTAACATTTCATCAAAAATTGAATAAATAAAGCACTTTTCATGCATAATGGGGAAGGAATAAAAAATTCCAAATTAGGCGAAAGGAGGAAATTGATAAAAACGGTTGGGAACCATCTAACCACTGAAGTAGGGTATCATACTTATACCCAATTTGAAGCATTAAATGAAGTTCTACATATAATTCCAATTCAAGGGTCAGTACAAAGTACCAATCTTTAATGTTCCATATTAAATTATTTGGACGATCCTTTTTTATGAACCCGTTTTACGTTTGGAATGAATTTTAAAATTTGTTAAAATTCTCACCCGACGCCAAATTGGATAATGTTAATGGCGTGCCCTACTGTCAGCTGGCACCTACACACTTAGGCCCAAAATGCACCGCCCTAGCAAGAGTGCCCAATAGTCCTGTGACTCCTGTTAAACAATTTACATTCTTGGTGCAAGCGCAGTGTTCTCTTCGCATAATCTATGTACAACAAGGCTTTTGTAATCATACTATCATAAGATTGGTAATTTGAATCACAAAATAATTCGATAATCATTCTAATTTTAGGAGTCAGTACCAAGTACCAGTCGTTAATGTTCCGTATAATATCAGCAATTCTTCATATGGGAAATATTGAAATTATGGAAGATGAGAGAACGGATTCTTGCCATATATCAGTAAGTGTGGAAACATTTTGTACAAAATTTGATATAAAGGCTTTAACTTTTTTTAAATTTAGAATTTATCAATACCATGTATTGTTTTAGCCGTCATAGATGTATTGAATGAAGTAAAAATACTTACCAGTAGTAAAAAAACAACAAACATGGTTAAGATATATTGAGAACTGACTTCATAACAAAAAATCGTTGTAAAATCATATTGGAATTATTCGAAAGAATCATAGGAGATCTTCTCTGAGCATGTCAAAATTTGTATTTCATCAAATTCCTGAAGTTTTTCAGCTTTAGTGAACCACTCAAAAGGTAGCCAATTGATACCTAACCTATCGTACCTACAATGAAGGATTTGTGTGTTTCTTTGTATCTTTTTCTGCTTGATTAGATATCTACTAAGCGCTCGTGAATACTTCAGATTCAGTTTACTGGTTTTGAATAGAGGTTAAAATTAGATTTGAAATTTGATCAGATTAAGTTTTGGTTCTGAAATGTGGACCTGTTTACCCAATTTTTTTTGTCTGGTTTTCTTGGAATAATTTCTATTTTTGCTTGCCAATATGAAAATCTTTGAAAAGCCATTTTTTTTTCTGGAGGTTTGTCTGCGTTATACATAACATGGTACTCCTGTAGTATGCGTAACAGGTTAGGGTTACCCATAATTTTATTCCGATTTTCCTTATTTTAGTTCTATTCAATTTCGGGGATTGTCTGTGTTAGCCAAGTGAATATATCCCCTGCCCATAGGTTTCAGTCCCTTTACACAACTTGATGTAAAGTAGGCGAACAAAATTAGTTACCTACATATTGGTACACATACTTCTGGAGCTCCAAATCATATCAACTCTATCATATATAAATGATTTTGTAAGTATTCGAATATTAATTTTTTTTATATCACAGGCTCATGTTTTTACCAACATATGTAGACTCACCTTCATCCCCCAGGGGAATTTCAATTTCAAGTCACTAATTGACATTGTAATGGTTGGCCATGTCGCTCAACAACCAAAATTTGATTTGCTATTTCCAACAACCTTGTTTGGATTAGATTTTTTTTGAAAATTAAATGTTTAGCAATTTTAGCTATTTGAAAATGGTGTTTTTCAGGGCTTCTCATCAAAATCATTGATTTTATCATATATACACATATTATATATAATAAATATACATAAAATAATAAACTACTTGGATGAGAGACAGGGGTTCTCAACCAGGAGTAAATCTATCGAACGATAAAAGTAAATTTTACAAGCTGGAAAGTACATGCCTAAATGCAGTTGTCTGTCGTGTAATTGTTTTTTATTATGCTCTGGTTTTCAACCTTAGGACCTCTTTAAGAAACATTGGAGATGGTCAGTGTAATACTTTAATTTTCTGAAAAGTATAAACTGTACCTATATATAAAAGCAAAGCTAATATTGACGAAAATGGTCTTTGAAGGGTCACAATGTTAATAATAGTGACAAACCGGTGCTCCAGAAGTATGCGCACCAAGATGTCACACAACCTGAATCCTAACCGGTACACACATACTATGTTCAGGTTGTGCGCCATCTTAGTGCGCATACTTCTGGATGTTCGGCAAACCCATTTGAAACATGTTGGCAGGTTAATTCCCACTAAAAAAGTAACTATAATAATAGAATAGGATTCAGTATTTTGGATTCTGATAAAGGTATTCTAAAATATTCCAAAATAGTAAATTATTCTACATCGACCATCCCTAGTTACATCTCTAATTCATCATCTCTTTGTATCACAGGTAGAGGACCCCCATCTTGTAACAATGTGTGGTTTACTCGGCATCGAAGCCCAACAAATGTCGAAATGGTTTTGCAACAGAAAAATCACAACAATGGCTGAAGTTTTGATCAAACCACTCACATGTGATCAGGTGAGAAATTTTTTTACATCTAGCTCTGAAAAAGGCTCTGGGCAAGCTGTCACTGACAAGGCTTGACACAGCATTCCTAAACTGCAGTTATACTTGTTGAGGTTCGTGTCGCACATCTGTGTCTTAGGCCAGTAAGGTCTTGAACATGTATTACGTCTCTGTTAACTGTTTAATTATTATGCAGATACTGTTTACACTTTTACATTTTTGAGGCTTTGAGGCAAGTAAATATACATACATACATACAAGGCTTACAACAGGATCGGCACCAGCGCGATATATACTCAATTAGTACGAATTTTGCTCTGAACACGGCTCTGAGTGAACTTCCAACTAAAATGAGTCCAGATCGCTAATCACCATCATAAGTAAAATTTTTGTAAATTTCATATTTATTTTTTGGATATTCACGTTGAGCAAGGCTTTGTACAAGCAGTGACTTTTGGAAGTTTTAACTACATGGTGGGCGCTGAAAAAACAGTAAATTTGTTTGTGTATGACCGTACCCCAAAGGGTCATTAATCTGAAACATTTTGCACAAAAGTTATGTTCGGTACAGAATATTACAAAGGACCTGGTATTTCAGATCACTCTGATAATAGTCTCTCTACACAATGCATGAACTCTATTTTACTGCATCAGGTCTATTTACATAAGCGATTTGTTGTGTTTGCATATTTGGTTAGTTGACTGTTCTGTCACACTTTATCACTGCATTACGTAATACCAGTGCAACTAAATATGGACAATGATTTGAAATAAACTATATTTAATAGTTTCAATTCTTTATTTAAGGACAATTCAGAGTAGTTTAATTTGAAAAATTATGAGCTGATTTTTGTATTTTGATTAAGAACATTTTTATCTGAAAATTAAAGATTTTTTTAGCGGCTGGACAGGCAGTTCAAAACTTAAGACATCCTAACTGATAACGAACAACACAGAAAAAACAATGACCTATATATTTGTGTCGTTTTAGATGTGACATGTGATCAACATGAAGAAAAAACAATTTTCCACATCAACTTGACCCCAAATGTATTAGATGTTCGAAAACATTTTATCAAAATGTATTTGAAATAGTGAAATATTGTGTTTTGGTCATCTCTGAGATTCATACATTTGTTTTATTTTACAATTATATTGACTTTACGACTCTATACTGATTAGTATTCTATCTTAAGCCTCTTTCTATTCCTTCTTATCTCTCTCTCTAATGAATCAATATATTGATGTCAAGACGTAAATTAACGTTCTTACAGCGTTTTCCAAATTGTGCATCATAATGACCTGTTTGCTGTGCTTTTCAAATGCATCGCAAATTTACATTTCTTTTGGTGTTATGAAGCCAATGAAGAGGCCCACAATAAATTTATAAAAAAAGAATACAAAGCGCACATTGTTGTGAATCGATTAATTTTTCTGAGTAAATTAGAACCTCATTTATCCATTTTTGAAAAAATGGCTTTTTATCTGCCTGCATTAGATGCCAAAATCTGTTAAAATTAACATTGAGATGAAATATATTAGGCATTCAGTCAGGCTGTTATCAATAATGTGCACAAAAACCGGTACTCCCGAAGTATGTGCACCAAGATGACGGACACTGGAACGTAGTATGTGTACCCGGTTAGGCCATAATTTCAGGTACAAATACTACAAGAGTCACTTGGCTAGTGCTCGAACTCGTAATATAACTAGAATAAGAAAAATTGGAATAAAATTATGGCTTAACCCTAACCTGGTACACATACTACGTTACGGTATCCGCCATCTTGGTGCACATACTTCTGTATAATTGGGTAATTCCAACAGTACAGTACTCAGTATAGTCTCCTTTACTCTTGCTACAGCATCCTTGCTTTATATGCATACAGTTCCACCAGCTCAAAGCATAGAAGAGGGATAAATAGTTGGCTACGCAGATAGTCAACTGTTGTCCATGTAAAATTTAAGTATTTATACTTCCAAGTCTGTTGTTACTCTTCATTCACCTTCTCATTTCTTTTACAGGCGTTGGCTTCCAGAGATGCTCTTGCCAAACATATTTATGCAAAACTATTTGAATGGATTGTCGACAAAATCAATAACGCTTTGATCACCCAGGAAAAACCACATTCATTCGTTGGAGTATTGGACATCTATGGGTGAGACAGCTTTTCCCAACAGGGGTTTAGAAACCTAGTTTTATGGTAACTTGCTGCGGAATTCAAACTAATCAAAGTCATAACCTGGATTCTGATATAAATTTTTTTTTAATTCACAAGCGAAGTTGTTTTCAATAATTAAATATTCACCATTCAAAATTGTAAGCTCATGCAGGATAAATAATAGTGCAATGCCAAGCATATTCATAATGCTATGCATGATGCAAATGTTAAGCGACTGACTAACTCATGGGAAACGTGAATTTTCAATGGCCTAAAAATCGTTTCAAGCTTTTCAATCTTCGAAAAGATTTAACATTCTGATCTTTTACTAACCACAGATTCGAAACATTTGAGATCAACAGTTTTGAGCAGTTTTGCATCAATTATGCAAATGAGAAGCTGCAACAACAATTTTGCCAGGTAAGAGTGTTGATTGGATGAATGTGAATTAACATAATCTCACAGCACAGGCCGTTTTTGAACTCTCAGTCTTTTCAAAATCGTCCATAATAGCAGGGTTTCCTAAACTAGGGTTCGTGAATCGTGACTACTGCACAGGGAGTTAGCAACGATGTTAAAAAAGTCTGAAATATGTACAAATAGATCATAATCTTATCAAATTGCTGTTAGCCTGACAGTAATTAACTTTAGTAGGCCTATAGGTATTGATTCAGACTTACTTGAGTTTTATTTCGTCAAAGCAAACATTATCCTTCCTCGTTGGCTAGGCACAGAAATTGATACAACATAGGATGGGGGGGGGGGGGGGTCCTTCAGAAATAAAATTCAAAAAGAGAGGTCTGCGGCTCAAAAGGTTTGGGAAACCCTGCTTTATAGCTTCATTATCAATTTGTTTGCCTTTGTAATCATATTGACTTCACAATTCTACAATGACTAGCGTATCATGCTAACACTCGTTTCGTCGGTTCTGATTTCTTCCTCTAACTAATCAATATATTGATGCTGAGACTGAAATTAACCTTCTCACAATATTATTTATTTATTCTAAATGATCAATAATCTTAGAATAGAACAGAATATGGATAATTAAAGATTGTACTATGGCAGTGGGCAAATTATGCTATTTATGTGTCAAAAACTGTTTATTATTTATAGTTCCATATTGGGTTTTGCGCCTCCGGCCCAGTAACCAAGTCTATAATCTGGGACTGGCCCACTCAGAAAAGTGATTGCTCACCCTTGTACTACGGCATATATTCCAACATTGGTGACTTATCATTGAATTTACTATTCAAATTTTTTTACTATTTCCAATACATCATGAAAAATTATTTTCAAATAGGAGATTTTAAATGCATTCTAAATTGGGGGCAAATTCATGTGGAAAATTCCATAGATCATTCTATCTTCATGTTGATCACATCCAAAGTTACATGAAAAAAGGCCATTGTTTTCTTTGTGTGTTCTTGTTTTTTACCAATTAAGATATTGTACATTTTGATCTGCCTGCTTAGATTAAGACTAAGACAAGTTGAAGCTTATAGATTAAGATGTTTTGAAATATTCCTAAATTCAAAAATTTACTATATCAAATATGAAGGATTTTGAATGTATTCAAATATTCATTTTGGATGTTCCTGGTCGTAGTCCTTGGCTTCTTTTCTAGTTGTAATTCCACTCGAGTGATTGTCTCTATTTCTGAACGAGTTTTTTCGACCTCCAGGTCAGGGTGTACACTTTCCATAATTTTTTTTTTGGCAGGGGGCGAACTTGGATCGCCAACCAAAAAACACATCACTGTGTTGACACATTGTAGGTAACAATAACCTTTCGATTCCACTCTTTTAAATGTTAAAATGTCATTTTACTATTCAATTATCCAGTACAACGTGACCTGGAGCGCTTTACTTGGACACGGGACTTGCGCGTCACCAAACTATCTACTTGAAATCGCCTTCCCCCTTTTTCTCTTGTATTTTTTAATTTGTGTTATTACATAAAGTAAATTTTGGTTACCTATGACTTCTCTTCTTCAGAAAAACAGAAGAAAAAATCCTTGGATTAACGTGAAAACACTTTTACTTAGCTCCGAGTTAAATAATTACCTACTTTATCCAATTTCAGCATGTTTTCAAACTGGAGCAAGAAGAATACGTTCGTGAAAAAATTGAATGGAAGTTCATTGATTTTACTGACAACCAGCCTTGCATTGATTTGATTGAAAAGAAACTTGGAATCCTGGATCTGCTGGACGATGAATGTCGGGTAAGGCACTTTAGGCGCTCCCAAAGTATGTGTACCAAAATGGCGCACAACCTGAACACTAAACCTGGTACACAACTATGGTAAGGTTGTGTGCCATTTTGGAACACATACTTTGGGACTTTCAATATGAACAAAGCAATGTACAAACAGCCACGGATAATGCTCCGACAGTAACTAAGCTAAGTCTGTGTTACTATTTGATTTGACGTCTGACTCAGGATATGATTCCCCGCTACTCCCGTAGTATGTGTACCAGGTTAGGGTTAGGACATAATTTTATTTCGATTTTCCTCATTTTAGTTCTATTACGAGTTCGGGGACTGTCTGTGTGAGCCAAGTAAATATACCCCCTGTCAATAGGTTTCAGTCCCTTTACACAATTTGATGTAAAATAGGCGAACAAAATTGGTTACCTCTAAACCGGTACACATAATTTTGGATCGCCGGATTCCGTGCATATGGTAGATATCACTATCGGTATGTGATTATTCACATCATTGGCATTGAACAAAGCCCTGTACATGCAGCCACTGATATCGAACGATATGTAAAAAGCTACTATCATTTGAAAAGACTGGAATCCTTTTCATTCGCCACTGCCTCACCATTTTATTATGCCGTCATTTCAATGGTCACCATATAACTTTTCTCAGAGACCGGTCTTGCTTACTTTTGTATTATCGTGCGACCTCACGTTTACCAAATTCTCTTGAAGGTGACTTCAATGCCACCACAAGTTGTTACACCAGCACAAACAATCGTTAGGTCAAAAGTCAAGGTCATCGAATGGCTCAAAAACATTCTATAAAAACCATCATATTATTTTCCAGATGCCAAAAGGGAGCGACATATCATGGGTTCAGAAACTCTACGACAAACATTTGAAAACTTCGAATCATTTTGAGAAACCAAGAACTTCAACAACTGCTTTTGTTATTGTGCATTTTGCGGACAACGTCAGGTGAGAGAAATTCTGATTTGTGAGTAGTATATTTCTAAGGAATTGGGTTTCTAAGGAAGGAATGGTTGTTTTAGCCTTGCTCTGAGTGAAATTTTGCGAAATAATTATTATAATAATTTTATATGAAAAAAATTCGAATTTTTTAATTAGATGAATTTCAAATCCATTTCGACTTGATTTCAGACTTGATAACTTGTGGATTCTATATTGTTAGGGGAACACTCATCACCACCAGTCGCTTTAATCGTTGACTGTTGTTAAATTGAATAGACATTAGTATTTGAGTAAAAATACGAGTTTCGAATATTTCCCATTTTGAAATTATTTTGAGCTTTTCGATTTTTTGTGCCCATGTCAAAACAGCGCCCATGCCATTGGTCATGACTGCCACACCCTAGATTCGCCTCTGGTCACCACACTGCTGTTTTTAGGGTGCTACAGAGCAATCTTCAGAGGGAATGTGTTAAGATCAACTTAACAATCTCACTAGTTTGTGTGAATTTAACTTCAATATATGCATCATGTCTAGGTATGAAGTTGAAGGTTTTCTAGAGAAAAACAGAGATACAGTACATGAAGAACAGTTAAATATTCTCAAAGCAAGTCAGGTATGCATCATTATGTTCCTATAACCTTTAACCTCAAAATAGTTTCAATACTGAGTGGTCTGTGTTTTGATGTTTAATTTTGTCAAAATCTAATAGAATCACGCAGACACTTTGTCCATAATTATGTAACAAAATAATCTGGTAGCTCGTATCTATATTTAAATCGAGGCATATTATGTTTAGCTATCATCATTCTTCATTATACATAAAACAATAGTTAGTAGACCTGCCTAATTAGATAGATAACAGCCTAACTTGCAAGTTTCATTTAGTCAATTTAATTTCAGAAATTTGTCTCTGGCTGTGAAACATTATTTGCTTCACAAATTTTTGAATATAATAGCCAAAATGTTTCAAGTGATTATATAAATGTGAATCTTATCCAAATTTAAACAAAAAAATAGTGATGTTGCAAATATAATTTTTCTTTAGCCCAAGATGGCTGACTTATACACCTAGTCACTATAATAGAATAGACAAATAGATGCTTTAGGTTTCTAGATTACTATATTCCATGGGCCACAAGGTACACTTTAAATTCCTTCTTTTCTCCAACTAATTTTGTTCGCCTACTTTACATCAATTTGTGTAAAGGGACTAAAACCTATGGGCAGGGGAATATATTCACTTCCTCGAACTCGTAATAGAACTAAAATAAGGAAAATGGGAATAAAATTTTGGCCTAACCCTAACCTGGTACACACACTACGGGGGTATCTAATCACCCACCCCCAAAACCGGTAATGCTTTAAAAACCAGTAACAGTACAGATCGTGCCTTATTTATGAATAAAAACCCAATTTAAGTAATTTATAAACCAGTGTGCCTTATGGTCTGTGAAATACAGTATGTATAATTGCTTAATGTTTAATTTGTGTAGTCCCAAGCAATAGAGGTGTTTAGTAGGGGTTCTCAACTGGGGTAAGTTACCCCTTGGGGTATATTCGGCCTGCATTGGGGGTAAATTTTACTTTTCAATTCTGAGGGGTAAACAATAAAAGGGGCTCCCGAAGTATGCGAACCAAGATGGCGGACATCGGAATGTACTATGTGTACTAGGTTAGGGTTAGGCCATAATTTTGGGTATAAATACTACGGGAGGCTCTTGGCTAGTCTTCGAACTGATAATAGGACTAAAATAAGGAAAATTGGAAAAAAATTATCGCCTAACCCTAACCTGTTACCCATGTTACGTTCCGATGTCCGCAATCTTGGTTCGCATACTTCGGGAGCACCAAATAAAATAATGCTTGAGAACCCCTGGTGTATAGTGTTGGGTGGAGTTGAAATCTTTATATAAGTGTGAATTAACTTTCTTTTTTCTGATTTTTGTTTCCTGGACGTTTCCCACGAGCAGAAGGTAAAGTATTGGTCACTAACTGCACCTTGTGTAACACTTTCCTGTTTTGTCTCTTCTTCACTGTATGTTTGGTTTGCTGTTCTGTCAGGGTGTAGTTAGGAATTCTTAAAGGGGGGGTTTTATACTTCTAATTGTTCATTTAGACCACAACAAATAGCGGTCGCAGTCCCCCTTCTCCCCCTTGGCCACGCACTCGTGCACTGTATACATCGCTTTGGGGTTGGGGAGTTTGAATGTTTCTACTGGAATTATAGATGATATTATTTTTTAATTTAAACTGATTAAAAATTTAGGTTGGGTAAATATTTCTAATAGTCTATTAAGGAACGCTTACACACACCAAGGTTTTTATTATCGAAATTTGATTTTCATGAGAGAATGAGAGAGAAATTTCAAAACCCCGCCGTTTGAAAATTTCTAGTCACGCCCCTGGTTTGAGGTCTCAAAGTCAACAATTTGAATCAATTCTAAATTCTTGCTTCACGGCTCTGTATTACATAAACCTTTTGCATTAATAACTACTGTTTTTCATTTTATGCATTGCCTTCATTGGTTTGGTGTCTTTGCATAAGAAACATCTCTTTAATGACACAACTTTGACCAAATAATTCTTTAAATCGAGAATTACCTATATCAAATATAACATGCATACTTGGTTGAGTAACGTGTTGTATTGCATAAACCTTTTGCGTTCTTATCCACATTTTCCATTCTTTTGCACTGTCTATGTTGGTTTGGTGTCTTTTGCACAAGAAACAAATGTCTCTTCAATAACACAAATTTGACCAAATAATTGTTTAAATCGAGAATTTACCATGTTAAATATAACAGGCATACTTGGTTGGGTAGCATGTTGTATTACATAAACCTCTTGTTCTTAACTGCCAATATTTTTCATCTTTCTATACTCTCTGTGTTGGTTTGGTGTCTTTGCATAAGAAACATCTCTTTAATCACACAAATTTGACCAAATAATTGTTTAAATCAAGGATTTTCTATATCAAATATAACAGGTTGAGTAGCGTTTGTATAACTATGGCTCTCTGCAAAATGACAATATTCAGTTATTCAGACGTCTTGCATCGCAATTTCACAAATTATATTCTGTAATGTTTCGTTCGACCAAAGTCGGGCTTCCCCAAACGAAATGTTACAGAATTAAATTTCAGAAAGCATTATGCAAATAAACCTTTTGCAATAAACACCACTATTTTCTATCTTCCTGCACTGTCTATGTGGGTTTAGTGTCTTTTGCACAAGAAGCATTGCTTTATTAATCACACAACTTTGACCAAATAATTCTTTAAATTAAGATTTTACTATGTCAAATATAACAGGCATTCTTGGTTGAGCAGCATGTTGTATTACATAAACCTTCTGCATTTATCGGCAAACACGCAATATCGGCCCGATATATCATATCGGCCGTAAACCGCCAATATATATCGGCCATACTCTGCAAGCGCCGGACTGCGTGCTGCAACGGCTCTCGCTCCTGCGTAACTGGTTTCCCAATATTTCTCTCGCTTTCATTTTGCGTTAAAAAGGTGTCTCTCCTAATTCCCGATGTCTTATGATTAGCCATTTCATGCATTGTCATAACTGAACCTCTTAACTGCCATTACTTTTTGTCTTTCTGCACTGCCCATGTGGGTCTGGTGTCTTTTGCGCCACAAAAATCTCTTCAATAATAACCACTCAAATTTAACCAATTAACAGTACAGTAAGTAAAGCATTAGAACACAAAGTTTGCTGAAAAGAAAATAGCTGTGACAATGGGGATGAAATGTGATGGATAAAAAAGGTGTTCCCCTTTAATTAAAATAATAAAACAGCAAAATTTTGGGTGAAACATTTAGTCTCATAGGATCTGGAATAAATTATACAAAAATATAAAAGTGATAAATAACCTATTGGAAACTAATTCCATCTTCACTGAAAATTTGAAATCAATAGGTCAATTGTTCGCGAATAAAAGCAATTATTTCCTAACAATTATAATTTAGCAAATATGTAGACATGAACATTTTGAATCTCATTTCTATATGTTTTAAATTTTTTGTTCCTAAATCTTATTCCTATGAATAATTAATGATTTCACATAAACTGGGAACTAAAAATTCTTTATTGAACAAAATCTGTGTACACAACAAAGATTTTTTGAGATGTAAAATTAGTGAGAACATCTTTTTAAACACAATTATATTTGGTTGCATTTATGGACACTGCTGTGTAAATATCCAAGTAAGGTGCTAAATTTAGATCGAATCTTTCGAATTAAAAAAAATTTTGAAGTTCAGATCAAACTTTTTTTGGGGTTTTAAACTCGTTTATATGCGAGTCTATACGTTAAATTAAAATTGATGGTTTTTCTAGTAAAACATGTCAGTGTATCAGTGAAATTTAAATTACGGATTGAGACTACAGCCAGACTCCTAACACATATGGCAGTTCAGGCTTAGTTCCATATTGAATTATTTGAAATTGCCAAATATGATCTGAACATATCATATGCAAGTCGTATATGATTAGTGTTTGGGTCTTGCTTGTTTGAGTATAGATTATCATGATTAAGTAGCCTATTAATTTTATCCAAAATTAAAATTCATGACATTTGGCATATATCATAATTTCGCTATTTAATCACTCAGATTAGGATATTTGTATATGAAATCAATGGAGAGAAAAATTATGGAATTGATATATATTCTAACATGAGCCGTCTTTAGTTTATTAAGAGGTAAATGCCATTTCAAAATGATACGGGAATTGTTTACAAAACCCTTAGCAATAGCTGTTGCTAAACTATTCCATTTGTAAAGGTTTTAGTCTCACACAAAAGTGTTATACCTAATGTTGCCGAATATGAACCGAGGATACCATAAGCTAATTAGATATGATTCATGTTTGGGCCGTGCTTGTTTGAGTGTAGATTACCGTGATTAAGGCACCTTTTGTTAAAAGTCATTCAGCTGAAATTTTCCCACGACATCACAATAAGTGGAATAAAAGTACAAAATGGAGGGTTTTTAAAAGGAGCAAAATTTTAAACAGGTTTTTATTTACATTGTTTTTACATGCTTCACTCTGATAAGGCTTTGAACAAGCAGATGCTTCCATGTTAGAAGCTTTTTCATTCCGGATTCATTCCAATATAACTCCTCAATCTAAATTACTCAAGTTGAGTGTAATTTGCTGATATTTGTCCTATTTTAGTGGAGTTTTAACCAATTTTTCTTTCAACTCTCACCAAATTTTGCCCATGTGACTGCTGAACTACATTGTTACTCTTCTTTTTTCTACTGCTGTTCTCAAATTAAGCGACGATACAGAAGTGCGTGTATCAATATGAAGGTAACTAATTATGTTCGTCTACTTTACATCAAGTTGTGTAAAGGGACTGAAACCTATGGGCTAGGGGTATATTCACTTGGCTAATGCAAACAGTCCCCGAACTCGTAATTGAACTAAAAGAAGGGAATTGGAATAAAATTACGGCCTGACCCTAACCCGGTACACACACTATTGGAGTACCAATTAAGCTTTGCATTGAAATATTTACAATCTTCATTGGACATCGATAGTTCGTATTGGAAATATGTTGTTGTTGGAATTTTATTTTTTTGTTGTGAAAAAAACACTTTTCTCTTCAACTACTGGACCAATTGCTTTGAAATATTCAGTGGTTAAAGATTGTTTCTGTCACTAGAAAGCTATTAATTTTGTTATTTATTATTAAATATTTCTGCGGAGTCTACGGGATTCGTTTTTCACTGGAGGATAACGTTTCTTGTTTCTTCATAAAATTCTCACATTGCTTATTCAAATCTTCCAATTTTCTGCACATTCACTCATCTTTGCTTGTTTTAACTTTCTTTCAATGCACTAAACACACTACTAGAGTGCTTGCATAGAATATGTTTTACATATTGCATGGTGTGAATGTATGTGTTGTACCTCTCTAATCTTTAGGTTAAGTGCTAAAATATATAGTGATAATAAGAATAGTATAACAGTTAGATTTGACACTTGAACGACAGTGCACAATGTAACTGCCCCAAAACTATACCTTGTTGTCTATTTGGCATTGTAACAGCCTTTTATGGGTCAGGCCCTCTGACTGGAAGCCATAACCTAACCTTCTGTCTATATAGCAGCCCAGTAGCTCTTTCTTGTGGTGGCTATTTGAATAGCGATTTTGGCCATATATCCATCCCTTTTCCTAACCTGCTGTCTACATTGCAGCCCATTAGCTCTCTACGGAGTATACATTTAAAATGGAATTGGAATATCCATCCCTTTTCTGAACCTGCTGTCTACATTGCAGCCCATTAGCCATCTACAAAGTATTCTTTAAAATGGAATTGGAATATCCATCCCCAGTCCATGACTGGCTTGTCTACATGGCAACCCAAGAACCCTATATGAAGGAATCATTCCAATCGTCTGGTTATATTATGTTCCAATACCCCTCTGCGTAGGTATCCATTTGAATCCTAGTCATTTTCAGATACATCTATCTTCATATACCTTACTTCAACTAAATTTCCTGTATATTTAGCTGGCTTTGTCTTCTATTGGTGCCCATTGTAGTGTGATGAATTCAAATTAAACTTAATTCACTTAATAATTTTAATTTTACTTCTCACAGTATGAACTAGTTGCTGAGTTATTCATAGAGAAGGAAGAGTCCTCACATGAAGTCAAAGCAGGGGTTGGGAAACACGGTGTGAAAATGGTCAAACAAACATCCCTGGGAGGAAAGCCTAAAGGCAGAGGTGGAAAGGAAATGAGGAAAACTGTTGGGAACCAAGTAATTGCTGTGTTTACTTTGTTTTGGGAATTTTTGTCAGAATTTTGATAAGATGGCTTTTAGGTTAGCAGTTACCGGTAGTGGTTTGTTCCCACTTCCCAACTTTTTTTGTTAAATTCTTGTTTTCACCTATTTCGAAAATCTTATTTCTTACCTACTGTGCATAAAAACCACTTTATTTATTCGAAATTGTCAATCGATCCCTAGCTAATGTTTAAGCGCAAGTCACTCTCCCGCTTTTGTACAGTTTAACTAGTTTATAATGTGTTCACAGATAAATATTAGAGTATTATACAATGCAAAATTCCACCTCAATAACGACAAAATCCACTCCTGGTTGGGAAACATGTTGAGTTTCACTATTTGATGTTGCACTCGTAACACTAGTCCAGGATTTTTCAAACTTTCATGATCTGTTGTCCTCTTCCAAAAACTCTTAAAGACTTTGTTCTCTCATAATAATATTTAGTTTTGCTTTTAATGCTTTTCGATCAGTTATTTTAAGGCCATATTTTTTCAAAAAGCCAACAAACAAAAGTAAAAGAATAAATGCAATTTGGTCAAAGAAATAAACTAATCACACTCAGTTTATTTTAAATTAAAGTAGTCATTGCAAATGGCCTCTCAACTGTGGCACCTTATCGGCCCACAACCTTTGAGATTTACATACAAAATAAAATCACTTGCTATGTAATGTTTAATACTGTATATTTATATGACAAAATATTTTCAAATACCCAGAGGGTGTCGTTAATAAGTGCAAGAATACATTAACTAAATATATTTTTCTCTACAGTTCCAATCCTCACTTGTAAAACTCATGACAATTCTCAACTCAACGACTCCACATTATGTCAGATGTATCAAACCTAATGATTACAAGCAATCTTTCACGTAAGTTATTGTTAAGTGTTTTTTTGGGGAAAGAGGGGGGGGGGGGATATTCACATATTCTCTAGAAAAAAAAATACAAGGTACAATGAATTACATATTCATCCCAGAGGAAAGGAAACCCAAAAAGGTAATCATATGGCAAACCACGGACTTTTTCCTGAATACCAGTCCATGTCGGGTATGGGATTAGTTAGCCAGTTGTTTCAAATACATGGACTTGATGATAGACTGACAGAGACAACTGGTTGGTCTCTGTTGAACCACCCCCTGAAAGACCTATAAAACAGCATATAAAATAACCCGATTTGATTAGAATTATGACTGCAAAAACTGGAAATTTTAAACGCAAAAACAATAACAAGACCAAGATTATATTCGGTTTTCACACATGAGTTAACAATTCTAATATTTTAGGTTTGAGCCTAAACGAGCTGTCCAACAACTTCGAGCTTGTGGGGTGCTGGAGACGATCAGAATCAGTGCAGCTGGATATCCATCACGATGGTCCTACACTGAGTTCCATGACAGGTATGTGGGATTCTACTTAACGAATTCGGAGGCCGATTGAATCCCTAATATGCGAGTCAAAATCCAAATTTTTTTCAACCTGAAGTTCGAATCAACTTGGAGTCATTTTTCAAATGGTTTCAAGTCTGAGTTTTCTTTGGCGCCACAACGGCATTGCATAAAATCGCCAGTTACCTGACTTCAACTTCTTGCTTTCCTTTTTTTCAATTGAAAATTCAAGCATAAGTTAGAGTCAATTAGAGCAGTGCTTCTTAAACTTTTATGTATTGTCGCCTCCTTGCAACACTCTATACATCATCATCATGGTCTCTCTGCATTAGAAAAATGCGGTGTTGGCAAAAATATTAATAAAAAATTAATAAAACTAGTATACTAAACGTGGTACATGGTGTTTTTTAGTGATATGATTGAGCTTGATAGTCTTCAATGACTTCTTAATATGTAGAGAAATGTTAGAATATGTGTGTTATTATTACATCACAATTGAACCAGATTTTATAGGCCTTGACTACGGGCATACCAAAATAAGCTTCATGATAACTCTTCACTTTCCAAAAATGCACTTTTTCCCTCTTCTCGGATATCTCAACCCCATCAACTGTGGGTTTCCCCAAATAACAATGTTATCCTTCTTCCAGATATCGTGTCTTGATGAGATCAAAAGAAATAGTTCGTGGCAAACCAAGAGTGACTTGTGAAAACGTACTTGCCAGATTGATACCTGAACCTGACAAATATCAGCCAGGAAAAACAAAGATTTTCTTCAGAGCTGGACAGGTAATGCTATATTGCAGTGTTGTGTGAATAAAAAAAAATTTTAAACCGCCAAGAATTAAATTACAACAATCTTTAAATACTAAAGTACGCTTTTTTTAACAACAAAAACAACTTTTTATATTTACACTTTGAGACCGATAAATAAATTCATTTTTTGTGTCCAGGTTGCTTATCTTGAAAAACTCCGTGCTGATAAATTACGAGCATGTGCTATCATGGTTCAAAAACATATCCGTGGGTGGTTGTGCAAGAAGCAATATCTTAAAAAGAGAAATGCAGCGATGATTTTGCAACGATATGCGAGAGGAATGAAAGCAAGAAGGTATGTGTTAAGACCAAGAGTTATTTATCAGTTGACCTTGAGGTCTTGTCGCCTCCTGCCTATTATATTTAATGATTATTTTTTGTTTGTTTGTATTTTAGAAAACATTTAAATATTTTTTAGTCAGTTTGTAAATTATTCAACTATAAAAACCACCAATATGACTCATTTCCTATTTACCAGGCATGCAAATTTTCTTCGTCGCACCAAAGCAGCAATTCAAATCCAACGTACATGGCGTGGATACGTATCGCGATCAAAATATACAAGAACATGGAAGGCGATCGTCAAAATTCAATCTTTCATTCGTGGATTGTTGGCTCGAATTTTATATCGAAAGATGCTCAGAAATGCAAAGGCTACTATTCTACAGGTGAGTTATGTGCAAGACATGAATGAGGGAACCTTAGAGAGAGATTGGTATTTGTCAACCAGAAGGGTAAATTTTCCATTTTGAGGGGGTGGTGACCTAGTAGTTAAAGCTTTACACTTCTATCCACGATGGTTAAAATCCTATGCCCTCCACCTCGCCAGCGTTGTAATAAATTGGGTAAGCAATAGGAAACGGGAAGATTCCGGACCGGCGCTGTCGAAGTAAGATGCCGGACACCGGAACGTTGTATGTGTACCAGGTTAGGGTTAGGCCCTAACTTTATTCCAATTTTCTTTATTTTAGTTCTATTACAAGTTCGGGGACTAGCCAAGTGACTCCCGTAGTATTTGTACCTGAAATTATGGCCTAACCCTAACCTGGTACACATACTACGTTTCGGTGTCCGCCATCTTGGTTCACATACCTCTGGACCTTCCTAGCTATTATAGCGTCTTACCTAGAAGCGTGACACTAACTAACTTGTAAAAGAAAACATAATCCAAACCCCTTCATTTTTCAAGGCTCACATCAGAGGATGGCTGGTACGAATCCGTTACAACAAACAATTGAAAGCCATTGTTTACTTGCAATGCTGTGTCAGAAGAATGTACGCTAAACGTGAACTCAAAGCACTCAAGGCGAGTATTTACGAATAGAGTTGGACATTGTTCGCAAGATCGCAAAAAATATGTATCAAAACTAAATATAATTTGTTGTATATCCATTGTATATTCGTTATAATCAAATGTTCAAGCCCTAATCAGCTTTCCCTAAACTTTTCGTCGTGTAGCGCCAAGTTATCAAGGAAAAAAAAATGCTTCTAATTAACTGTGATCGTTAATGTGTACTTTATGCTTTTCAAAGTTTGCAAACATTTTCCTTTGAAATGCTAAAAAGACATGTTCGCTAAACTCGGTTCAGCAGATAAATAAACTGCAGCTTACAATTTCCTTAACGAATACAATTTCATCCAAGCGATAATGCATTGTTAATTTGAAAAGTAAAAATCAATGTGGGATGGCATGCATACATACGAATATGCAAATTAAGACCACATACCCCACTGTACTTTTCATTCATAAATCAAATTTGTCATTTTCCACAATTTGGCACCAAGGTGTATTTCCGTCAAACTGATTGAGTATCTGTGGCGACGGCTGGGCATTTTTGAATACATGATGATTTTGATTTCAGAATTAAAGCGAATATTTTTTTCGAATCCAATTTAAAATATTGGAAAATATAGGATTGTATGTGACTTCCAGGCATATTAATTACTGAAAACATAGAATCCATTACTCAGACAGTTCGATGAGCATTCACGCACAATAAGAAACATGTTTTATCAATACCTCTTTATGAAGAAAAGAAGCATATGTCAGAATTGGTGTAAAAATATGGCTTCGATAAAATGAATTGATGTTCACCCCTACAATTGGCGGAGTGAAATAAAACAAGATTGAGGCGATTCAAAATTTTTGCCAGAACAGATTCTAATAATTTACTATTTAATTCAAAATGCCCAGTTCAATCAATGACAAATATCAGAATTACATTATCTCAATCTGAAATGTAAATTGTGTTTACATTGTTTCAAAATTCCATGTCTGCCCTTCATATCCTTCACTGAAGTCATATGATCAGAGTTCGATTATAGAAATGTTGCATCCTTTTTTTTCACCACTTAATATTCAAATTTTGATGTTGACTTTTTTGTTTATTCATAAACTACAACTCCACGTTCAATAGATCGCCGACCTCTTGACTTAGAGCAGGGGTCGGCAACCTACGGCCCGCGGAGCAATATAATCCGGCCCGCGACGCTTCACTGAATTATTGTAACAAATTATAGCTGTTTTGTCGATTATATTCTTTACGCAAAAGAATTTATGTGTAAACTAAATAATATTATAACGTAACAAGTATATAATTCACAATTACTCGTTCAATGAGCCTATAGTTTAATCATAATTTAGACAAATGGCAACAAAACAGACAAAAGTTGATGCTTAGTGCAAATGGTTTAATGCGCAAAAAAATATTCAAATGGTCAGTCTTCATGCGCTGCTCAAAATTTAACTTCTGATCTGTGTGATTAAATGTGATTCATAGGTCATCCATTCGATTTTTAACTTTCTAAAAATGTACGGCCCGCCAATGACTTGCAACCTTTAATTTTGGCCCGCGAGCGACAAAAGGTTGCCGAGCCCTGGCTTAGAGCATGTTAGGCCTACAACAGTACTGCATTTAAATTTGGAGTTTTAGAATTAATTATCACCAATTATAATTATTTCTTTTTATTCTAGATTGAAGCTCGATCCATTGGTCATTTCAAGAAACTCAACCAAGGAATGGAAAATAAAATTGTTGAATTACAAAGAAAACTTGATACTGCAGTGAGTATTGTTATCTCCAAGTTCTTGTAGATCAGTAGCTCTCAAACTGCGGTCAGCGTGCCAATTACAGCACGTGCAATGATTTAATATGGTCCGCTGAACTTGAGTGAAAAAGTTTAACACTTTGTGGTTCTTTTTTTGTTCTAAATACCACTAATTGTTATGTCATTATCACAGTTTGAGCACATGTATATTCGAAACAATTCAATTATACCAGAATCTTGAATATATGTACCGGTATCGGCCCCTTGCGGGTGTTCCACTATCTTGGCCCGCGATTATCATTTCGCTTCTAATTTTGGGCCCCAGTCAATCAACTTTGAGTGGAGGCTTGAGTCCATCTCTTCAAAAGACAGCGGCTCAAATTGAGCATCTTTTAGGACTTAATGTAACTTGACTTAGCGCCTTTTATTTTTAAATTTTTGTGTTGGGAAGACTTGATTCGAGTCAGTTTTTCAGAAGATTCGACCTGAGCACTTTTTTAGGACTCAAAATGCCTCGATGTGTGTATCTTTTTCAAATTATAAAGGGACTTTAGTCAGTCATTTATTAAAAAGACCCCACTTGAGCACTTTTCCAAGGCTCAATGTATCAGGACTTGAGTGTCATTTCAAAAGACTGGAATGAACTCTTATAAGTCAAACAAAATGGCCACCAGACAGACTTGACTTGTAACTTAGTGCAGTGCAGTTGCCCCACCTGGGACCAAACTTCAAATTTGCAAACGCTCATTTCCAACTTGTGATGCAAGTATGGCTAAGTCCGTGGCTTTAACTCTACACCATTACACAGTATTTTACTCATTTTTCTGCAGAACAAAGAAACAAAGAGTCTTCTTACAAAAGCTGTGGAAGCTGATAATCTCCGACAGAAAGTTCAAAAATTGGAGAAAGTGGAACAGGATGCAAAACAAACACAGGAGCATGCAAGAAGTCTGGAAGAAGAAATTGAACATCTCAGAAAATTACTGGAAGAATCTCAAGCCGAGACAAAGATTGTTAAAGATGAATTAGAAAAGGAAAAAAATGATAAAGATGAGGTCGGTAAAATTCAGTGTTCCCCTTGACTTATTTTTGTCGTCATAATGGGAATATGGTAATGAAGGAGTTCAAGAGAACATAGTGAAATAATTTAATAATAATTTAGCGAAGGTATATAGACCAAACGGTGCTCCCGAAGTATGCGAACCAAGATGGCGGACATCGGAACGTAACATGGGTAACAGGTTTATAGTTAGGCGATAATTTTTTTCCAATTTTCCTTATTTTAGTCCTATTATCAGTTCGAAGACTAGCCAAGAGCCTCCCGTAGTATTTATACCTAAAATTATGGCCTAACCCTAACCTAGTACACATATTACATTCCGATGTCCGCCATCTTGGTTCGCATACTTCGGGAGCCCCGACCAAACAAATAAAGTGTGTGTGATTTAAGGCTCAACTTCATCTTGCAGAAACTTCATTAGAACCGCATTTTAACAAATATCATATCAAAAAGACAGCAGTGAATTTCTCATTCAATTAAATTCTCTGCTTTTGAATTGTTTACTTTCGTCATAATCCAATTTCTTTAAATATGGTTCGTGTTTTTGACTATTTGAGGTGATATTGAAGGTTCACCGTTATGCAAAATTAGTTTTGAAATTTTATCGATATACAAACTGAAAAGGTTGAGAAACACTGGGCTTGACTATATTGTTTGCTTCTTAGCATTTCTGTATGTATTACTAATGCCAGCAATGGGTTTTCTGTCACTAACAAACACAATATGTTACGTTACTCAGGCTGTTGCTGAACTTACAAATGAAAAAGAACATTTGGTTGAAAGTTTGGCAGAATTGAAGGATGAGATGGAAGCTTTGAAAGTGGAGTCTCAAAGTGAGTTCATACTTTGGAATTTCAATTTTGCTTTACTATAAAATAGAAAAAAAAATAGTAGTATTTGAAATGTATGAAAATTGATATATCTAGTTATAGAAACTAACAAGACCACAAAACTTAAACTAACTAATTGGAGATTATTTAGATCAAAGTCCATAAATACATGTTCATCTGAGAGACAAGGTGCAAGACCGTAACTAACCCCAAATTTGGGCGAGAGGCAAATTTTTTCTTCTTTATAATGACATTTTACGAAGATTTCATGTGTCTTTTCGGCTTTTCCTCTAAACAAGGCTAGATAAATGCATCCACCGATATCTCACAATCACTCTACAGATTTTTTTTGTTGTCAAAGTTATCAGGGTGCTGGTGCAGGTTATCAAAATTGTTATTTATTTTCAGAACAACTCGAAGAATCAGTTTTATCGGCGAAAACATCAGTCGAAGAAGAATTGGAAAAAGAACGTTCGTCTCATCAAGCAAGGATCAAAGAATACAACAGATTGGAACAACGCTATGATAATTTGAAGGTTAGTATTGTATACTTAAATGTATAAATTAGTCATTTTTCAGAATTTTGTCTTGCAAATATTTACGATTTTGAATGTTCCAATCTGGCGTAGTCATATAGATAACCTACTGTTTGATTGCCATATCCGTTATGGAATTAGTTAACCAGTTATTATTTTTCTGTTAATCTAACGTTAACATCCAAAACAGTTGGTTATCTACACTGCCAGCATTGGCCCCTCATATTTGTCATTTATTTATTCCGCAATTTTCAGGACGAATTGGAACTAACAAGAAGCCAGGCTGCAGCAGCAGCAGAAGCAACATCTGGCGACCCTGGATCAAATGCTTCATCAGCCCCACCCTCTCCTCCCGAGTCCGCTTATAATTCTATCAATACCAATGCTTCAGATGTTATGGAGGTTCAGGTTAGTAAAGAAAATGCTGTTTATGATTATCATTCACTTTTATACAACTTCGCTCAAAGGGGGATTTAAGTGAAAAGTGGAAAGAGTACTGATAGAAGAGTTTCGAGTTTGCCCAAAGCAAGGTCTTAAGTCTTAACCAAAAGTGTATTTTACGTAAATAGTTACGTTACATTTGCCATGCAGTATTGAACAGATATTAAATCTGGCGCGTTGTTTTTTAGCAGCCTTTGGGCCAGTCTATTTGGTAACTATATAATATGAATTAAGATGATGCTGACAAAAAATTACCTCTCAGTAAATTTGTTTCTATTAGTGATTTTCAAAACATCAATATTTTGACTTTCAGGTATTTGTTTTTTAACCGAATTAATATACTGCTAACAGATAAAAAGCATAAACAATAGACCAATCATAATTAAGTACCACATACTTCAACTACTTTTCTTGAAATCCATCTTTAGAAGTTTAACAATTATTAACTTATATTTGTTTGTTTTCATTCCCAACCTCACTTGAGATGTCAGTTTGAATAATCACAATCTTGTGTGAAACTTGAAATACCTGTGAGCTATCTGTGTCGTTAAGATTTTAAATTTGTATTTGAAAACGCTAGAAATGGATGGTATTTTAGAATATTATTTAGTTTGAAGGATTTGAATGTTTGATTCTTCCCAACCAGAAATGATCAAAACTATTTTAAGTTGGATAAATTGGAATAATTTAGTGACAGTTATGTTATAGGTTTTTGTGAGGCTGTGTTTTTTTTTTGAAGTCACATGAAGGACTCTAGGTAAGATAGTCAGTCCACTCTGTTGTACTAGAATCTAATTATTGTGAATTTGCTCTGAAGTGAGTCTCCGGTTACGGGTGAGTGTGCTTAACTTTTCTCAGAAATGAGTCACTTTTGAGTGAGTGCGTGTATCTTTGCTCAGAAATGTGTCTCTATACTTGTAAGTGAGTGTCTGTAACTTTACTCACAAAGAGTCTTCTTTAATTCTGAGTGAATGCGTATAATTTCGCTTAGAGATGAGTAGGGCTGTCCAAGCGAACCAAATATTCGAAATCGAATCGCAAATTATTCGAATCGTTTTTCGGCTAATTTTCGAATCGCCAAAATTAGGTACCTGTACATAAAGCGGGAACCACCTTTACGGGATGTTTTTCATCGGGCAAGCGGCAGCGCTCCGAGCTCAGACCACTCTTGCTCCCGGCTTAATTGGTTTCCCGATATTTCTCTCGCCTTCATTTTGTGATCAACATGTCATTACTCATGCCCGCCCGGTGGCACGTGATTAGCCATTTCATGCATGGTCATCATAACATGGTATAATTGGTCATGACGTTTTTGAGAGAGAACAAGGAGAAAAAGGAGACAATTTAGAAAACGATAGTTCTATAAATAGAATCGATGTGAAGCTGTTGAGTTAGTTATCATAGGAACATGGTACAGGCAACTCAAAGCTGAAACAGGTGTTTTGGGATCCTTATGATGGCAATACCTTCTTTGAATGGAATTTGTAATTTCTTATGATGGCATTACTGTATTATCCATCTATATACCAAGACAAATAATTGCACTCTTGCATTTTGATGGCTGTTGTACACTAACAATATTATAGTCGTCAAATAATATTGTCATCAAACTAGCTTGGAAATTTTAAATGCAATTTTGAACTTTAGCAACAGTTTTATCTATATTGATGGCTGTTATCATTTTGCTGAAATTTACACAAAAAAACATAAGACTAGTGAATAGGATTAAAATAGCATCTACAGGCTTTACATGTCCTATTAAAACTGAATCCATCAAAATTGAGATTGCAATTTTTGAATAGTGCAATTTTTACTCTTAACACTCAACAGTTTCCGAGACCCAAATTTTGGAGTCCTCCAATTTTTTTGACCAGTTCATACAAGCGTGTGATCTCCTTTCATAAATCTGAAAACACGGTATTGCAAAATACCAGCAGTAAGTAAGATGTAACTGCACATACGTTACCACAACATCGAAGGGCAGACGTTTATTGTATAATAGAGACAGATTTAATATTGCGCAATAATATTCGATTATTCGGTTCGATTCGGCGAAAATATTCGATTCGATTCGAATCAAAAAATTATTCGATTTTGGACAGCCCTAGAGATGAGTCTTACTTCTGAGTGAGTGCACATAATTTTGCTCAGAATTGAGTCTCTTTACTTTTGATTGAGAGCGTGTAACATTGCTAAAAGATGAGTCTCTGTTACTTCCAAATGAGTGCCAATAAATTTGCTCTGCTCAGAAATGAGTTCCTGTTACTGAGTGAGTGCCCATGATTTCACTCTGCTCAGAATTGAGTCTCTGGTACTTCTGAAATGATTGTCTGTAACTATGCCCAGAGATGGGATCTTTACTTCAGACTGAAAGCGTAACTTTGCTCAGAGATTACTCTTTTGAGTGAGTGTCTGTAACCTTGCTCAGAAATGAGTCTTTGTTACTTCTGAGTGAGTGTCCATAACTTTGCTCAGAAATGGGTATCTTTTGCGTCTTTAGTGAATGTCCATAACTTTACTCGGGAATGAGTCTAAGTTACTTTTGAGTGAGTGCCCGTAACTTTGCTCTGCTCAGAGATGAGTCTCTGTTACTTCTTTGTGAGAGCGTAACTTTGCTTAGAAATGAGTCTCCTTTATCTTTGAGTACAAGCCTTAATTTGCCCATAAATGAGTCTCCTTTACTTTCAAGTAAAACCGTTAGTCTTCTTTTCTTCTAAGTGAGTGTCTGTAACTTTTCCCAGAGGTCTTTCATCTGAATGAGGGTGCTTGACCTTGCTATGGGCAAAATGCACAAGATATTGATTAAAAAACTTTTATTTTTAGAATTTACAAAACGGATCTGGCTCTCACGAGAGCGTTAATCTGCTCGGAAGAATGCAAAAGAAAGTGAAAGAACTAGAATTTGAAAAGAGAGAATTACAACAGAAAGTTCTGGAGAAAATGCAGGAGCATGCAGAGGAAGAGGAGAATAGAAAGATAGAAATGGAGGAACGAGAAAGTGAGAGTGAGAGAGAGAGAACTGTTGCATTTGCTGATGGATTCAAGGTGATTTTTTTTTTCAATTTTGACAGAAATTTGGATTCCATGTTTATCTTAAGAGAAGAGAATGAAAATTTGATAAGAGCGCAATGGCCTAGTGCTGACATGAGCCAAATCTGGCCGTTGGGTAATTCAATCTGGCCCGCCTGATGCTGCCACAATCAAACTAAAACCAAATTTTGATGTTTTACCTAAAAAAATAGCTCAAAGAATTTGTTGAGATTGCAATCAAATTCAATTTTGCACAACGCCTATTGTTTCCCACTTTTGCTTTTGTAACACTGTGAATACTGTTTATAAAATCTAACTTTTTACATCACACTTACATGGTCCGCCAGTTTAAGTGGGCAAAATATTTGGCCCCCAATCCAAAAACCTTACCTACCTTTGGCCTAGTGGTTAAAACGTTAGACTTGACTCTGTTGGCATCCCATCTATGGTTCAAATCCCGTACACATCAGTCCATCCGAAATATCGCTAGATATCGGTGCCTGGTTTTAACGAAATTTAGAATTCATAGTTTCTTTGAGAGAAAAAGAAATCTAATAAGGGAACGATGGTTGCCTAGTGGGTAAAGCGTTGGACTTAGCTTAATTGCCATCGCAGGTTAAAAATCTTGGGTTCAAATCTCTTGTTCTCCAACCCCAATCCCACAGAGCTAACAGAAATATTTGAAATAAATAGAAGTAATAGCCTTCTAGAAAAATATTCCATCTTTCACCACTAAAACTTTTGAAGAAATTGATCCCATAATCAAAGAAAAAAACGACTTTTTAAGTTTTCCACTAGGTGTTCAAAAACAAAAAAAATGCAAAACGATCGTTATGTCCACTAATGTTTCTAAAAATTTGGCTTTCACATACGCTTTAATTACTGCATTTGATTTGAATATAATCTTACTTGGCCAAAACTCGATAATCCGTCATAGTTTGACCATGGAATATCGAATATATTTAGAATTGGTCATGTTTTACTAAATACATATAGAAATCATTATATATTTACTGGGTGTATTCAGTGTGCTTACAAGAATGGTTGATACTCCTGTAGTATGTGAACTAAGATGGCGAACATCGCAAGGTAGTATGTGTACCAGGTTAGGGTTAGGCCATAATTTCAGGTATGAATACTATTCACATGGGTAGTCCCTGAACTTTTAATAGAACTGAAATAAGGATAATTGGAATAAAAATATGTCCTAACCGTAACCTGGTACACATACTACGTTCCGGTGTCTGCCATCTTGGTTCACATACTATGGGAGTACCTAATCAACGCTGATATAGGCATTTAAAGATATTGTTTTACTTTCAGTTGGAAGAAGTTGAGAAAGACAACGAAAAAATGAAACAAGAGTTGACAAACCTTCGAAAATCTGTCGCTGACTCAGCAAGTTCTGCGATGACTAAGGATAGTTCAGCATTCAAGGTGAAATAGATGAACATTATGTGCTGTTATGGCCATGTTGGGAGTAGGATTTACTTATTTATCTCGGGGAGGGGAAAGATGGTTTAATCATATGGCGAACCACGCCCTTTCTTCTGGTTACCAGTCCATGTCGGGTATGGGATTAGTAAGCCAGATACTTGAATCATGGTGGAGTAAGTCGTAGCCAAACAGCGGTTATTTTAGCCACCCTACAGTGGTATAGAGTCCAAAAATTCAACCTGCGACCTTCTTCAGGGTGTATAAAGACATGATGGCGAGCATATCACTAATGCTTAGCACGATGCGCCACAGCGCCAAGATAAAAAGACGAGTTATAAATCCAGGGATCGAATTTCACCTAACTGAATTTATTGGGAAGAAAAACTTTGATGAAATATTAGGCATTTATGAATTTAAGATAAAATATATTAATAGTCCTTTTAGCGAATTCATCCATCTTTAAAAAAAATTTTAAATTAAATGGTCTGTTACTAGCAACAACAACGATCACCCCGACAAGATTTAGCGAAAAAATTCATTTTGCCCAACAAGCATTATTTAGCACAGTAGTTCCCAAACTGTGGGTCGCGGACCCGGGTGGGGTTGCCTGACGATTTTCCGGGGTCGCCTTCCGCTTAATGTACAAGCGACATACGACACACAAGTCGCTCGCGAATATCTATAATATTTAATTTTACGAAAATTGGGGGCGCTGGGAAAAAGTTTGGAAACCACTAATTTATCGGAAAACTGGGCAAGCACTCTACCATATGAAATAATAATGGCTGAAAATTTCTCATATTTTCTCTCTTATCAGGAAATGTACAATCAAATGCTGGCAATGCAAGAAGAGTTGGAAGTTCGGAGGTCAGAGGTCATCCAATTGAAATCTGGGTTGGCTTCAATGAAAGACAGTTTGCAAAAATATAAAAAAGAAAATGTGGCGAAAATAACAAAGGTAAGTATTTATTGTTATTCCAGTATCTCCGGAGGGAGTCACAGAGCAGTTGGAGAGGGCCACCATGCCAGGCACATATCTGATTTTACCTTCCTTTTCCTAGGAAAATTCTCGTTCTTCTTAGTTTCATTCCTTGATAAGGTTATTTCACAGAATTTTTTCAACTTTGTTGATCATGAATTGTTTGAACATAATGGTATTCGGAATCTACCAATCAAAAAAATACTATAAATACCACTGAAATGATAAACAGGCGCCATGAGTGCTAAAAGCCTCCGGAAAGGGACCACGAGTTACAGAAAGTTGGGGATCACTGCTGTTGAACCAATAAAAATGAAGATATATTTCATGCATTTGTTACATATTTGTGTTTTGACTTTTTTTACTTATCGATCTTGATTGGTAAGTATATTATTCGGTATTTGTCTGTTAGACACTTTCGTATGTTACTGAATCTGCTCCAAATTTTTGCATGTGCATTTATCATATTTCGGACCAGAAGCCTATTGATTTTGAATGAATTTTGTCGTATATACATCGAGTTATTAATTAATCAGTGATGGGGCACGTGGTGTCGCTATTGAGTCAGAGCGAAGGATACACGCCGCTAGATTGATAAGTCGGCGGTCTCTGATCTCTATCTTGTTTAAATGTTGGGAAATATTTTTCACAGAGCACAATGACCAGTGCAGATCTCCTCGGATCAAGGAACAGGATGGAAGACATTAATGTTGAGAAATTGGACAAGAATGATTTGAAAACTGTTCTTGCTAAAGTCTATGATCATAATAGGTAAGGTCTTAACATATTTATCGGCGCTCCAGAAGTGTGTGTACCAATATGGAGGTAACAAATTTTGTTCGCCTACTTTACATCAAGTTGTATAAAGGGACTGAAACCTATGGGCATGGGTATATTCACTTGGATAAAACAGACAGTCTCCGAACATGAATTGAACTAAAATAAGGAAAATCAGAATAAAATTATGGCCTAACCCTAACCTGGTACACACACTATAGGAGTACCCATTCATATCCATTTTTCATTCATGCTAGAGATATTTGTTATTATTCACTGAAGTTTTTTTTTGGATACACGATCAGTGGCGCAGCAGGGGGTTTTCGAGTCCGACCCGTTCGGTTGGCATTTTAACGAGTGTCGTAATCGTGACTAATGTTTCAGAAGCCGTTCCGCAGGGATTTTGAGGCGTTAAAGATGGTTTTTGATATACTAATATACTCATTAATATGCATTTTTATTGTACTAAATTAAATTGTAACCTATGGCGGATCCCTGTATTTTTTTTAATGGATAAAACGAATTTGCAAAAATACAATAATGGGACAATTTATCTCACATTATTATTTCCGCAGATTGCCGCGATATTTTGGAGTAGTAATGCTTTTATTTTGTCGTCAGATGGCGATTTATGCCACATATTTATCATCGTCAACATTCTGTCTATATGGCAGCTTTCTATGCCCTACAGAGGAAGCCATTCAAATGGCGATTGTGAACATATGTCCATCCAATTCTGCTTACTAAAAAAGCCAAATGAAATACAAAGATGCAATGATTCTGCCCTTGAGGAAATAAAAAGAAATAGTGTGCGTTTGAAAGACTTCAATCACTTAAAATGTGATCCATTTTTACTGCTTGTGACATATACTATGGGAACCGTTGTTTTGTTCGATTAGTGAGGAGTATTTGGCGTTATGCCTCGCATCTCATTCAATTCTCACTGCTTATGACAAAACACTGCTGTATCCACTTTGATTCATGGGAGACAGAGCTTCAAGAATGAAGAGCCGCAGGTTGTCGATCGCTGGTCTAGGCTATTGTACTCTATATGTGATACCTCTTTTTAACCAGTATACATTTTTTAGAATGTTGGAAGCTGAACTCGAAGCGGAGCGTAAGAACCACGATATTGAGATTGAAGAATTGCACCAGAGATTTAATCTTCTGCAAACTGATTCTAATAGAGAATATTTAAGGGTGAGTGTTAACTCAGTATAAAGGTATAATTAGTAAATACCAATAACCATAACCAAACTATAGCTTTCGGGTATAGTTATGCAAAAAACTGGAGTTCAGGTGCTAGCAAATTTGAATTAGTTATTTTTACCTTCATAAAAGTAATGTCACTTTTTCTGTTGAGTCATGGTTAAAGGCCACGTGTTTATTATTAACTGCTTCGATCACAAGAAATTTATTGGTTCTGTTTTATGGTCCACCCCCATCTTGTGTTATTTGGCCGGCCTAATGATTGTCATCCTAAATCCTTTCAAAAATTCCCTTTTCTTGTAAACTAATGTACCAATCGACTAATGGCACGAACTTCAAAATTTGCTGAGACTCGAGACTGTCGTTTTGATCGAAGCCAGAAAGATTGCCGACGATGATGATATCGCAATGTAACACAGTAATGATGACAGCGATGAGATAGCAATAATCATCACGATGACGATATACAATTGAAAGAGCTTGAACTAAATTGAAACTTAGGACCACGCGAACTGCTGACAAACGGCATGAAGATTAAGTGAAATTAATGTACAGTATGAATCTGTACAATCGACGATATTGCTTAATTTATATAAAAGCAAAAAACACTCGCGGCACACAGATTGGAAACATCTGTTCTAGTGAGCATCTTCGGTATTTCAATCTCCTATTCTTTTACAGAATGGCGATAGTTTTGACGGCAATATTCAGTTGGAACTCCAACGATTATCTACAGAGAACTTCGAATTAGAAGCTCAAGTTGAAAGTTTAGAAAAACAGAATCGAAAGTTGAAACGACAACTCAAACTTTATAACAAGAAGTTGAATACAATGGAATGTAAGTTTCTTATTCCACATATTTATATTCCTTCAACTCTGAACAAGGCTCTGCATAAGTACCCACTGCAAAGTAAGTTGCTACCGTCGAAGAAGGATAAGTAGTTAGTATCGTAGAAACCCAATTGACAGCGCAGACTCAGGCCTTGTGGCGGTTCTGCATTCGCTGCTTTCTGGTGTTCAGACAAAGTCATGACGACGTTTGAGCCTTTGTGTTAATTTATTTGAGCATCACCGTCTTGTTACTTATCGATCTTTATCGGTAAGTATGTTGATAGGTATTTGTATGTCTGTGTTAGATGCACGCGATATCTCACGAAAGCGAGGTTTAATCTGCTCCAAATTTTGCATGTGCATTCATCTTAGCTCGGATCAGAAGCCTATTGATTTTGGATGGATTATGTCGTATAATTAGCGAGTTATTAATTAATTAGTGATGGGACACATGGTGTCACTATGGAGTAAGACCACTGTTTTGGGGGATCCCCTAACCTTTGATCGATAAGTCTTCGGTTTCCAACCGAATTCTAGTTTTGGTAGCTTTTGGCACTTCAATGGTAGCCTTGAAAAATAACAAGACATTCTGTAAGTTACAATTCTGGTTATATATGTAAGCATATCTAGATATGTCCTAGCGGTCTCATTGAAATTCATCATTGTAGTATCCGCTAATTCCTAATAGTTATCGCACATTGAAATTTATTACATTGGCATTTTCATTACAGCGGAAATGGGAGGAACTGGTATCAAGCCTTCTGAAAGCAACATGAGTTTGGGAGTTCAAAATGTGAAAGTCAATGGAGATTCAGACACTCATTCTATCGCTGGAAATCCAGCCGTGAAACACAAGGATGCAGAAATATCGGGAATGCTTAAATATAAGAAAGGAGAAGATTCAAAAGCAGTCAAGGCTATTATTCTGGGTAGGTTCTTTTTAATAGGTTGTTTTGCATCTTTAAGTTGCAAAAAACTCCGTACAGTTGACAGTTTCAGTTTTCATTTAAGACCAATTCAGTATGACTGGCAGTGCTTTTAAATCTAACTTTAAAGAGTTTGAGTTAAAAAAATCTATAGAAGGAATAGTAGGTAAACTTAGTCGAAACTTGTTTATTTATTATAACCAGTTTATTTATTATAACCAAAATTATGGCTTTCAGAAACTAAAAACGCATCTTAACCCAAACACAAGAACATGCAACGTAATTACATTGAGTCACTAAATATAGCCAAACCTAATCGGTTCATTGTCTGATACTTGTAACAGCTAGTGACTAATGCTGAGTCCATAATTTGAGAAAGCCTGCTCTAGCCACTACGCTGTCAAGGTAACTAAAGCTTTTTTAACTGAAGTTTTTTTTTCTTTCCTAGATTTGAAGCCACGCAGTGTCGCAGTCAGTCTTCTTCCCGGCCTGCCTGCACATCTGTTGTTCATGTTACTGAGATTTGCAGATCATAGAAACGATGACTCAATGATCAAGTCATTACTCTCTCATATTATAAATGGAATCAAGAAAGTAGAGAAGGTCAGTGGTTGGTTATTGCTTTGTCTTCATGGCTTGCTCGCCGATAGGTTGCGCCACTGTATAGGTCGCACTATTAGTTTTTTGTTAAAAAAGTTTAATTTAGAGTTGACTAGCACATAAGTCGCATTGAAAATCTAGGGCTCTTTTTCTAGCTTTTTTGCATAGATAACTTCCTATTTTTTTTTTTGTAGGGCTTCATATAATCAAATATGTTATACATGCTTGCAATAGCCGAAAACTTTCAATTTTGTTCAGAATTGGTGGCGATTTGCACTCATGTCGAACGGATTGGTCTCACATATATTTACATATTTATACCGGGAGAGAGTGTAGCCGATGAAATGGCTTAACCATATGGCAAACCACGGTTTCTCATCCGGTTACCAGTCCATGCTGGTTATGGGATTAGTCAGCCAGTTGTTTGTTTTCAGAAGCATGCATTGATGGTGGAGAAAGCTGTGGCCAATCAGGGTTACGTGAACCACTCTACGGCGGCGAGGAGCTCAGCAATCCTCTTGCTCATAATATTATTGGGACTGTCTCTACATTGATTATAATATACCTAATCGGAGGGTTCACCTAAAAAAGCAAAACTTGAAAAGGCTGTTTTGAGAAAAAAACATTTTCATATTTTTGATTTCCACCTGTAACAGTGGTTCCTAACCTTTTTGGGTAAGATCCTCCTTTGCCATATTTCTGTATTTTTCCTCCGAAATCAACGAAATTTCTCCATGTGAAAGAATTCCTCACCAGTTAAAAAAACGTTTGCCTGTAGTTTTGTGTTTGGTTTCATAATTGTGACAGAATTTGTTTTTTATTTACAGCAACATGAAGGGGAATTTGAATACATTTCATTCTGGCTGGCAAACACTTGCAGATTCCTTCATAATATGAAACAATACAGTGGAGATAAGGTAACATTTACCTTGATAAAATAATATTGTGCATTTTACTGAGAAAATTTACTCAAAGCAGGATCGTACTCACTCAGAAGTGAAATAGACTCATCTCTAAGTGAAGTTTTGCACACTCACTCGGAAGTAAAGTAGAATCGTCTACGAGCAAAGTTACGGGCATCACTCAGAAGTATAAAAGACTCATCTCTGAGCAAAGTTACTAGCGACCGCTCACTTAGAAGTGAAGGAGACACATCTTTGAGTAGAGCCACACATTCACTCAGAAGTGAAATAGACTCATCTCTGAGCGAAGTTACGCGCACCCACCCAGAAGTAAAAGAAACTCATCTTTGAGCAAAATTACGGGCGGGCATTCACTCAGAAGTAAAGAAGCCTCATCTCTGAGCAGAGTTACTCGCTCCGAAGCTTGTTTCATACGCTCCTCTGCGAGCATTGGAGCATTTTCAATCCGGATTTCGGGGGGATGTCTATCATTTTCACCATAAACAAGTAATTAATGGGACATAGGTAAGTGCTATTAAGGAGTTGTCCTATTATTATTCCATTCCTCAAAGAATTATTTATTCTTTTAGGACAAATATGAATATCTAATCTACCACAAAGGGTGGATTGCTTATAAGACATCTATGTGCAAATGATTCCCACCTTGCTTTGAGGATTTTTTTTCACTTTCCAATGTGCAGAGAATAATATGTACCGGTATGTAAATCTTCCATAGGATATCTAGCTGTAATTTTTATATCAATCTGAGCCTTGAAATGAATGTCTTTGATTTCATTAATGAAAATAGACTATTTTATAGTAGCATGTTCCTAATTACTGTACTTTTCTCTTGATTAACTAACAATTGATTAATTAAAGTCACCACAAATGGTAGATTACTTATCACACTCGTATACATACATTCCACAAAGCTCAGAGTGACCTTGCTTTGAGCAATTCTTTGTACTCTGCCAATGTGCGGGGAGTAATTGTATAGAAACAGTCAGTCAAGCTATCATGTAATGCAGCTGCTTTAGCCGGCACCCTCCTTCAAACAGGGATATGTTTGTATTCAGATGCTTTAAGTCAGGGGTGTGCAACCTTTTTCGCAGGCGGGCCAAATATCAATAACTGGGTAAAATCGCGGGCCGCACCTTCATTTAACATAGGCTTTCTATTAGTTTACAGGCACAAAATAGTTTCTTTTTGTTATTGATCTCATGTCGTCATCAGAGAGGGTTCCTTGCAGAAAACGCATAAATATCTTAAAACTGTAATCCAAATATATTGTCACACCCAATTTAAACGAATTCGGTGAGAAATTTGCTGCTGGATTCTTTTATCCAAATTTGCCTAAATGCAGTGCTAGCAATTTGATATGACGGCCATTTTAGAAAAAAGTATGTAACCAAAAAGTGCCATATTTAAAGCCATGACTTTTTTCAAATTAAAATTTTAGTTGAGATGTTTTTGGTGTAATACGCCAAGATTCATTTCCAAATACTTAAACTGCTTTCCAGTTGCTTAAACTTCAATTGTCTGTTCTTACAAATTCATTAGCGTCTGCTCCGCATTTTTCGTTCAGTTGTTTGCTGCTCGGCAAGCTTCTTTGTGAATCGCGATGTTCGCTTCGCTGTGAAGACGTTGTAACGTAACAGCCATAGATAATAAATTGGACTCGAATATAAGCTTTGCACCGCGAAGGGAACCAGATCAAACTAAATTAAAAACTAATTAAGCTTGCCGCACACCATTCAAAATTGGCATTTCTCCGCGGGCCGCACAATTTGTCCTCGCGGGTTGCATTTGGCCCACGGGCCACACTTTGCACACCCCTGCTTTAAGTAGTTAGCTGCATTTCCCCATGCATAATGCGTGCTTTTGGGGTCAAATTTTTTCTTCGAAATAAGGGTTAAAGAAGTTAGACCAGGGGTTCCCAAACCGCGGGCCAAATTCGGCCCGCATAACGATTTAAAATGGCCCACCGAGCTTAAGTGAAATGGTGTTCAACAGATTTTGTTTCTACCTTATTGCGATCTAGATACCGCCAATTGATATGTCATTATCACAGTTTAAGCACGTGTTTATCGCAACAATTAAATTATAACGGTATCTTAAATATACGTACCGGTATTAGGATTACATTGGGCAGAAATTTAGTTATCAGTCACATAAGAAAGCTTAGCGATGTCAAAAAGCATTTGAAAACTAGACGCTGAAAACGGACTTTGCTGGATAAATGTCATCATTCGTATTTCTGTATTGAAAAGAATCAAACTTCAGCCATTTGTCTTCTTTGCCAACGTACTAATCCACTTCCGAAGGAATACGACATTAAGCGCCATTATGAGTCAAACAAACATGTTTAAAATAATGTCAAATGTAAGTGAATCCACAGACTCTCAGCTAAACTGTCGCATACTTTCGGGCGCTACACTCTTCGAACTCCACGAACATCCTTCGGATTCTAATTTTGGCCCGCGGCCAATGAAGTTTGGGAACCCCTGAGTTAGACTATTGTTATTATTATAATAATTGCCGATTAATTTCAAGTTATATTGACCATATTCAAGTCATTGGTTCCCAAAGTTGATTGACCGTGGGCCAAAATTTGAAGCCAAAGTATATTTGCGAGAGGGGAACGCCCCGCAGGCAAGGACATGTGAGCTCATAAAAAAAAAAAATGCGAGGAAAAATAGAAAAGAACACAACATTTTAAACGAACGCAGTGCACAGAACGAAAGTACTGCGCGGGGATTCTCGGCCAGTTGCGCAGCTTAGAGGGAACGTTGTCTGCAAGGGGCCGATGCCTGTATCTTCACGCATAATTAAGATTCCAGTATAACTGAATTGTTCTGAATATACACGTGCTTAAACTGTGATAATGACATAACAATTGGCAGTATCTAGAACGCGAAAAGCTATAAGGTGGTAAACTATTTAGCTCAAGTTCATCGGGCCATATCAAATCATTACGCGGGCCATAATTGGCCAGTGGTTTGGAAACCCCTGCTTTAAATGTTCGGTCCATAACCTTCAATTTTGATGAGATATTTAACATAACTCATGGATAGCTGACATAAACTTACATTTATAAAATGAAAAACAAATGAGTATAATTCTGGTTTCGGATTTTTTGCATTTACCATAAATAGTAGATTACTTACAAAGTATAAATGGCTTTGATTTAAATTGTCAGTTAGAGCCTTGTTTAGAGTGAATATTTTTGTGCTCTGCCTATGTGCGGAGAATTTAACTAGTAGTGAGTGAACTGTAACTGACCAGAGGTTATGTGAACTACCCTGTGGTGCAGTGGTCGGGAACCTTTGTGACCAAGAAGGTAGATCTTTTCAATTGCCTTTCTGTGCGAGCCATTATTCATCTCTTCATTTCTACTCAAAAGTCAGTTTATACAATGTCTAGTAACCATTAATGTGACTTCTGATGTTGCATGTTGTCGCTGAGGGCCTCTAACGACAGTTCACATGTTGAAATCCACGATACTCATCATTTTTTTTTCTATTAGGCATCTCCGTGGTGCTTTAAATTGTCAATATATTACAAATAAACAGTGACAAACAGATTTTTCTGGGAGCCATATGCCCCCACCAAAAGAGCCATATGGCTCGCGAGCCGTGAAGCGCAGCGTGATGCACCACACCGCTGGGCCGAGATTTGAGCTTGTGTGTTCTAAGTCTGTGATGTCATTTTTTATGAAATTTTAAAACCAGTTAAAATTTCTTAAATATTTCTTTATAGATATTGCCTACTTTGATATGAAATTTTCTCTCAAGATCTCAGATTATTTACGCTTACATTAGTGACGTCGTGGTAACTTTTTCTTTTCTCTGCTCTATATTTATGATAGTGTGCTTTCCATATCACGCCCTGATGAAGTCGTTTTGAATACAAATTACATCGTTTTGCTAACATCGGTTGTGCTTTATTTATCTTCGACATGAATATACCTGGCGGCAATCATGCGCTACTTATCATTGTCTGTAATTGCATAAGTTGAGTGAGTGAGTGAACTTAATTACTTTCGATCCCAGACATTCAATTTTTCTGCTCGTTTTTTCTGGACATTCAACACAAATTGACCTTAAATTCGTCGTATCTAACATCCAGTTGATGGCGTGAAATTTAAACAACTTCGATAATACCATATCACATGTAGGGAAAGTGGAGAGAAGAAATTTACCACAGTATGTGGTATAAGCGATCGTAATCTCTTTTGAAGAGAAAAATGATCCATAAAAATTCTGTCATAATAGTCTGTGACAAAAAAAACGACACCAGACTGGAAAACTAACCCATAAACGCACAGCGCAGTATTATCACACCATATTCATAGGTTATTTCAATTTTCAGTTAATGGGTTGTTCAAAAAAATTGAAATTACCGTTTATTGTTAAGAATTAATGCTGTGAGTATTAATCTACCCGAAACGAACATGACCTGGTTCCAACAACATAAACTTATTCATACATATTAGTGTTTAACTGACCAACAGAGAATCAATTTTTCAGCCTGTCTTATTGAAGGGTCATATTGAAAAATCCTATTTTTCAGTGCTAATAATAGGCTTCGTTTTATTTGCCGGGTTAACTTATTCGCTTGGAAATACAGTAAGTCAATGTGTCTCTATCGAAGCCATGTTTAACTTTCATTGTTCTTCCTGGTCAAAATGAGACAGATAGAAATTCTTGCCTGACGGTCGCTGGCTTGTTGAAATCCGTTCATGATCAGCATTACTAAAGGAAGAGACAATTTCATCAAATATCATTTGTGCATATCAGGCTTTCGTTAGTATTAAACTCTGCACATGTGCAGTGTATATATCAGGGGTAGATCAGGCTAACTTGTGCCTGCTACAATTACGGCTATAGTTTTTATGAATATAAATTTCCGTTCAAAATAACATAATGACGCCGATTGTTGCATTGCAGTTATTAATATTGTTATTATATATAAACAATAGCTTAGCTGTTGGACTAGCTTTTGTAAATAAACTGTTTTATTCATAGTTTTTGATTTTGAGTTTTGAGCCCAGTAACCAAGTCTATTGTTTGTAACCGGCTCATTCAGAAAAGTAACTGCCCACCCCTGGTCTGTTATCAATTTATCTGTTATACGCGATTGTTTGGTCTGTTGCTGAAGAAATATTTTCTCGGGTCCCCATCAAGGTTGTTTTGTAGTTCCTATTCCATTGCTAAAAAACATCCTTGAATTTATTGGAATCAATATGTGAATTCAAATCACCACAAACGGTAGCTTACTTACAAACTATATAATTTTGTTATGACATTGGATTTTAGAGCCTTGTTCAGAGTGATCTTTTTGTGCTCTGCCAATTTGCAGAGGATTTTTAATTACGTTAATGTTGGTTATATGTTACACTGCGTTCTCTGATAGTTGGAAGCCAGTCTAGTGAAATTTGTGAGTTGTAGTAGCTTGCAGGACTGTTAAAATCAAACAAAATGGCCTCGCGGACAGGCAATAAAATATTTAGTCAAAATTTGGGATTCAGAAGGATAAAGTTAAAATAGGAAAAACATTTGCAAGGTCACATAAGTAGCGTTGCGACGTACTCAAATAATACAATCTGAGCTTCAAAAGTTACACGTTTCCATGCCTACAAATTTTTGCTGCTTTACCGAAGCATACAACATGACCAATCCATTCTTCTGTAGGCTTTTCTTGTTATAAAAATACAACTATATTGCAATTTCCCGGTAATATGGTATGAGGAGGTCTATCATGCGACACTGCTTGAAATAAAGTCTTTGTTCATATTTAAATAAAATTTCAAGTTTTCTTGCTTGTTACTCGCAAACTCTGTCAGATATTTCAAGTTTAATACAGTATTTACAATATTTGTTCGATTCAAATCAAATGTGAAACGCAATTTGCGTTCAACAGTAGCATGAATTTCGTAACAAGTACTAATCTTATTTGTTGTTGGCTTTCTTATCGAAATGGACGCCAATGCTCATGAGAGTTTGAGAACCGCTGCACTAGACCCACCGGCCACCATTACCATTTTTTAACATATTGGTAATATCTGATGGTACTTCTGGTTGTATGACTGTGCTTGCCATTTATTTATAGAAATGTCGCATTTATATTTTACCGTAAATGGTAGTTTAGGTAAATACTATATATACATACACTTTGACATTTTTAGGTACAACGATTTAGCAAAATTCTATAGGTCTTATTTTTGTGTCCTGGAAATGGGGATTTTTGATCAACTTTGTGCTTGGTTTGCATTACAATCTGAGTTCTGTTTTGAATTAGTCATGCTTTGCGCTTAGATTTTCTTATCTAGTATTGAAAGGCTTTTTGTTCTGTTAAAACTTTTTCTACGCACCGCTGGTACAATTCCGCAAAAGAGGAAAAGTTCTGCGACGCCCTAAAAGAATTTAAACGACGCACTTGACTCTGAGAACCACTGGTTTATACAATATAGGCGATTGAACTATTACACAGGGGTACTTATTTCGGGGCTCCCGAAGTATGCGAACCAAGATGGCGGACATCGGAATGTAATATGTGTACTAGGTTAGGGTTAGGCCATAATTTTAGGTATAAATACTACGGGAGGCTCTTGGATAGTCTTCGAACTGATAATAGGACTAAAATAAGGAAAATTGGCAAAAAATTATCGCCTAACCCTAACCAGTTACCCATGTTACGTTCCGATGTCCGCCATCTTGGTTCGCATACTTCGGGAGCACCATTATTTCATTGAGTTCTGCTTCACCAAACAGGTTTAAAATTACTGCAATACAAACGCATCACTAAACTTAAATTTGTTGCATCAGGTTTTACAATATGACTCTGTCACCCTAGTTATGACTCTACAACAATGCTTGTAAACCTTTTTTGAAGTGGTACACCCTTTTATACTTCACTCAAAATCTGGTACACCCCACCCATCCTACATTAATCGACCAAAAACACGATATTTAGAAAATATACATGTTAATACCGACACAATATTTCGTTATTTGTCTAATGAGAACGTTGTACAAAGTGAGGTAATAACCTCAATTCAAGCACCCTCTAATATCATTGTGAATAAATCCTCAATTGCATTCCCGTTCATTATTTTTATTGAGAGCAGAAAACCCTTGTTCGGAAAGCTATATTGTAGGAATTCTGACGAGAATGAAAACATCTTGTGTGCACTACTTCATAATTAAAAATAAAAGACAAAATGCAAATCTTTTTTTTACATCATTTCAGGAATTTTTGAAGGACAGTACTCCTGCTCAACAAGGACATTGCTTGAGGAACTTTGACCTATCAGAATATCGACAAGTTATCAGTGATATGGCCATATCTCTTTATCAGAAGTTGGTGCTGCTTATCATGCATGAGATAAAACCTATGATTGGTAAGTTATTCCGTAATGCTCGATTCTATATTATGATTTATGATGATTTCTATTCTCAGCAGTTCATTTCATTTTACTGGTCGCCTGTAACTTCATCCATTTCTGAGTGCGTGCCCACAACTTTGTTCTGAGATGAGTCTTCTTTATTTCTGAGTGAGTACCCGTAACTTCACTCAGAGATGAGTCTTCTTCATTTCTGAGTGAGTGTCTGTAACTTCACTCAAAAGTGAGTCTCCTTTACTACTGAGTGTGTGTCTGTAACTTCACTCACAGATAAGTCCCCTTTACTTCCGAGTCAGTACTCGTAACTTCACTCAGATATGAGTCTCCTTCATTTCTGAACCAGTGGGCTTGCTTCCAGACAATTTTCCTTAATAATAAGTATAAAGTATATGTAGGGCAACGTTTCCTAAAGCGGACCTTCTGGCCCACTTAGGGTGCCACAGCGAAGCTTTTTGGAGGCTCCGGCCCAGTAACGGAGTCTATAACCTGTAACTGGCCCACTCAGGAAAGTATTTGCCCACCCATGGCCTATACCAGGGCGGTCCAAACCCAGGCCCGCAGGCCACATGCGGCCCGCCGCTCCATTATCTGTGGCCGGCGTCACATTCGGAGAGTAATCAAAAAATCGCATTAGGTGTTGTTTCGGCATAAAATTAATCGAAAAAATCTTTTGACATATTGTCATCACTAATGTCACTGAGTTAAATAGTTTTATGGCTAGCTGGGTAAACTAGCAAAGTTGAATGATGTGCTTGGCAGTTTAAATTGTTTTCTAACTTTTTGGTCAGGAATATATGCTAACAATATAGGCATCATAGAAAACTAAAAATTGAATGCGGATTCTATTAGCCTAGAATGGCTATGCCTGATGACTATGTGATTGCACAATAAAAGTGTTTGTTTTGTATTGCAATGTTTACCTATGCTTGACACTAGGCTTGCACGTAATTTACGGATTTACGGAATTACGGAATTATTGCGAGTTACGGAAGCGAAGTTACGAATTACGTAAAGTCGTAAACGAGCTCTCTTCAGAGCAGTCAATTCCGTCGATTGTAAAAAATTAAAGTTAAGTAAAAGAAGTTAGAGTTCCGGTTTTTCGCAGCCGTTTTTCTCTCTCTTGTTAGGCAGATGGGGAAGGCATAACGCGTCATTTACTGCCCTATTATCAACTTATCTAGGATGGCCAATGTACATATTAACCGTAGATAAGGAATAGAATTGTGATGAGACCGATGGACGTCAACACACCTGGTTTCAACTTCTTCGGGTGAAATGATTAAAGAATGTAAGAGATCGACTTATAAAACATGGTCTATTTGTAAATGCCGTGATAATTAATGTCGCGCTTATCAAACAGCAATATAAAGACGGAAGAGAAATTGCGTAAAGAACCAACGCAACTTAGTCTTTTCGGCATCGGTAAAGCGATTGAGACGGCAGAGAAACAACAATACGACGGGATCTCCCGTGTTTATTTTGCGCGAGATCCATTTTCTATTACAAAATCTTGATGTTCTGTTACTGATTTTATCGTTATATATCTGTCACAATGCCTCGCAATATGTCGGCCAAATATGATTGCCTGTCTTTACCAAATGCGGCAACTTATTTTGATTTGTCATCGACTCGAATACCACCGGCACTCGACCAAACTTGTGTCAATCTTGGCAAATAGGATTGTCGACTTGAGTTAGAAAAATAAATTTATATTTTCATGAGTTCAAAATAAATGTCACAAAATGCATTGTTTTGCGATATAACTTTGTATTTTCGGAGAAGGCATGTCATATAAGTACGGTATTTTAAATAATGCGCAAATAACTAATATTTAATCTAAATTTATCGCAAATAATGTTATAACTTTTAGGCCGCGAAATGATTTAATGTAAAATGAAGCATGAAATTCGGAATATCGTCAATAAGTCGGCATCAATAATTATTATAAAATGCTAACAAGTAGTAAAGTCGGATATTGTAAAAAACGGTGAAATAACAAGTCTTCGTCGCGAGGCAAGCGAAAGTATAATCAAACGAGAGAATACGCTTGTAGTTGATTAATAAATTAGCAACCCGGAATTTTTATCTAATACGAAAGTCGTATTAATACGTTAATACGATTTCAAAAAACTGAACTATCGTTTCTTAAATATATTACCAGTGTTGGTAATGATAAAATTGATCGCATAAAATTTGGTGATTAAGTGGATAAAAAAAAATCAAAGCTAATACAAAAGATAAAAATCAGAATAAAATTATTTTGAATTCACTCCTTGATATTTGTCTTTAACATCTGTCGCCGGCGTGTAGTACTGCCGGGAATATGAAAACCAAACTTCGATGTCCCATTCGGAATAGAAGTGGATTAAATTGGTTGTTATGATAGGTTTAAATGTGTGAAAAAAATATCGCAATTACGGGGTCATTACGTAATCGATTTGGCCGTAATTACGGAATTGATTTTTGTCAATTACGTGCAAGCCTACTTGACACTATTGTGTCTATTGTTCAACAGGGATAATTTTACGTTTTAATGAGAGAATAGAGATTGACAACCTTGATATATAACAAAATATCCATTTTTATTGTATCCACATGGATACTTATATTCTGTGTGCAGAATACATGCAACATAGGTTTAGGCTGTTGATGGGTGCCAGATGCTTCCAGTCACTTCTTTGCTCCTGTTTTTTCTATTGGCCTTAGCTGCTGCCTTGGTTTCTTTCACATTCCCGGCCTTTTTGGTAGTTTCCTTGATGACCCCAACAGCAACAGTCTGTCGATGTCGCTGACATCAGTAGACCCAATGCATATACATTAGGACATTTCATTTTGAAATTCCCCCATTTTCTTATCAAGCGATTTATAAAAATAATAATAATAAACATAAAATCTCAATAACAAAATATTTTTCATGAAATATTTCCTATTTTAGTTCCAGCAATGTTGGAGCACGATACAATCCAAGGATTGTCTTCCTCTGTCAAACCTTCTGGAATGAGAGGTCGGAGTTCAAGCAGAAGCACTGAACCGGAAAATATTTTTACTGTTGAATCTATAATCAAACAGGTAAAGTTGTTTTTTGAATTCAGAATTTAATATTTTCAGAAGCGCATTTTACTTTTATATGTGATATATTTTATGCCATTTAATCCCCATCTTGCCTTTACAGTTGACAACACCATGCCTGCTATTGCAACGCTGATTCCATTTGGCAGATTTGCAGGTTGTCCAGCTCAAGACCCCCCCATCATTGTGCGACAGTGGTGAGGCAGGTTGTCACCACTGCATGTCTGTTTGCTTTCCATGGGTTCAAAGTAGCGGTATGTGTTCGATCAAATAAGTCAGGGTTGGGCCAATTAATTACGGCCTGCGAGCCAGACCCAGCCCAAAGCGTATATATAATATAAACGAGGCAACGCTAAGACAATGGACGCCATCTTGTGCCTATTGTTCTCGGCAGTTTAACACGGCGCCTTATGAGAAGTTCCAACACAATTATTAAAACATACCTATTATTTTCACTAATATTTTAGGTAGAAAAATTTTGAAGGTCGCGTTTTGAAGTAGAATCTTAGCCGTACATGCTTTTCATGTTGGCCAAATTACATTTATAGTACATTAAATTGTCTTTGAAGACAAGTATACCGGTTCCGAGTTGCTTCCGAAATAAATTGGCCATTCTAAACGTCATAATAAACCATTTGACAATGGTGTTCCTTATGACGTCACAGATGAAAAGTTGTATTTATTCGTTGAAATTACCGGCCGACCCAACTTTGCTTCAATGGCCGTTTTTATTTTCTGGTTAACATATTTCGTCTGTCAAGCTCCATAATGCCCTACTGCTGAGCTCCAAGCTGCGCTAGAAGAACAAATGACATTGTAGGATTGTTGCGGTGACATTTTATAGCCTCAAATTGGCGTATCACTATAAAATTTTATGGATATAACTTTCAGTTAAAATTATGGATCAAAATAACACCAAAATTGTTACAATGTGCTTATTATTATATAAACTTCAGCCTAGCTGTTGTAAACTTTTTGACGAAAACTTATGTGTTGTTTCCTTCGGAAGGAGCAACCTTCTGTAAGCCTCGTCTTTCAACCAGTTGGTTGGCATAAAACAGTTGAGCATCCGACGCACAGCACCACTGTTTGAGCGTGACTGAATACCGTCGTAATCTTATAGCAACCTGGGCACTTTATGAAATGAAATATGAGTTTGGTGATTGAACCAATCTTTTCTTCTTGTGACATCTTTTTTCCTTCTCGGGGGAGGGATGGAGGTAAATCTTTTGCCAACGGCATTGTTACTCTTCAGCATTGTAGGAGAAAAACATTTTGTTTTTATTCATAGTTTTTCATATCGAGTTTTGAGCCTACGGCCCAGTAACCAAGTCTATTCTCTGTAACTGTTGGCCCACTCAGAAAAGTAATTGTCTACCTCTGATCTAAGCGGATAATAACAACCAAATTATTTTTATATACAGTTAACAGCCTACCATATCACCATGAACCAACATAGAATGGACCAGGTGCTGGTACAACAAGTTTTCAAACAGGTGATGTACGGTATCACAGCTCACACCATCAACAACCAACTTCTAAGAAAGGAACTCTGCAATTGGTCTAAAGCAATGCAAATAAGGTAATGTATTAAGTTCATAAGATAAGTGGGTGCTCCCGAAGTATGCGAACCAAGATGGCGGACAACGGAACGTAACATGGGTAACAGGTTAGGGTTAGGCGATAATTTTTTTCTAATTTTCCCTATTTTAGTCTTATTATCAGTTCGAAGGCTAGCCAAGAGCCTCTCGCAGTATTTATACCTAAAATTATGGCCTAACCCTAACCTAGTTCACATATTACATTCCGATGTCCGCCATCTTGGTTCGCATACTTCGGGAGCCCCGATAAGTGCAATCTTGGTAAATTTAATCAGTTGCCAGTTGAATATGAATGAAATAAAAGTTATCTTATCCAACCATAATATGCGCGTAAGTGTAAGGTTCTATTCGAAAAGAAAATTTTTTACGCAGTCATTTATTTTGCCACAGATCTTACTCTATATATGTTACAATAACCATTTACCAGAAACTTTATAGCTATCCTAACTCGGAATATACCATGAATAATAAATATGCTTACCCTTACAATTTGCCTAAAGTTTATTATCCAACCTAACCCATGTGACCTATGCTCTTAAATGTACACATTAATTCACACCATCCACTGTAAACATGGCTCTTTTACTGTCAAGACTAATCATGTAAGATGATACTATTTTGGAGTCTAGGATTTTCTATTTCGGAACTGCTTACTCAATTTCTTACACCCTGAGGTGGTGGGCATGGGGTCATAAAATTATAATGAATTGGACTTCTGCTGGACTAACTATTGATCCTAGGTCCATGCTTTTGCATCAGTGGATCTTTATAAATATAATGCAAAAATACTGAGTTGTCCCGTGTTAAATTACACGAATTACAATAAAGTTGATAACGTGGCGTTCGATTGTTTTTTTAATGTAATACCACATCATCTAATTTTTCAAATTTCAAATACAATGTGTCTTAATTAGAATGTTGTTTGTAGTGTTTACAATTATGCCTAAAAATCTCTGAGTGACAAAAGTATCTGAGCAGTTGCTAAAATTTCAACTGTTACGTCACTTTATGCATCTTGCTGATTAGCCAATGTTACGGAAGTAAACATGGAAGAGGATTCTCGGACTCCTCGCAGCCATAGGGTGGTTCACGTAATCAATGGTCAGTTACGGCTTCCTTCACCATCAAGTCCATGCTTCCAAAAACGAATAACTAACTAATCCCATATCCATGGAATGGTAACCGAACGAGAGGCCGTGGTTCCCCATATGATTAAGCCGTCTTATCGCCTTTCCTCTCCCCCGAGATAAATATGTAAATCCTATCCCAAGTCAATGCTCAAGAAAACATCCATTATGTATCATTACTTTTCTTGTTTCCAGATACAATGTCTCTCAATTAGAAGACTGGATACGAAAGAGTGGTTTGAACGAGGCTGGATTGAGAGACATGTTGGAACCCCTTGTGCAGGCTTCACAGTTATTACAAGTCAAAAAACAATCTGAACAAGATGCGTTGGAGATTTGTGAGATGTGTTCAAGGCTAACTCCTGCTCAGGTATGTTGTGTGTTTTGTGTATTTATGTGGTCACTAAAATAGTTGACACCGACCGTTATATTAAGTGTCCGGGCCAGACATGGGCAAAGTACGGCCTGCTAGGTAATCCGCCTGATGCTGCCACAACCAAACTGAAACTAAATTTTGATGTTTCAGTTAAAATTGGCTCAAAGAATTTGTTGAGATTGCGGTTCAATTTATTTTTGGCTCAAAGTTCATTGTTTCCCACTGTTGCTTTTGTAACACTGTAAACATTGTTCATGAAATGTAACTCTTTAGGTCATACTTAAATGGCCCGCCAATCCAGGTGGGCAAAATTTTTGGCCTCCGATCTAAAAACGTGCCCACCCCTGGTCTAGACCAAGCTTTTCAATGGAGCGTAATCTCAATATAACAATCTATAGGCTGAATGAACCGCTGAGTGATAGTTTAATTGTCTTTCGTTATCTGAATTGCATTGACTATAAATATATATAAAAGCAAATTCAATACTGGCAAAATAAAATGATCTTTATAAAGTGTAGCAAGCAAACCTAACAGGTATTCAATTATATTTAAATAAAATACATGTAACAACATAGACTGTTGAATGTCAATGTAAACTTGAGGAACGCTGTTGAAAACCACTGGTCTAGAGTTTTTGCGAGATGACTCAAGAAAATAGGTTTGAAAAATGCTTACTCTAGTTCAGTGGTCTCCTAGTTTTTAGTGTGTGTTTGCAATCTTTTTGATAGTTAATGTGATGAAGATCCTAGTCTCACCTTTCCAAATTTTCTACAGACCTTATGGACTATGAACCTGCTTCATTCAACCTGACGGAAGGTTTTTAAAAAATTATCTCATATGAATGTGTAAATACCATATGCCAGAATATGATAAACCCCACCCTATCAGCTTTCCACTCCAGCGAGACAAACAAAAAACTCCTTATTTTTAGATCGTAAAATTGTTAAATATGATTACACCTACCAATGACTATGAAGAAAGAGTTCCAGTCAAATTTATAAAGACAGTACAAGGCAAACTCAAGCAACAACGTCCTGATATGTTCGGAGGACAACAGACTTTACTAATGGATAACGGTTTCATGTTTGGAGTCACATTTCCTTACGCTCCTTCCACTATTTCATTAGACAGAATCACAATTCCTGAGTCTCTCAATTTAGGTTACTTAAAGCTGGTTTAAAAAGTGACCGAAAAATTTTGGAATTTGTGTTTCGTAATTTATTGAAAAATATAGTTTTGGAACTGTTGTGGAGAGAGTGATATAAATCTTGATGTTGAAAAATGCTCATTTTAAACTTGTTTTGAATTTATGATAACTTGCTACTCTGTCTTTCAGTACTTTTCTTGTTTTAAATGATGTCTTGGGACCTTACTTTGAGCAATCTTGTAACTCTTCTATCAATACAGTTGAGGTTCAGGACCTCTCCTTGAGTGACCTTGAAACTCTCCTATCAGTAGTCTTTATACATTTCAGGTTGAGAGTCAAGACCTTACTTTAAGCTAACTTGCAAATTTTCCATCAGTACTGTACTCCCATCAATTTTAATTGAGGGCTGGTAACCTTACTCACTACTCTTTCCACTCGAGGTCAGAGTCGTGCTATGAACAATATCTATATCTGCCCAAACATATCTTTCCTATGAATAATAAAGCTAGGTTTCAAATACTTGAATGTGATGTAGATATGCTGAGAACTATGTCATTTTTAGTATGTGTTATCAGATAAAAAAGTGATTTTTGTTTGTGTTGTGAGATAGAAAACAGGTATGATAACCTATTTATTTTTCAATTTTTTTTCTCGATATCTGTTAATACTAAGCTCTTAGTTAAAGTCTTATTGCAATTGCTAATCCATTTTCTCAAATTCTCTGTAATAAATTTCACTAATTTTCTAGTAAATTCACTAAAGTTTTTTTGCCTGATTACATTTTCTATCGCAAGAAGAAATTTATCTTACATGCTCTGGTTACTCAGAGTGAAATATCAGTTAGTTACTGCTTTTGATTAGTAATCTAATCTTATTATTGTCGAAATGGACTTAGTGTATTCACGAGCCATTCATCAAAACATTGCTATCTTAAGCAATTTATTGATGTAGCAATCAATTTTTCTTCTAAATTGACACCAACTTCACTGAAATTTCATTGCCTGATTCATAATTTTGTCTAACGTACTCTAGTTTCAAGCAGTAGATTTCTGCATTTTAGTAGTTATTCAATACTATTATTGTTGAAAATAGACTTTGTGTATTCAGTCCATGAATCAAATAGTGATTTGTTGGATTGATATATCATTCTGTTGTATGATAGACAATTGAACTCAACAATGTTCTTTTTTAGAATATTTTCCTACTGAATAAACACTCATTGACCTGATTTTCCATTTTTTTTTCAAAATTCCGCTGTTAAAATGTGACTAAAATCATAAAAAAAATGCACTAGCGTTAATTTTTCTATGAAACTAATTTTTCTATGTTCCTTTGCAGTGTGATTTTTTTTGTTAGTTTCCATGGTGATTTTGTCATAAATTTGAAAAAAAAATTTGAAGTGTTGAAATAATACGCTGCTGTAGTCTGTTTTATATTTTTCGAATTATTTAATTTTTTTTCTTGTAAAAAAAGCTGGTGTTCTATATCCCATATTGCAGTAGATACCATGTTGCTGCTACCAGGTTTATCCATTGTAAGTAACCCTAAAATATTCTCTCAGTATGGACCGCTGAGAAATAGAATGTGATTATTGGACATCGTCTGACAATTCGACATTTGGCAATCCAAGCGATCTGGACGATTTACTGTTCAGATATTTCCATTCCATTTAATTCCCATCCGTTAAATTCATAATTTTATCTTCAAGGAGTATCAAACTACACCCCCGACTCTAATAAAAACATGCCAGACTCTGATTCAAGTTACTTGTGTGACACTCGGGTTAATTATTCCCAGATAATTGACGAAAGCTATGTCCGCCATGTAAAGCATAGGCTATTTCTTAATCAGCTTCGCTTTCCCTATAAAGTCACATTCAGTAAATTTATAATTTCGTCTTCAGGAGTTCGAAACTCTGTCTCAAACTCCAATGAAAATATAGGCCAACTCTGACTTTGCAGCCCTGATTCATATTACTGTACTGTTGAACCCTGGTTTGCTATTCGCTAATTGGACGAAAGCTGTGGGCCGCCATATAAGGAATAAGCCTTCTTGTCAGTTTTCCTCTCCCTATTAAGTCACATTCATTAAATTCAGAATTTCGACCTTAAGGAGTTTGAAATTATGTTTCGACCCCATGCAGAACTCCCAATTTGCAGCCCTGATTCAAGTTACTGCATCTGGAACACTCGCTGGTAAGCTGATCCCATAACCGACCTGATAATTGAACTAAAGCTGTGCTCTGTCCTATCAGCTTTTCTCCTAAAGTCACATTCGTTAAATTTGTTAAAAAATCAAACCAGCAACCAGTTTTATAAGCTTTCCGCTCCCTATAAAGTCACATTCATTACTTAAAAATTAATACGTGGTAATCGTAATCACAAACTAAATCTTCTTACTTTATTTATCTTTTCTTTGTTGTGCAATATTGTGTCATAATGCTTCATTTGTTTTTTCTTTGTACTTGTTTGTGTTGCAGTGATAATTATTTCAGATACTGGTGTTCTTTGATCTAGACGTTCTGGGTTCGCAACCACGATGAAATAGCTTATTTTGATATTGTTAGTTAGTTTTTGTTTGCGATATTAGTAAGTTTCTTATTAGTACAATGCTTGTATCGATCACTAAATACTGACATTTCTGGCGCAACGATATATATTTTAATATCTACATACCTTTGGGTTGGGTTGTGCGAGACTAATTCCCTATCCTTCAATTATGCCAGTGGGTCCCTATGCGTATAATGCATAAACAATAAGCATGACTATTCTATCTAATTCAAGAGTCGTGCTGCCTGCAGAAATACATTTATATTAGTGTGCAGCAGGACTCTTGACTTGGATAGAATATATACCGTATTTGATCGTTTTGTAGCCCGGGCCCATATTTTTTTTCAACCAACTCACTAACCGGGCCCTTATTCAAGCACGGGCGCTTGTTATTTTCGATCGTTACAATAATTAATATTGTTATTTCCAGTTCTCAAGTATGATTTTAACGAGAATAACGAAAATTTTGACTTTCTCTACGCACCGCAGGTACAAATCCGCAAAAGAAGAAAAGTTTTGCGATGCCCTATCAATATTGAAACGACGCACTTGGGCGTCGCCTGGCCCAGTTTGAGAACCACGGTGTTATTTAATCAATACTATCTGTTATGTACTTGGACGCATAAGACGTGAGTGCTTAAAATGCTTAAAATTCAACAGCGTTGGGACAAAAGCGCTTCTTATTTCCTATTGTTCTCTACCACTGAAAAATCAGCTTTTACAACGGGCGGTATTCAAGCACCGGCCCTTAATCACAATCGGGTGATAAAACGAGCTTATACAGTATATAGTTTTTTTGCGAAACAGTGGTAAACTCTTCTGTTAGCAGTTTTTCTACTTACTAAAAATCTCTACGCACTAAAAAACATTTGCGGACAATTTTGATATCATTTTGAAATAGTCCATTTGTTTCTTTGCTTCCTATCTATTCCAAGGAAAAACTCGAAACGCATCGAAATCTCAATACATAAATTTTCATATAGCTCTCAATGCAGCTCCCTCGCAACCCTCCCTATCAGTACACTTTGGATATGTAGGATGCGAGCTTGGACCCTTGCTTTGTGCAAACTTGCAACTGTTATATTAGCACACTATCAAATTTTAGTGAGGGCTCGGGACTTTGCTTTGAGCAAACTCTCAACTCTTCTTCCAGTATTCTTTCCACTTTAAGTTGCGAGCTTGAGACCTTGCTATGACCCAACCTGCGACTCTAATATCAAGACTTGGTACCTTGCTTCGAGTAAACATTTAGTTCTATGAATCCTTTCCCCACACATTCATTGAGAGCACACGGTCTTTCTTTTTGCAAATATGCGTAAAAAAAATAATCCCAAATCGTATTTTTTAACAACATTCACACTGTTATGGTGGAAAGTAACAAATTAACAGATTTTTGCACTTCAAATAAATATATAATTTACAGACATTTATTATTCACTGTTCAGTTCATTTCTGTGCTCTATATATGGTACTCTTATTATGATTTTCAGTTTAAACATGGGTCTGGACAAGTAGATAATGATACATGAAGTTTGGAAAAAACAGAATCTTTCCAGTTTGTTATGTCACAAACCCCAGACGATTTTTGACCTGACGTGACCCTAGAATCCATTGTGAGGTGGTAATACAGACCTAAAGCCCAATTTATTTCTTCATATATATAAAAACGTATATATTATTCTGTACTTATGAAATATTATATAGTTTAATTGATAGTATAATACTAACATACCTTATATGAATGAGTTTGAATTTTTATAAAGTCTTAAAAAAGCGGAATTAATGTTATTATTGTTGTAGCTCTTTGGTAACTTGTATAATTTATATCTGATAGAGTTTCGTTATTTATGCCACCAAATTTGACATTTTTTGCATATTTACTTAATACTCACCCGAGATAACCACAATATAGTTTATTTCTTTGGATCAAATGTACGTTCATCCATGCGTATCAGGTTCAAAGGTTATTTCCATGCCAATATCTCAGTCCAAATGTACGTTTATCCATGCGTGTTGGGTTTAAAGGTCATTTTCATACCAATAATCTCTTTTCATGAGTTACAATGCAGACGCTGTCTATACTCTTTATTACTTAAATGTTTTTCTGGCAGAATATTTTGTGTTTATAGTGTATAATTGTGATTCTGTCAATTGTTGTAAATTTTCACTTCAGATTTTCTCTTGTCCATTTTCAAATGATATTATAATGACAAAAGGTTGATGATAAGTGTTTGTTTGTTTCATTCGGGTAGTTTTTGAAAATACTACTCTAGCTGGAGGGAAAACATGCCGAAGGCAGACTCAAAATCCATGCCACTGGGTTTTTATAACAGGACTCCCACATTTTTTAGGCTCGCGACCCCGCGATGTATTGAAACTTTGCGCAATCACTGTTAAGTTGGCATTGTTATGCAAGTTCTTCTCTGATCCTATATATTCTCTAGAAATCGTGAGATTTATGTTTCACTAATTTAAATAATTGTGTCGCGAATCAAGAGTCTATAATAATACTTTGTGTAAAAATTGTGCACGCTTTGCGACCCCTAAAATTTGTTGCGCGCCTCCCTGCGAATCCATTACCCTAGGTCTCTATATTAAGTTTGTTTAGACTCCATAATCAGCATAAAGGGCGAATAAAATAATTGATAAAAACAAAATAAATAAAACTGATTGTTGATAAACATTCCCATTTATTAGAAGCCGCGACTATATTTTTGTTCCGTAAAAGCTATTTTATGTGGTGTTGTATTTGAGCTAGTATTTTTAAATTATTGCTTCGATTGTGGGCGTGCCCATACTCTAAAACAGGGGTCGAAAAACTACGGCCCGCGGGCCAATATAATCCGGCCCGCGACTCTTCACTAAATTATATTAACAAAACAATTGTATTGACGATTATATTCTTTACGTAACAGAGTTTGTTTTAGACACTAAATTATATTATAACCTAACAAGTATATAATTCATAATCGCTCGTTTAATGAGCCTATAAATTGATTATAATTAGACAAATGGTAACAGAACGTGAAAAAGTTGATGATGAGTGCAAATGGTTTAATGGCGCAGAAAATATTCAAATGTCTTCGCGCGCTGCTTGAAATTTAACTGAAATCTGTGTGAAAAAATGTGATTCATTGGCCATTCCCTCGGTTTTTAACTTTCCAAAAATATGTGCGGCCCGCCAATGTCTTGCAACCTTCAACTTGGCCCGCGAACGACAAAAGTTTGCCGACCCCTGCTCTAAAAGATTTTCATATTTATCACGGGAGGAAAGCCTATAACGCGACTTGATCATACGACTAACGGCGGCCTATTGTCATGTTTAACAGTTATTTGTCTCGGGCGATTCGGTTATGATGCACTTTAAAAATATATTTTTCATCGCATTGCAAAAAATGTAATGATATTTCAATAATATAAAAGTCCGAACAATCCTACGAAGAGCTACGTACGTACGAAGAGCTACCTACGTATTCAGTAACTATTAAATCTGGAAAGACAAGAAGCTCCCTCGCAGAGAGTGTAGATTCCTCATTTTGTTGCAAATCAAAGTTTAGGTGGTAGGTATGTGACAAACCCGAGTAACGCTATTTTCTCTTTTGGATAATATTGCGAGCGCGCGATATGAAGTGTCACTAAACGTCGCGTGTAAACGTTCTATTTCAAAATAATTGAATGAAGATATGGCGACTCCACACCTACCATGTTTTCTTCCCGTAAAAGATGTTTGGATTTATTAATGTGGAGTTATATTAAAGTTTCCAGTATTTCGAAGTTATTGCTTTGACTAAAAACACATCGAGACGATCTAAGGTAAACACTACGTTGTCTCCTGTGTAGTGACTGACGAATTCGTGATTATGGCTAATGTATATCGGCGCTTGGCATCGGGCAAATGGCTGGGAATCGCACCTCTGATTAAACTAAACGGGCTGACATGTTCAAATTCCGTAAGGCGTATAGGTAAATTATGTGCGGAAGACTGGAATGAACGCGTGTAGGTGTATTCAACATTTACCATGAAGCGCAACCCCAAACATTCGAGACGCTAGAGAAACAATTGTATTGTCTAATTGTATTGTCTGAATTGTATAAACCAATGTGTATAAAAGCAAACTCGATACTCGGAAAACAGGTAGATCTTTAGTGAGTAGAAAGTTTTAAGGGTCCAAATTAAGGGGGTGGTATTAGCGTTAGAACTTATTCGTAAACAACCTAAAATCGTTAGGTGTCGGAATTTAAAGTTTGGTGCCACACCTTGAAATTAGAGGAACTGTAGCAATTTCATATACTTGCTAAATATAATTCAGTACGTTCATCTATCTAACTCAGGGGTGGGAAAATTACGGCCCGCGGGCCGGATCCAGCCCACTTTAGTGCTTTATCCTGCCCACTTGTTCGCGCTGAAATTAGGCTATAGTTTTCATGCATAAAAATTATCGTTGAAGAGATCAGAGAAACAACAAATCGTCCGCAAATGTAAATATTGAAATTCCACACGTACTATCAGCCCTGAATATAAACATAAAACCATCTGAATAATTTCTGTACAATAATTCAAAAACGCCAGCTCCTGACATATCAGCATTTTGCTACGCGCGTGTTCGTTCGTGGATGTCCCAATAAATTTTGTTTACCTTTGTATAGTACAGGGGGGTTGAGTTGAAATCGCTAATAGTTACTTCAGCATGTCATGGGTATTCAAGACATGAACATCAGT